TAAAACATGCAATTCCAAGAAGGCCGGATAAGAGAATCGTGTGATGCAATTGATGCAATGATGCATCCCCAGCATGAGCAAGAAGTTAAATTTTTACGAGTATTGTAGAATAGAAATACGGCCTTTCGCCTTTACGTAATGAATCAGCCCAGTTAGTTTGCTATCTAACACCACCACCAGCATCAGCAACAGCAACACAATGAGGTGCAAAACCTTGACAAGGCAAAAAGCCACGGTAAGCATGGTGGTATACAACCGTAAAAGATAAAACTGTCTGGTTGACACCTTCAAAAATCCCGAATAAAAAATGGACCCCGACCAATCCGGAATTTTGAGGGTGTTTTATCATTTGTCTGCAGAAACAAAAGATTTTGATATTTTTGGCGAGGTCTGGAGCAAAAACAAGGCGCAGGTGGAGTTCAACAACGTGTGCAGCAGGAAGTTTGGAAATATTTGAGTCGACAGTCAATGCAACGAGTAGTACAACCAACTCTTCCTCCAAACTAGCTTAACGTCCTTCCAAAGTTAAAAAGATGCCAGTTTTTTTTATCTCCTTGCGTAAGCGTAAACATGCGAGTGCATGCATCCTACATGAAGTGATAGAGCGATATTAATGCAGCTATGTGGACGGCATAACCTAGAAAGCAGTATTTCCTATGGTGCCGGAATACTTGGTAAATAATTGTAATTCACATTTTTACATGAAAATTGCAAACTGTTTCTTGCGACAATTTTCCATTATTCTTTGCCTGTCCGTATAATAAATACGAGGCTTGATGGATGTTTGCCTCCTTTCTCTCCCTGCTAAGTACCTTCGATGCCATTACGCCTGTTTACGCTCCATTACACCCGTGGTGCGAGTCAAGTACCCATCACTCAAGATTCACAAGTACGTACGACTACCTGCCTCGGCTACTCCACCCTTCAATTACTTTTTATTGACGAGATGGAAAAAGAACGGGAGGAGGAAGAAGAGAACTTTTTTTCTCGTCCGATTTCTTATTTCTCATTTTGCTAAAAATGATTTTATCAAAAATCAGGATATCATTTTTTTTTGTGTGCCAAATTATCTAATTGTAGTTATACTAAATAGTTTTTTCAAAGATTTATGAAATCGGCATCCAACTCAATCAAAAACTAAAAACATGACGAGCTCATTAAGCAAGAGAAAAAAATAATAATAGAAAAAATGCATCATTAATATTCACATTTTTTGCAACTCCTACATGGCTAGTTCAGGTACTTTGTCAGAAATACGTCTCACAAAAAAAATACCTCATCACAAAAGTATGCAGCAATGCAGTCCATAATGCAGACTTGCATTTAAAGTACTTGGAACTATTCGAATCCCAAAGAGATACATACAATCGGTAAATATTTTAACCATCTGCGAACCTCCCTTCCCATTCCGCTATAAATTACCCAGATCCCTACAGGGTAAAAAGTTGGAAGCGTTTTCAACCCGGAAAATTAATCACTTGTTATTTTTTAATGTCTATTTGCCTTGATTTCCGCCTTAATTTATGACCGAATTTCCATCGGTAACTCAATTCTCAGAGGAAAAAAGAAGAAGAGGAAGCCTTTCATCTCATATACGGGAATTTATCCCATTTCCACTTAATAAGGAATAAATCGTGTCGCACTTTTCGACGGAATTTGGAATGGAGTTAAATACTTTGAGATAAAAAAAATCACCTTATGGCAGAACATACACATCTCACTGCACTACAGTTGACATAAAATCTTCACTTTTTTGCTCAAATTTTGCAAATATTTCATCCTTAATATCATGAAAGTTTCGGACAGGATGTAGATAAAATATTAACTCAATCACTCACTCTCCATCACGACCACAAGTTTTCAATCACTTTATATAAATTATTTCCCTTTATTTGCAGCAGAGCAGTCTTCTTCCACAGAAATATTTACCAAGTGGTGCAAAAGTTTGGTGATAAATTCTCGAGGTTCAATTTCAATTTAATGCAAGCCAACAAAATGCACCATCCTACATACGTTCTCGCTACCACATTCAGCATATCATGCAATAAATAATGTCAAGTTTCATACACTTGCAAGTGTTGACTGTATATGAAGTTTTTAGTCGATCGTGGTGGTAATCATATCTCAATGTGTAACCGGATACTTTGGTCGGTCGGTCGGGTCGAGTTGGTTGAATTGGATTCGGGTTTGATTTTATATTTAATATGCATTGTATTAAATTAAATTAAACTGCACAACCATATTTTATTCAGAGTTGACCATGCAGTATTGGATGACATACTAAACCATACATACAAATAGTGGACAACTATGTATTTGACCACACCACATATTAATGCCCAGTAGTATAATAAAATGGGTATTAATATGTGTACATATGCACAATTTATACCAATCTCTGGCAAATGCATGACTGACCAAACCACTAACTGGTGATTGTATTAAACGTTAATCGAAAACTTGTTGCATTAATCAGGCTGAAAAGTTATACAACAAAACAGAATGTTATTTATTATCGGGTCGTATTTGGAATAATACGACACGTCATCTCAACAACCGCTGTAAGAAAACATGACAAATATTTAGGTATTATTTGTGGTGATTGGGAATACGCCACAAATAAATATCTAATTTAGGTAGGTTTGCAAGCGACATTGCCTAAAATTTGATGTACACACTTCGGGTCCCCGAAAACCAACTCGTACTTTTTCCTGCAACCTGAACCTGACTGAACTGACAAGATTTGCATCAAGTCTAAATTTACGTGCCTAATTCTGATTTGATACTGATGATGGAATCAAACCAAACAAAACAATGTATAAAAGAGGAGAGAGAACGCTAGGCTTGAATAAGCTCCCGGATAATTTTAAGCTCCTGCCTAGATCGAGATGTGATATAAGCGAATAGTAGATACAACATCACATTTATAATTTGGTAGTTAGCTACTACATATATCCCATCAGTTTGACATGTTATACTTATACGAATGATGTAATCTATGGTCGTGTAACATATACTATTTATCCCTCGTACTGCTGCGGGGTGTGTTTATGTGTACAACAAAATGTTGATATATGATAAAGCAAGCTAGGTGAGTTACTTACTTGGCTGGAATCAATCCGATCTTGGTTACTTGGTTGCCTAATCCATTAAAAGTACAATGCCAACGGAATAAGCAACGTGAAAATAAATATTTATAAGGAAGACGGGGGAGTTGACTGCTATCTCGAGTCGAATATTTTTTTTATAGAAAGAAGCTTCATCCATGATTCGAAGCTAATGTTGCAAGTAGGCAAATAACTAAATTATACACATTTTTTTTAGATTTGCGGTGAATTTCTACAAATACATGAGTAAATTGGACCTTAAATAATAAGTATGTGGGAAGAAAAAGCAATTTATTTTACTTTTCTTTGGTAAGTAATGAATTGAATGAATCCCCAGAATGAATCCACAATTTTCTCTTCTTTTCTTTATCAAGAACTCTGTTATCAAGAGCTCTCTTATTCTGAATTTCCAAAATTGCCAAATCAACATCTTTTCATCATTTTCCATACGTACATATGTACGTCGACAATAATAATAGCCTCATAATTTAGAATCACTTATGTAACCCGACATGGGACCATTGTCCGTAAAAAGTCGAACATAATGCCGACGTGGTTTGTTTGGTGTGAGTGTAAGTACTGTAAAGTGAAGTTTTGGGGAGTCTTCTGAAGGAGAGAGAGAGAAATCGATAGTCGGATGGCAAAGAGGAAAGTGATCTTCCATCCACGCCACGCCACGCCACGCGCAGCTTATTCATTCCCCAAACTAGCCAACAAACCAAACCACCCACATCTCACATTTTCTATTTTACTCTATTTTACACCCTTTTAATCGGAGTTTACTAAAACTATTCTCACACAACACGAGCCAGCCAGCCACCAAACTAACTCTTTAAACAGGCAAGAATTATCTATGTAAATTTAGATGATGCAGCCAAAAGGGTAAAAAAAAATACTGGCCAAGAAGAAATAATTACAGAGAAGGTTGGCAATTTCGCAACCAAAATGTATGCAATATTTAGTAAAACAAACATGCACCTCTTTACCCACCCACGCAGTCCTAATTACAACGTGTGAACTCATCCTCCCTTCCCGAGATAATGACTGCAACTATGAATTCATCATCCACACTTTGATGCCTGCCAATCCCACTCCTGACTGAGCAATCAATACAGATGAGCACTGATTACGTACAAAACCACCTCTGCTTGCCGTTACTACCTTAATTACAGAGAGCTAACAAAGCCACAAACTACATACATTCATACGAAGAGACGAAAACAATAAAGGAGTGGAATGTTCTCCCAGCACGAGCTATCTATTGATTTCATTCCATTTTGTGGATGGATGGATGATCACACAAATTGGGTAGATTTTGTGCGGTTTTTATTGTCCAGCAGCAGTAAAGTAACAACCGCAAACTGCCAACTAATTAGCACACAAATCATGACATTTGACATTGTCGAGATATTTATGGCAGAAATTGAGGAGTTAAACTGATGGTCGTAAAAAAAGTGACGATATAAGTAAAATAAATCAAAATTTTTATATATACGTCCAATAATTTCTTATTCATCACCCAGCCTGCACACCGCATAATAATAAGTTCTTCCTGGTAAATAAGAAACCATGTAAAAGAGCAGCAGCAGGAGCAGGGAATAAATGAACCTCATCCACATTTTATGCCGGTCTCGTTTTCGGAGTCCCCCACATCATCGCCAGCATTATTATATCGAGCCAACCAAAGATTCAGTCGTGTCATGCGTGTACGCAAAAAAGGGAAAATCGTGTCCAACTTTTCTTCCAATTTCTTAATATCATTTAACACGAGGCCTTATTTATTGGTGAGGATGCTTGTAAATTAATTGCAAGTACGAGTAAATAATTTTATGCCATAAAATATAACCAAAGGCTGAAAGATAATAAATAAAATGTGTATTTATGATAACTCACCTCGTTTACTTAACGATGACTTCCTTTCATGTATGTATGAAACTTCGTCAACAAAAAGTAGTAATTATAAATTTTCCTCGTCCACACCCCACCATCAGATTGGATCAGTTAATTCTTACGTAAAGCACCTTGATATTTAGTAATGATTGGTATTTTTTATTAACAATTTTTTCCAACTCGTTCCTGTTTTGTACATACGCGGATTTATGAAAGTCACAATTTTTAAGGCACGAGAAACTTTCTCTTTACAAATAGTTTTTTCTTTCCCTAATTATTAACTGAACACTAGTAGTAAATATTAAACGATAAAGTTGATAAGGCAGTGGAGTATGGGTGACGTGCTGATGACTAAGTAAGTTGGAGTAGTTCTTATTCCTTCGCCCTCCTATCCGGTTCTTCCTTCCTGGCTCTGGGTGAAAAGCAGACAGGGTGAGCAGGCAGTTTCAGTGAGTTGGAGGGATCGATCCGAATTCGGGGAGGATGTTGGACGGATCGGATTTTAGTTGGATGTGGAAGAGCAGCGTAAATAAAACTTAGTAGTCGTCCAACATTTCCCTTCTCTCTCTCGTCTTGGCAAGAGCACGTTACACACTGATCTCCCAGCTTGGCCTCTTCGCTCGCTGGTAGTAAACTTGGTGAATAAGGTGATGTGATTCTCTCTCTCGTAACCAAATGAATCCAAATCCAATCCAGTCTCATACTCCACCACCTCCAATACCAAATTGGTTTTGTCTCATTGCATATCACTTGCTTTTTACGTAGGTTCATCCAATATCACGTTGTTATTGAGGTAAAATGGGAGTAAAAATTTGAACGGGTTTCCTGCAGAAATTTGGGCCGATTTTACGCAGGCAAATTTTAGGTGGAGCGATTTCTGCAGAACAATTATGAACATACGGTTCTGCAGAATAAAAATTATCTGCAGGATTACGTAAAAAAATATGAGAATATAATATGCATCAGATTTTGTCGATTACTTCAGAATTCGACACAGTGATTTTTATTCAGGAACCATTTGCACATAATTCAAGAGGAAGTGGAAAAAGGTTGAGATTTGATTCGATTCTCAAGATGAGATTCCGACGAGATGACGAAGTAAAAGAATTATTTGAAGAATATGTACATACATATTTAGATTTGACGTTTTTACCATGTCAAATCAAATCAAATCAAAGTAAAACTTTATTACCTGCTGGAGGTTGATTGAATAAAAGTCTTCCTGTACTGCACTACCTATTACTTATCTTACATAAATACACACGCCGTATTACAGGCCACTGCATGGACCGGGGTAAATTGCAGGTTGCAGATTATTAGCCTCAGGTTGAGTCGAGTGAGTCGAGTAAATTGCACCTTTCCCCAAACTTAATTTGTTCTTTGGGATAACATTGATTCCATGATGATTGATTTGATGATGACGATGATGATGATGACAGGGTAACCTTTGACTGCGCAGATTGTAATAATTAGCTAATCACAAATTTGGATCCTTTCAAAATTTGTATGTGTAGATCTAAAATAATTTTGTTTTTCAAAGATGTTATTCCTTGTCCAGTAAAGCCACCAACTTTACGGGTTAAGAGTCGACGAAGGAAGAAGGGATAAAGTTTGTGTGGTGTGGTTTCCCTCCAGTTTAACTTTAACAAAACAATATTTGTTTAGTTGTTAAGTATAAAAATAAGTAATGGGCTTGGTGGAAGGAGGAGAAGGAGCAGGATGAATATTGGGAGCGAAGGACCTTTAATCTTATCCATACTCTCACTTTCGTGTTTATGACTTTGTGCTAAGGAGCAGAAAGAATGGGCCATACGGCTGGACTGATGGTATTATTATTGTCATTTCTTCTTGTACACAATAAGAATTAAGGTTGTTGGGTCGAACGAAAGAAAGGCATGGCGTAACAGAGTTTGAGTCCGTCTCATATTTATGTACAGACTGGAACATGTTTACCACTTTCGAAGATGAGAAACTGACGAAATGTTGTTAACCCAAACAAAACCCGTGGTGAACAAAGTCACGGTTTCATTTATTATAACGGATTTTGTACATGTGAGATTTTTTGTGGTCGTGAGAGTGAGATTGAAATAAAATTAAATACATCCTCAACTTTTGTTGTACTATACATAAATAATTTTGATGTGTAAATTCTTATTTCAATTTACAAGGTAAATAATACAATCTAAATAATTTGAGTTTCAATTCAGTTCATCACGTATTGTTCAATTATGAAGTACTATTTTAGATTGATTCTGTAACAAAACTCTGCATTTTCACTTGATGAAGATTACAGTGGTACAACGAAACCTAGCAATTTTCAAAATACAATAAATTAAGTAGGTATCCCGAAAAAGCAATGCTCTCAATTCACTTTCATACATAGCGTCACAAGTATTTGCATACAATTTTTTTCAAATTTCACCAGCGACATGAACGCTCCATTAAAATACTACACTTGATTTTCCAACGCTACTTATTCACGTACCACAAACTGAATAAGCCAAGTAGTTAATAGGAGAGCAAAAGATCTGAATAAGTCTCAAGTACGAGCTCTGTCTGTACGTATGTAGCGTCTGGGCGGAAGGTTATGTACACTGATATGTATGACTTGGTTAGGGTTTGGAACCTACATATTACACAGATGAGACTGACTACATACTTGCAACTTGTGTAGTAGTAAAACGGAATTAGTAGATTGGTTGGACAGATTTAGGCAGCTTTCCATTCAAAAATGCGTTGGTGGTGAGTTCTCAGTTTGTGGATGGATGGATGACGAGAATTAAGGCTTTAGCTTTACAAGTTTGCTTTGCTTTGCTTGGGCTGGGTGTTATTAGACAAAGCCATGTTTGTCTTGCTCATAGGGTTCAGCCAGCTAACTAACCTTATTAGCTCAGTGTTATTATTTTAGTTGGGATGAAGGACGGAGGGTGTTATCTGTGTATCCATAACATGTGTATGGTGGAGGAGTAGGGAGAGAGGTTCCCCGTTCCATTAGCTCAATTAATTTTGAAATGCCACAAGAGATCGTAGAAAGCTTGCTCAAATTGTAAGTGATGAAAGTAATAAATGGTGTTCAAAAAGCGTAGTTTGTGAAAATTAAGGATGTGTAGTTTGAGGGGAATAGGGGTATAGTGAAAGTTGGAATAATTGCTATTTTCTCTGCCCCCATAAATTATGAAGAACTGCACGCTTCTATAATTCGCTGTTGGCACCATCTTCCTGCCAGCTCAGGTATGATTTATGGTTCTGAAGTAATTTCGAACAATTAAAATATATTTAATAGATGATTTTCTATAGTGCAAAGAATAGCAGGGTATTTTTTATGTCAAGTGAAAATTGTATCTTTGAGGTTCTAAGTAAATAGTAGTTGTCAAAAATTACATTTTTGGCATCTGACAAATGCTAATTTTGAAATATTTGCATGCAACTTTTATTTTTCATGAAAATTGCGACTATTTGGATGCGGTGACGATTTATTACCGTTGATCGACTATTGTACATACATATCTATACAAACAATATCAACTTACACCATTTTTTTTAAAATATGCTAACTTTATTGATTTTGCAATACATATATATATGCTTAGGATTAAAATCAACGCTGTGTCCATTACTAGCTTTTATGATTAACCTTATGTCGCCAACATTTAAGCTTTTCTTCAGAACAAACTGGAAATCTGTGAATGTCAACGTTGACAGTGCCCTTTCGGTCCTTCAGTTCCTTCCGTTTCGCATTTTCTGTCAACAAACCATCTCAACATTTAAGAAACTATTTAATTTATGTGAACTTAAGTTTAGCTCTCTATGCAAACCTCGGTACACGCATTGGCGATGTTTTTTCGAGCACTGGTGTGCTTCTGCTGAAAGTATAAACAATCCTAGAAACAAATGAAAAAATAACGCGAAATGTATAAAAATTATAGAAAACAATGGATTGTTGAGTATTTATTTGCTTATGTACCTATTACAAGAAAAACTAAGGTCGACGTGTAAAGGAGGAAGTAGCACAACCTCATTTCAAACTTTAAAGATAAGCACGGGAGTAATTTGAAATATTAGAGTTGATTTGTAAAATTTAGTTTCATGTGATATGCGCTGCGACCATTGTTGAACTACATCAATGGACTTGTAAAACATGAAAAAAATCCTGGCTTTTATTGCAGATTATTGAGAACAAACCGCACTAAATATGTAAGAAAATGAAGTAATACTTAAAGCATTAATTGGTAGTTTAGCTGTAAAATAGTCACAATGCGTCAGAGTAACAGAAATTGAGTAGAATTACGTCTACTGTGTTGTCTATAAAAATTATTTTCATGGTCAGTTACAACTTTAAAATCTAGAAAAATATTAATAGTTCCATAAAACAGGACTAGAACAAATTACCTTCATTGCAATTCAATTGAAATGTACCTGTATTTTTACTTTCGTCGCGGCGATCTTCCATTTCGCTGCATTTTTGCTATGTAACAATACTTGGACCAATGAATATGAAAATAAGAGTCATCAGCCATTCTATTCCAATAACTTTTATGAGCAAAAATAAATAACGCAAAGGCTCCATTTTCCATTAAAAAGTACAGTTTTATAGACGAAATGCCGATTTATAGATTTGATTACTTGGCACGCTCTCTGGTGAATTTGAATTCATGCTCATTGAAACTAAACCCAATGTGCGTATTAGCATTTCTCGGAAAATGCAAAAGTCACCAAATTTTCTCCATATTTCAATACAATTGAGACGATTGTGTGGGATTCATGCTTTTTGAGAGTGGCAGAAAGCCAAGCCGAAATCTAGTCGAGGGTGATCTGCCATGCTGGAAATTCTCCAGATTTCTTTTTCCCCTCTTCCTGATCCTGTCCGAGATTTTGGATCCTTTTAGCTCCTCCTTGAGAGACTTCTTCGGAGCCAATGGTTCTCCTTTCTCCTTTCCCCAACTTTCTCCTTCAGGTGCATCCCATCGACTTATCATCTCCCAAAAAGGGAAAAAGACTAACGATAGACTGCCCAGATTTTGACTTTGATGCCAAATCGGCAGAATTTCATGATAGCTTTCTTTCACTTACATATAGCATGCTAAAGTTAATACTTATTATTCAGTATTTATTTTTTACCTGACAATTACAATATTTGTGGCTAAATTAAGATTAATAACCTCTTGGAATGCTGTACAGTGTACACAATCGCATGACTTCCAAAGTCTATATACAGACTCAAATATTGGGGAATATGCAATTATATAAATATACAAATGTATGTTAGCTTTGTTTCCACTTTCTCTCAGAATATCTTATTTTTTAAATTTTTGTTGAGTTTGAGCTTGAATGAAGATTGCAGAAGTCTGTAGGAACGTAAAACCTAATTGAGTGCAAATAAATTTCACAATTTTCATGTTACAATATTTTTTGACATAAAAAACTCTAAAACTTAAGTATTTAGACAAATACAACTAATCCCGATGTGGACACAACTTTGTGATGGCATTTTATTTTATTTTATGAATATCATTTTTTACACTACTAAAATTCTGCTTTCAGAGCATCAACATTATTCCTAATTTCTTTTAGGCAAAATGCTGACGTCATTCAATGTCACATTGTGACCATCCTTTGTTCCAACGATTTTTCTACTTACTTCCTTCTTAGCAATTGTTTACATAGATATCACCCGTAATATTTCGAGTCAGTGGGAGGAATGTCAGTTTGTTTGGTGAGTAGTCAAGTTGGTGATACGGATGGATGGAGATGCATCCACTTCGGAGATAATCATCATCCCTGCTGCTGCTTTCACCCAGAGAAATCCACCCTCGTTTCATCCCTCATTTCATCGAATCTCTCCTCCTCATTCACTCCGCAGCTCTTCTCCATTACTCACTCACTTCTACTCCACGAACAATGGAGGTCTCCCAGCGTATGCTCACAGATTTTGACAAAAATTGGTGTGAATCGATCAGAAATTTAATTAGTATGAAATTTGCAAATGACACGATCTCTCAATGCTCAGTTTGGCAGAGATATTTCCTGTAATTTTTGGTAGAGATATGCATCCGAAGAGGAGAAGATGCAGAATAAATTTGGAAAGTGTAAAATTTGTCAACTTTGGGGCGCGCTTTCTCCTCTTCGGATGCAAATATCTCCACCCAACGTGCTCATTGGCAGTTAGTGTATTTTGCAAATTTCATACCAATTAAATTTGTGATCTATTCACACTGGTCAAAATCGGTGAGCATACGTTGGGACACCTCCATTGTAAGCTTTACAATATATCAAGGCATCTTCCAAACGGGAAACAATTCTTACAAAAAAATAGGAATTAAAACTCGCTTAAAAACATGCTAAAAAATTGTCTTTGGCAGCAGCCACATACGTACATATTTTGAATACCGAACTTTATCCAAGCTTCAAGAAATGATTTTATCCCGTACTTTCATAAAACTTCCTGGTTCGACTCGACTTTCTTCTTCACAATCTCCACAGCATCGCTCTCACAGAATGACACTTCATTTTTCACAATGCAGGGGATATGACAAGGATATTTTTCGGAATATTGGGTAAAAGAGGAAGTGAGAGGGGAGCGAGAGAGAAAGCGGAGTGATAAAATAAGATGTGACAGACAAGGGTGATAAATTTATTGCTGCTTTTGCTTTGCCCCAACAGAAAAAAAGATAAGCTTATTCAAGACAAACAAATAAAAGTTTTGCTTACAACCTCCTGATTCAGTCAGGGGCACATAACTGACTGTCCCCGATATGGCTCGAGTAGAGGAAAAATGAAATGAATTGGATAATGTTTGATCTCTCTCCCAACCACTCTCACTGGATGGATGGAGTTGGATTCATATATAGTTTAACAGTTGAGTGGGTCTCACTCGAGGGGTGAATTTTTTGGATCATCTTGCTGGAGAAAAGTGCAATTTGTAATTTTTAAGATTTAGATCTTACTCAGAAAATGACATGTTTTACAACCGCTACTTTACTGACGTGGAATGTAATGAGTAAAATGGTCATGAAAAATGATGCTGTTTATTGTTATCATTGTCCGCTTTCACTATTTATGTACAACTTTCTTTAAACAAAAGTACGGAAGTGGCTGTTAACACGATAAAATAGATCTGTAGCATTTGTACTTTAGTGACACTACTGCTGCTACTTGAGCTGATGAAAACTTCTCTTCTGGCGGAACAATTCTTATCTAGCGATGAGGGGGGTTGATACGTCGTCGTGACTTTGGGATACTGCGTCAATACTTGGAATTTCGTTTTGGGATCGATTAATGCTGCTGATAAATCGATGGCAGGATCCTGCACGGCGCATCCGACCAATTGAGGAGTGTAGGCTTGAATATCTTGTATTTTTAGGCGTAAATCTTCCGTCCAATTCACGTGTGAACTTAAATATTCGGCGTAAGTTAGGTTTCTGAATTTTGAAGGACGTTTAATTTTAGGGTTGGATACTCCAGTTCTGGAAAAATAGATGAGATTCTATTCATTTATGTTACCTATGATCGTAGAAAACTGGTAGTGAATCATTACTGACCGGAGTACATATATGACTCTACCGGCAATAACGGGTATTTCCGTTTAGCAATGTTGTGGTAATGACTCAGAAACAAACTACTACCAATCCGGTAGGAGTTTATTACCAGATCAATACCACTACGGAGAATATATGCGACTCTACCAAATTTTTAATAGCACACATACCTTTCTACGGACCGAATCCCAGTAGCGTTCATAAGCATGGGTGCGACCACTTCGCTCCCACACCCAACAACTCGACCTTTCGGATACATAATGGCGTCGCACATTTCGTCCGTTGTCCTGTAACCGCCACGGACAACTCTGGGTGGTTGCAATCCTCGAGTGTCGTATGTGCATTCTGATTTAAAATAAATACAACTTTGTACTTTGCCATTGTTGCGACTTGCGTTAGATATTAAAATTGCTTACCAAGAGTGAGATGATCACCGGGGAGAAGCTTGACTTCCTTAATATTCCGATTCTCTTGGTACCCATTGTCATAATTTTGATCATCTCCAAGAAATGGAAGTTCAACATCCTCGCGAAAGTGTCGAACCCGCATTTTGTTGGCTAAAAGTATGAATTAATTGAAGTAACTGCTTAACAAAACTGCCAAAACTTGGTGGAGAATTAGTTTCCTGTGTTATTTACCGGTATTATGCGCATGAAGTTGAACATTGAACAGAGTGTATCCCGTATCCGGAAGGAATTTCGTACATTCAGGACTGCAGTGACTAACCACTTTAAAGTTGGAGGAATCGGGAGGAATTGTTAGTCTAAAATCAGCCACAACTCCAAATCCTAAAAGTCCGACTTCAATCGGTCTGGAAGACGGATTGTTACATAATTATTGTAGATTTATTACAGACATTTTTTTATTGTCTCAATTTAACCTTGGCTGTTCGCTGTAAAATAACTCTACGCCGGTTTGAAATGACAGTCCCTTCGCCAATCCTGGGTTATTGAGGTGCAGTTCTAAGAGAAAGTACTCTCTCCGCTTTCCTTTTCTTGTGCTTATTGCAAGCCCGACATTTTCGGGAAATATCATGATCTGCAAAATACCGAATTTATTGAATAGACAGATTTTATGGTTAAAATGTTTTTTCTTACATTTCCACCAATTGCCCAACTGTAAATAATGGTTGAGCAATCTTTATACGCGTCAAATCTCCGTTCGCCTATATCGTCGCTATATCCGCCAGAAAAGCAGTTCCCATCTTTAAATTGGGCAAAGTATTTTTGTGGATCCGCATTGTTGAGGGGAGGTTGACAAGAGTACAGAGTCAGGTGGTGGGTGTGACGGAGGGCCAGTTCATTATTTAGTTTCGGACCCATCTGAACCATTACAATGATTCAGTTTATATAATTTCGTTAAAAGTTAGCTATTTTTTTACATACTGCAATGATGTGAGGTGATTCATTCTCCAAAGTTTCGGGCCCTTCTACCACAGAACACCAGTAAGTAGAGTCTGTAGCTGGGAATTCAGCTCTGGTCAGAATATTTACCGATTTGTATCTATATAAATTGCCATTCATTTAATAATTTTAAATATTCTAAAATTATTGAGCTGAAATTTACAAAAGTAAAAAGTAGTGTTCACAAATTTGCATAATTTACTTTGTAAGATCCACTGGGAAAGGAGGTGGATCCAATAATTTGACAGAGTAAGAACCCCTGCTCACACTTCCGTGATATTGAACAATATCACTTTCTCCTATTGCCCACAGCAGCCTTTGTGTCTCATCCTGTATAACTTTCCATTATTATGATTTCCATCCTAAAATATTATTTAATAATTGGATTACACGGAGTTAAGTGGAAAAGTCGAAGAAAAAGTTTTGCTTTATTTTGTCAATATTTCGAATGCTATCTGCTATTCATTATCAAGACATTTACAAGATGGGAAATTTGTTATGAGATTTCGTAGTTGAAATTAGTTAGTGTAAATTCATAAAAATAGTTGTCATGTTTGTGGCGTTGGATACTGGGGTCACGTTTTCAAGTGATAAAAAATGTAAAGGGACCCAACTTGATGGACCGAAGGAAAACCTTGCCATAAAGAAAAGAAGGAAAACCTCAGTCAATCCACCCAGACCCCATTTGGCATCAAGTTGGGTTGATGTTTTGTTGTGTGTCGCTTGAAAGTGGGAGTGGTTTTGTGTTAATAAATTTTGGATGTCGAATGATTGGTAGAAGTAAAGCTGCCCAAATGGGGTTGATGTTTTTGCCGTCATTAGAGTTGATTTTGTCTTTGTCAAGTTTTTTAATGTAAAGTCCTTCTTTGTATTTACGGTAAAAATATCTGTGTTCTGATTCAATAAGTGCAGTGGATTGAAAATGGATGGTGTGAGTGGGATTGTCTTTGATATGTTGTGCTACTGCTGAAACGATTTTTTGCTCGGTGACATGCTTGTTTTTGTTTCTGGTGGTCATTTGAGAAATGTTGGTATACGTTATGTTTACCTTGTCTGTTTCTGATTTGTGTTCTTTTATTCTATCTAAAAGTGGTCTACATGTTTCACCTATATATAGTTTGTTACAAGAGTAAGGAATTTTATATATACCTATCTGAGGGGTTGGTGCTGCCTGTTTGTGTGTACATATCATATTTCCTACTTTTTTACCTGGAATATAACCGAAAGTGCAAGAGAGAGTGCGTCTAAGAAAGTGTGAAAGTTTTGTTGTGAGGGGGCCAGAATATGGTAGTATGATACGTGCGCCTGTCTCTAATGTTTTAGGTTCATTTGTCTGAAACTTTTTAATGCGTTTATTTATGAGATGCAAAGGGTAGCCATTTTGCATGAGTTGTGATTTTATTAATTGTAATTCTTGGCTTAGGAATTCTGGACTGCAAATGGTAAATGCCCTATATAAAAGTGAATCAATTACCGAAATTTTGTGAGATTGGTGGTGGTAAGATGTGTAATGCAAATATCTACCTGTGTGTGTACTTTTTCTGTAAACTTTGTGTTTTGTAGTACCATCTGTGTATCTTATTATGGTTATGTCTAAAAAATGTAATTGATTGTTAGTTTCTTCTTCTAACGTGAATTGTATCTCTGGATGGAAATTATTGAACTGATTTAAAATGTTTGTTGTTTCGTTTTTTGTGATGCAAGTGAAAGTATCGTCAACGAACCTACGATGAAAATGTATGAGTGGGTTATTATTCACTAGTGTGAGTTCTAAAATATTATGCATACATCGTTTTCATGACTCTACCTTGATGTCAACATCATCTTCGTCACAGGTTTCAAGCCGTCGTGAGAACTTGAGGTGGGTCACTCCTTCAGATTTTTTGGCATCCAGCAAGGTCCAATCTTGACTGACGTCAATTACCGGCTCAACATTGCCAATTCCGTGCCGGTCCTGTTTTATTTATTTTAAAAAAAATAATTCAGGAATGCATTACAAAAACTTCCATCCTAACAATTTATTCTGCAACTGCATAAACATGAAAATCTCATATTACCTCAAAGTACGTTTTCCCATCCGAATCCACACCCCCGATCACAATATCGGCCGACTTCATTCGTCCCGTGGAGGAAATCCCAAACCCAACATAGCCCGTCGTGTTAACTTTCACTTCAAATGTGATCAACTCCTTCTCCTTGTCAACGGCCCATCGAACCTGCCCAAGTTTTAAGCCGTTTTGAGTATAATCTGATCTTTTTTTTGTAGAAAAATAATTTTGTACAAAATTCCTTATTTCATCGATGAATAAGTAATTTCATCATTCATCGAACCTCAAAGTTTCCACCTCTGTCCAGCATAGCAGTTCTTTCTAATAAAGGATTTAATGTTACACTGTTGCTTACAAATCCAAAAGAGTTAGAAAAGTGGGATAAAATTAGCAGGAAAATTTGTCTCGACTTCATTTTGAGAAACTTAATTGACAGAGAAACTTGTGTTTATCAAAATATAAACTCGCCGTGTCCACCTGGGTGAAATTGACAATGAAAGCGTTACAATGGTCAATACGTAGTCAAGTCAAAGGTTAACAGGTATTTATTATTGTTTCAAATAACCGAATGACTCCTGTTTAAAACTTTCACTATAAAAAACTATTCATTAAATTGATTAACGATGCCTTTGTTGATATAAATAAGTCCATTGTTTTATCTCATACGGCATAGTAGCACATACGTACATGTAACACTTACCTACGTAACCTGACATTTATTCTCCATGTCGGTTTTAGAAAAGTGAAGTGTAAAAATCTTTATGTTTTGTATTACGAAAAATCACGATAAAATACACCACTAAAAATTCTATTTCTAACCTTTACGAAGTTACATAACATCTTGTGACGATAATCGATTTGGTCCATAATTTTTCTAACAATTCAGCAATGATTGAAATTACTTATTACTTGTGAAAATTTCGTAATTTGACATATAAAAATTAATCAATCCATGCCCTTGTTAGGCTTCATTAATTGTTAGATTCCTATTTTTACTACATTTTTACAAAATTGTTAACCAACTTTTGCCATACACTATACACGGTCTACCGAACTCTGCAAAAGTTTTCCTAATTGGAAACTTACTTTCCATCCATATGTACATAAAGCTTGATTCTTGCAATCACGACCTGACACGGGTCATTGTATGGAGTTAGTCGGTCTTCTTACTAAATTTACTCTGCACAATCTTGGCAATAATAAGCTGTCCCCTTCTTCTATTCTCCAACAAAAAGAACAAAAAAAAACTTACTTTACTGCATTACTCTTCTGATGGATAAAATGGAGATGAAAGTTTTTTCCCTCTTTTCGAAATGGGAAAAGTTGCCTTTCTTGCATTATGTGCTGACTCAGGCAAAGATAAGGATCCTGATTGAATCTTCATTCAAACTCATGCTCAACAAAAAATTCAAAAAAATAAGAAATTCAGAGAGAAGGAGAAAGCACCATGTAAATAAATCGTTACAAACGAAATGCAGAAATAGAGTGAAACAAGTAATTCCACATAAAATTATGTGGCCACGCCCCCTAACCTTGAAAGGAGGATGGTCCGCATGACCCCAAAAGTTGACCTCCAAAAGTTGAGTCCTTATGCATGATGTCGCAAACCGATCTGGATTATCTTAATCCGTTATCCTGCTGACGGACAGACGGACAGACAAACGGGAAAAGTCTTCCCTAGTAGTGTCTCACCCTATGATAAAGCTAACATACGATTTGTGTATGTAAGTATTTGCATATTACCCAATATTTGAGTCTGATCGGTAAATTATTGTAATAATTAAAAGGTTTAATACACGCGTGAGATATATTTATTGAAAATGAGTTTAAAACAAACAAATGCAAAATTTAAAATGGTTTAAACTAGAATTCATCCAACTTCGCATTCAGCTCGTTAGTTTGCAATACAAATGACAAAACAGTTTGCTTGCTACACCCACATTTACTTTTACATGTCTTTGACATCCCTTTAATATCCATACCCTTATTTCCTTCATATTTCTCATCGGATCCGGTCGGAGTCATTCAACTGCATCCCATCTTCCCATCCATCTCTACATATCTACAACCACCACTACTTGTGCAGAAGAGGGCAATAAAATTCTTATTACAGCGATAAGAGCGGAGATATCCCCCAAGTTTTATTTTAGCCCTGCATCATTGTCATCTCGTCCCATTTCATTGCTCTCGTCCCAGCCTGACTCATTTATTTCATTGCTAAATGACTTGTCTTCACATAAAATAATTATTTTATGGGGATGGGCCATGATGAGACGGTTGACAGTATACGGCGATCTACGTATGCATACATATATGCAGCCCACGGTTTTGGACAGTAATCGGTGTGTTAAATGGATTGTAAGATTTGGAAGAAGCGGAAGTACTATTATTATTAAACTGCGGACGAGCGAGTGGGAGCAATTATTAATATGCATGGCTTTTTACTACCCGGTTTGAACTCGTCATACAATTTTCATCCTTCTTGTCGCCAATAAAATTATAAAATTACGAGGAATGGGACGGTTGTAATCACGATGGAATTAACGATGTTGTCATATTAATTTTAGGGTGGATTTTCCCTAGTTCGTGTTTATAATGACATGAAATGTATTTAAATTTGTTTGAATATTTTCGACTATTTTTTTTGGCGAGTTTGCATTAAATACTGACATTAAATACTGTGCATGACTGCATATTTAATAGTAACCGTTCGGAGATGAACGTTAATTATTTTATGCCTTGGTTCGGGCTAATTGTCATTGTAATTGTCATTTTCGTTCGTCTGTCTGTCTTTCGATAACGCTCGTGACCATTGACTTGAAATTTTTATCATATGCATATTGCGAAAGTTGGAAAGCGAGTTCGAAGATGGGCGAAATCGGTCACGTGATCCGAGTGGGTGGGGTATCATGCACGAAAATTTCAAATTAATAGTAGAAAACTGAAAAGTATAGAGCTTGCTAATGGCTTCTAGTAGAAGAATATTCAAATTGGATAAATTTTCGTGAAGGGACCCGATTGGGTGACTCATACCGATTTAAAAAAAATCGTCATGTAGAGCTGAAATTTGGCATGGTGGTAATGGAATCGAGCAAACATTAGAATTTTGAGAAATTAACATGGAAAGCGAAATTTGGACCAGAGATCCTTACTGCTTTCTCATGAAATAATATGAAATAAAATATGAATAAAAAGTAACCAGAAGGGCACTAATGGGTGACCAATACCGATTTTAAAAAGTTGATAATCAGCTAAAATTCAGCATGGAGTCGAAAATAACATGATTAGAATTTAGGGACCGCACATAAATTAAAATTATGTCACACGAGAGGGGGGGGGGGGTCCAAGGCTCCAATCATATCATACCTGTTAGATGGGGGAGGGAGTCTAGAAATCGCAATTTTTTCGTGACACAAGTAATTTTATCAGCAATACCAAGAATTTATGTTAGTTAATGAAAAATTACTACAAAATAGTAGCACTTGATTTTACACAAAACTACTGACAAATATGGGGTTAACAATCAATCCTGGTTCGGGATAAGGAAAGCTGTACTGATGGGTTTCAAAGATTGATTGATTGATTGATTGATTGATTGATTGATTGATTGATTATGCTTTATTCAAGTGTCTACCAAGTTCACAGTAACAAACCATGCTCTTCCACGAGTGACACATACAATATACAAATATGTTACAAACTAACTATATCCACTAACCAACACACCACAAAATAAAAACTCTGTTTAAAGTGCATTTCTTAATGCCAGCTGAATAAAATTTTAATAGACGGATCTAGTTAGCTGCTGACATTTTGTAGTTGAATTAAATACGGACAACTTCTTGCCACTCAACTCTTCCTCTGTACAGCTGAGAGAATTAATACTACATCCCCAGCTTATTAACTCAAACCAAAAATTTACGACTAGTAATAGTATTATACCCTGATTGCGATCGTTATGGGCTCTCCGGGTGGAGCCTAATAGGCAGAAACCAGCGCTCTTCCCCTCATTCTTTTCAGCAAACTGAGGAATGTGGCTGGTTTCTGCCTATTAGGCTCCACCCGGAGAGCCCATAATGATCGCAATCAGGGTATAACAAACTAATTATGTGCACTGGATATTATAATGGTTAATCTCGCTAATGAATCAACCTGGTAAATAAAAAGCCGATTGAAGTGCTCGAAAACCTTTTATTGATTCTGGGTGTTATTATCAACATTATGAAATACTGGAGCATTTAAATATTAAGAACCATTAAAAACGAAAACCTTAGTAATTCAATTAAAACGGTAACTGGTAATTTCCTATTCTTTTTTCCAGATTTAATGTCAACAATGGACAAAAAATAAACAACCGGACCGTGGTGCAAAACCAAATCTGCCTAGTATTGATACGCCAAGTAAAGGTGCGTTTATGCTTTCTGATTAATTGTAGCGATCTCTTAGAGAATTGATAACCGACGGGTTTTTAGTTCCCGTCCTCGTTACATTCGCGTCGCCATAGCGGTCGCTATGCAATTCGCCATGCGGGTTTATGCATTGTTTCCTCCTTCATTTCACGGCACCTTCACGATCACCATGAAAGTTGAACAGAGTTCAACTTTTACACGGATGAAGGAGCAAGGAAATTTTTAGAAACCATTACAATTTTATAAATATTTCCATTTGCGATTTCAAAATTTCACAAAATGACTACAAAAGTGATATCTGCGCCCAAATCTCCACTGGATCTGGAAGAAAAATTAATTCTTCTAGTTCAGCAACGTCCAGCACTGTACGACAAGAAGGATCCTGCATACAAAAATAGAAACACTCGTGCGGTGATGTGGGAGGAAATTGGAAAGCTACTAGGAAAGACAGGTCAGTTTGTTTTACTGCAGAGTCTATATTCTCACTTGTATTAACTCTAAAAAGGCAATTTTTCAGAGTTCGATTGTCAACAACTGTGGACAAAATTACGCAGCCAATTCAGCGGATTCCTGCGAAAATTACGCAATCCAAGTGGAAAAGAGGACAAGCCACGTCCCTTCTTCCGGCATGAAGGAGCAATGCGTTTCATCCGTGACATTGTTGACCCGGATGAAAGGTAATAGTAGTTTATATTTAATTGAGTAATGAGTTGGTTAAATAATTTTGGTAATGAAACTATCTCTAAACAAACAGTACCGTGTCCAATCTCGTGACTGAAGATGATTCTTTTTGTTTTTTTGTTTTTGTTTAATTGGCATAATTGTTTTTGTGAGATTATGAAATGGCTATGATTTTTTACGGGTTTTTACTTTCCCTTCGATGACCGATAGCTAAAACTAGCGTTGAGAGAAAGCGATCGTAAAAACTACAGAAAGTGTAAACCCGTTATGAAGGAAGGAACGCTAACGCTATGGCGACGTTATGTAACGAGGACGTTAAGCATAAACCATACTTAAGTTGTACTGGATTTGATCAAAACTGACAAATTTTTACAGTTTGAAATTTCTATTTTCCACAGTCGCCAGCTTGGGATTCAAGATGATGAGGAAACTCTTTCCAGAAAAATAGTGGCATGTCTTCAGCCGAAAGAGGAGAGATTTCGATATAAAGATTATTCACCGTTTTGGAATAGATGAGGTCAAGTTGAGGCGAGGTGAGATTTGTATGAAGGTATATGAACAGTTTAGTTGCGCCAGTTTAGTAATTGCGCGGAATTCAGAAAGTTCGGGGCGCGACAAGTTGGCGGAAAAGTTCGCGTTCAATCTGATTTATGCCTTGGTACAGCACCTCGAACCATTTCTTTCTTCAGCTTTAACTATCACACATTCGATTTTTTGTTCGAATAATCTCTACATAAAGTTTAGGAAAAAGGGATGCATAGTACTTGCACATTTATTTTCAAACCTTAAAAATATACAATTAAACAAATGTAACCAAAGTTGTTAAACAAAAACATTTTCGTTTTGCAAAATATTACATTTGTAAACGGAGAAAATTTATATATCTTTCGTGCAAAAAAATATTCCTGCAGATACATTGACCACTGCTGGTATATGAGTTTTTCATAATTGTTTACAAAATGCTTGGATTGGAAAACATTGATAGATTTTTGCAATTTGCAGTAAAAGGCACAAGTGATGGTGTTGAACTTGCAAAATATTTCACTAGCGCGTGATTTTGTACGGCAAAATTGAAGCTATAAATATTTCAGCCAAAGATAGCAAAAAAATGCGTGGAGAGAGAAGTGTGAAAAGCGAACGAACATGCGTTTCGCATTGAAATCGAATTTTTCCGGCAACTTGTTGCGCACATAACTTGCTGAATTTCGCGCATTGGCAAATGCGCGAAACGCAACAAATGTCAGCGCAACAAATGTTGCTTTTTAAGAGCTTATCTTTCAAACGGAGGTGTGCAAAAATTAGCATGGTTTGCATACCCATTGTCAGTGTAGGTAATTTCGTCAATTTTCAAAAGTTGATGACAATCCGGTTTGCGTGATTGCCTTCAAGAAGAACCTGTATCGAGTTATATTCATTGTGATCCTACTCCACAATTTTATACACATATTTGTACAGTGAAATGTTATTAGTGCGTTCATTTGACATCCGTAACGAACAGGTGTATTAGGTAGCTGGTGCTGCTCAATGCGCTCCAACTATGGAGCTAGCAATGATATGGCCTGAACTTTATTAATAACAATTTCGATTATTACTTCGTCTAAATGTCATGTTGTTCTGAATCAGATTGTCGAAAGATGCAGAAGCACGTTTAATATGACAAGATCTTAGAAAAGCAAAAGAATCTGTTGATCTAAATTGGACCCTGTGGCTTAAGGATAACCCTAAACTCCCCATCCTTGAAGAGGCTAATATCCCATCAAATGACCCAAGGATGGTAAAATTACGAGAAATACAAAAATAGACGCAACAGAATAATTGCAGATCAAAGAAATATCAGACCATATTTTCTCAACTATATTATAGGCTACAAAATCTCAGGCACACAAACAGATCAAGGACCAACAGAAATGTTCCGCTTAAATGCAAACAATCCAAACTTTCAAGCTTTCGTGTTTCTGGATAGCCATGTTCAGTAAGTAAAAATCGAAATACCTTATCTGAATGACTTACACTGGGTTTTATACTTCGCTTTATTATCATGTTCTCCTAACAATCCGTTTTCTTCACACATTTTATATAATCCGTAGCCAGCGCCCGTGCATTTACCATACGGAACCACGGGAAAGAGAAAGAAGCCCCGTGTACAAAAAAGCTAAAGAAGGCTATCGTGTATATTATTTGGTGAGCAAAATTTACAAATCAAGATCAGTAAATGAAAAATGGTGGGATAGTAATTGGCTTTTGTAACTATAGACTCAAACATTTAACCAAGGACCATTCATAGAAAATGTGAGGCCCGTACTACACCAACAATATATCTGGACCATGATGGCTTTCCATCATAAAGAGATCCTCAAGAGCCCCACCAAATTACATTTAGAAATCATAAACCAACTTACGATTTCAAAATTTAATGAGAAAGCAAGTCTAAGCTCTAGTGAATCAGATCAAGGATATAAAAAGATACGAAGTGGCGCAAATCTTTGAAATGATTCCAGGCAGAAATAATGGGAATTGGGTTAGGATCTAATCACACAAAGATAATTTTGTTTGGAAATTTCCATCATCATTTACATCATCATCATCATTTACGTTAACCTTTACACCGTGACTTTCGTTCGGTCATCCAGAAAAGCTTAACTCTACGTCTTGCATCATCATAATTTTATTAATTAAATGCAAACACAATTGCACTTCATACAACCTAGTTAGTCGACATTCGTAGCATAGCTGATAATGTAGTCTCCATTAAATGTAGTAGAAAGTAGTAAAGTATTATATAGAAAGTGTTGTATAGTAAGGATCATGTCAGCTTTTATCCTTAATATACTGCATGTATCGGATCCACACCGATGGTGAATTAAGAAACAATAAAAAATAAAACATTTGTTAAGCTTACTGTGTTAAATCCCCCCCACGTCATATCTGAAGCGGTCACATATTCAAAGTTATTATCAGAAATGACGTCAATTATTGGACAAACCACTGATTTTTTGTCAATGGCTATCTCGTGTAACAAGGGTTCCAACCATCCTTCGGTGCACTGAAATCATTTGAAAATTCATTAATTTATTAATGAAGATTATAGATAAAGAAAATTCATTAATTTATGATCAGGTCACTTGGAATAATTTGGAAATAAACTTGTTTGCAAACCTCGCAATGTGCATCCAGGGAAGTCAATACTTTACCCTAAAATACAAAATAGATAGATACAAAAGTTTAATAATGACGAACTTGTCATTTTACATTTGCATTTACATTACTTTTGCATTTTTGGCACCGAGAAGTCTTGCACGGATCAACTCAGAACGTTTCCCCGCTCTAAAAACTCTAACCGAAGTTGGAAGACGGGCGGCATATTCTTCTAGTTTCTTGCCCAAAAAGTCTCGTTCGGAAGCATCATCAACTAATATAATCTCTTTGATTAAGGGTTGTGAGGATCTGTTAATATTCAAAGAAAAATTTAGATTTAGCGAGAGGGGGGAGATCTAACGCTCAAATGATATTGTGCCTATATTACACAAATTAAATGGGGGGGTCTAGAAAATCGCAATTTTTACATTACATAATTTATGGACGGCCCCTAACTCCTCATTTATACATATATACACCAAATTTCAATTGGGTAGGATAAGTTTAACGAGATTTGTGGCACGACGGATGGACATGATGGTTCCATAAGATCGGGCTAAAAATGTTGAGCATTACGATTAAAGGGAGAAAATAGCACAATGCGACACTATTCCCCCCGATCTACCAATGATGACAGTATCTCGTAAGTAGTTTATGCATTATAGATAGAAATTGCTTCAAATTTTCAGGCTTAGGATACCAGAAACACTTATATTATTCTATAGCTAGGGATTGACAATTGTATTCATGCATGAAAATGCTCCATTTTTGTATTATTTCCATTGATTGAATGCATTCATTGACTTTTAGAACTGTGAGCCATGTCACATCATGGCTACGTGTAGGTACAAGTAGCCTTGAAAAAATACATCAATGCAATAGAATTTATGAATAGGAAGGGGAGATATTTTTACATACAAAGTAAATGTGGGTAGAATTTTTTGTGCAAAAAACGAAACAACCCAATTTCATTCCCTATGAAGCGGAAGGAAGATGACTGACTAGTGACTATATTAAAGCAATAGTTGGCAGGAAGCCCATCATGCATATTTCTGCAAAAATGTGTATTAATATTAACATACATAGATAGTTCTTGTAACTAGCGAAAAATTGGTAGTCCTCCACCTCCACAACAATTACACGCCATTCGCCATGTAATATGGTATGGATTTGTTATATGTAATCATATTGCAGTTTTTTTATTCAATTCGCAGCCAGCTTGGCACAATGGGATAAATAAATGAGCATCATAAGCGTCTACGTGGCATCCTGATTTAATAGTATGGGGCACATCTATTATGTTAATATCCTCAAAAAACGGGGTGGTGCATGGTCGTGGCTATTATTCTCAGGTCCATTATGTATTATTATGCACACAAATGCTTTTAATAGTCGTAGTCAGTCAGTCAGTCAGTCAGTAAATGTGATCTTGATAACGCAGTTTGTGACCAATACATAGGGGCTGATTGACGTGTTGCAATCATAATTTCACTAATAGACGTGATTTCGTAAAGTCTGTACCACGTGTAACCATCTGGTTATTAAAGATTTTAAAAATACTTGCTACCATTTATTTACAATTTAATAATTAGGGAGTTGTCTTATTTAATGGATGTACGGAACCCACCGTTAGAAAATACAATTAATTTCGCTACATTGTTGTGAAAGAGTTAGGAGTCTATTATTAAACGGTGTTAATTGGAAGTTCCGGTCGAGAAGGAAGCCACACTGACTGTCCATTTTATTATTATTGTAGATTCTCAACGGGAATCATTTGGTGAGTTAAGTAAGCAAACACTTATTATTCTTTATCGTCTTCTGTGCCTTCTTGTCAACCAATTTGACTTTTCTTCAAAAGACAAACGAATATAAAAGGATCAAAGCATGCATGCATAGCCAGTGGTCATATCGTAAATAAAAAATTTAAGAGTCCTGTTACTTTTCGGGAGTTCGCCTGTTTCGATCGCTTAGTTTTACTTTACGTTGAGTGAGACGAGGTAAAAAAGTGGTGTGTACATATACATATATTTATACGTACGTATGTACTTGCATTTTATAGTAAATTACTACGAGGAGAGAAATGTCTTAAATTTTCTTCCCCAAACTTTTTTCACAAGACAAACGAACGATTACTACCTGACAACAACACGAATTTGCCATGCTATGCTACACGAGGATAGAGAATAAAAGGGTATTTTGACAATCATGTGAGAACCTCCATTCTGAAAGAAGAAGCGATTTACGATTTGCTCCGTCTCATTTTTTTTGTTTTGAGGAAAATCCAAAAATTCCTATGCAAAACGAAATTTTATGCAAGCAACCTAAAATATTTGCAATTGTCATTGAATTATGATTTTCTTCACGTTATGTGATGATAACTCCCAAACTATTTATTTCGAAAAGTCGCATCGACTTAACTTCCCCATAAAGACGTCCTTCTTAAATATTTAAGTATTGTTGGCAGCCTAACCAACCAACAACACTTTTTACCCTTCGTTAAATGCAAACAAGGCAAAACTACGTATTTATATACACATATGTAGGAACATGCCTTAATAGATAAAATACCGGCGCAGGAGGACACATTATTCTTTCTGTCTGTACAAACAAATAGTCGAATTGAATTATACATTTATATGTAGCTCCAAGCCAGACCACGTAAATTGATGCCTTTCTCCAATATAATTGATCCTTTGCCTTTCTCCTCGTTTTCTTGTCTTGCTATCCGTAGATCAAAGACCATCTACTAATCCAAGTCTCGAGTTGCATGGAAATGCGCATCCATTTCATCCCAGCTCGTTTCGTTGGAGGTTCTGTGGCTGGTAATAGAATTCTAGTTTTATTTTCTTACATATTATATATATATATATATAAGGCTTTTACTTTATAATATGCATTTCACTTTAGGCATACACACCTGTGTATATTTTACTTTCCTTCCCCGTTCGTTTTCATACACTTATGTACATACCTCTTCAGCTTTAGGTGTCCTCTTGGACCTCAGAATTTACAATTACGACCGCACCATGAGACTTTTATTGCCAGATATTTTTACACCTTGCCAGGCAGGCTCCCCAGTACTATTTTACATTTTCCTTTCCATGCAAAAGGTAACCTTACTCACGTCTCGGAGGAGGAAAGCAATGGGCTAAAATAAAAAGAAGACAGGCAACAACCTTCTTTTATCGCGTTCTTCTCTTATTACATGTCATCGTCATCACCAACTTTACTCATTGCGGCATTACATTTTTGCTACCTGGTGGCCAGGTAAGCTTTTTGACTTCAGTCTCATTTCTTCCCAGTCAGCGAGCAAGTAGTGGTGGTGATACTTGTGACAGCTCACCAAATTCACCAGTGGCGACCCTCTCATATTTATCAGTACGTAGTGGTTATCGGTTTGCTAAAATTGTATGTTGGCACACCCACCCCAAAAATTTAGCAGATTTGAAGGAAAAGGGGTTGCCAATTTTGTGATGGTGTGAACAAATTGGTGCTTACGGGCCTGATTTTTGCTAGACTCACCTGGCCTGAAGAAATGAAAAAGAGTTGATTGAATTGAATCTTGAGTTCATACTTTTAGTGAAGTGAAGTGAGGATGGAATTAGAGACAGTTTACGGTTTGTTGTTTAATAAGTAATTTGTAATTAATTAATTGGTGTGAGTGGGGTTGAGACGGATTGACTGGATAAGTTAAGGTTGAGAGTGGTTTGTCGGGTGTGGATTTTTTTGGAACGGAAGGATAACGGCGAATTTTTTTGGTAAGTGTGCGCCTTTCAAGATTTAGCTTTGTGATTGTTGATTTGACTGGAGATGACTCAATGAGACGTGAAAATAGGGGATTATTATTAATTTCAATTAGCTGATGATTTCTATTTTTTAGTCGGTTAACAAATTTCGGTATGATGTGTTTGAGTTGTTACGACTGCATAAGTATTGTAATTCCGAAATTTAGATTTCGTATTGTATGTAAACTGGCAGACAACTCAATTTGCAATTCAATTCTTCCAAATTCGGTTTCTAAGTTGTGCTAATTAATACAATTTAGTGGTTTTGCTAATGTTGGGGTAGGAGAAACTTGAAAAAATATGATTCGTCATCCATTTAAAAGGGCAAATTATTTCAAAAAATTGTACCGAGAGTAACATCACTTAAATCCATCATCCATTATTGGCAATAATCACCCAATTATTTGAATTTTGGCGTATTAGAATGTGTGTAAGTCCAAAAATAAAATGATTGTCCATCCATTATTCTTGTTCAATTTGGATCGGCAAATAGTGCAGATAAATTAGCGAGTGCCGCATAAAATTCCATTCTCTTCTGTTGTGTGTTACGCAATTATGTTCACCTTTACCTTCGTGAAATCCTTAAGGGCAAATCTCCCAAAGGCCTGCGAAATCTCAAATCTTTTCAGATATTACAATAACATAATTGGGATAAGTTTACAAATTTCGCATGTATGTTGACATTGGGCATTGTGTGAAACTACACAATAAAGTTTGATATTCCTTGTATTAATACTTTGGGAAAAAAGTTCATTTCCCAGCACATTAAAATGCGTACGTGTGATAATTTTGCCTTATCAAAAGCAATGACTATCGTATCGTCTATCGTCTTGTTGCGAATTAATTGCTTCATTTTCATAACACTGCTCATTGTTGGCTCGCGGATAGCAGTATATTTTGCACTTTTTTTAGAGCAAAAGTGCAAGTTTAAAGTCAACACTTGTGTAATATGTAACAGGCAATAGGTGCATAGTGCATATCATGTCATATATGTCTGTAATCCATTAGCAGCAGCACATATATTATCCCATACATGTGAATTAATGGGCGGTAGCTTGTATGCAATTTTAATTATTTAATCAAACCAATACGATTTGGGTAGGTCGGCACTCCGTTTTTTTAATTGTGGGCAACATACAGTGCAACTCTTTTGTTATTTATTTATCAAGGTCCCGTCATGAAAGTTCACCTCGGTGAAGTTTAAAGCCTTGGAATATTATCAAAATAATTGCATGTTTTCATTGTCGGAACAACGTGAAAACAAAACATGCCAATATTTTTGGAAGATGGGTCATATTTTTAATTTAATTTATGTAAAAGTGTATATCCTCTCGACTCATTAAACTTTTTTAGCGTTACTTGTTTACTCCTGTAACATAATGGTTGATATTATTATTTTAAACTGTTTATGACAAAATCGATACGTCTATTTATTTACGGGGGTTTGGTTAAATAGTTTACAAATTTGTCATGCTACACTACTTTACTGATAGTTTTTCAAGCGTTAGTTAAGAAGTTTCGTGTTGAGGGCATATTCATCTTTTGTAAAACAGACATGGCAAAATTCTGACAGGATGAGAAGTGAACAAAACTAAATGGCAAGGATAGGAGTACACGGTTTAATTTGATAAGCCTCAGTCAGCCAGATGCTTAGATAATATCATAATATAGTACAAAACGAGAAGATAACTCATTCAGTCGCTCCACCCGGCTTATCCAGTCTTGCGTCAAGAGATTGTATCGCTATTATTTATTTGGTGTGGCAATGCGGCGTGCGTACAGCTTATGTGTGAATTGAATACACTATTCATTCCTCGATCTGATTTAGTGTCGTATTTGCTCAGCATATTATCAACTGCTTTATGCCTATGGTTGATTAATTACTGCATTTTGTAGTGTGAATATCTGGGTTGAATTAAAAGAAGCGCACGCACTAAAAGATAAAATACTAATTTGATGGTGTTACACAATCTCATGATGTGCATAGGTTAAGGCGTAAAGTAAATTTTGTAAAACTGAGCAGTGCATCCCCAAATGTTATTACGAAAGGTACAGGAAGATCGTGTCGTGTTTTGCTAGCGTATAATTTTTTTTAGCTAAAATATAAGCTGCATCTCATTTTAGGTTATGCATTAAAATTGCAATTGAATGGTATATCTTTATCTATAATTCGTGATTGTGTTATTTTTTGCAGGAAACCATATCAGAGTCTGCATTTAAAAAGGAACCAGCTTTTCATCCCCTCGTCCCATTGTCTGTCTGGCAAGAAAAGAAAGTGAAAGGATTCTAATATATTATTGGATGCATGGATTTACACTGTATCTCCGAGATTAACGCTAATGTCAATACATAATTACAGGAAGAATGAATACGACTTGGTAGGAATTTAGATTGTTGCGTAACATCATCGTACAAAGACTAATTTGCAGGCGGGGAGTCTTCTGCTGGTGTGCTTTCAAGAAAACTTACATGTCCTACAGATTAGGTTAACCAACTGTCCAGTCATGCAAATCTTTTTGAGAAAATCTGCCATTCAAAATCAGTCAGAAGAATATCAGTCAAAGTGTGCAGTGCAGTGCTAATAATTTCAGTTGCAGAATGATTTTTTTGTGACATCCACAACATTATTTTTAACATATCAACAAAGACAACGAAACAAATCATTCAACATTCAAAAATCAAGATCATTAATTAATTAATTACTTGTAGTAATTAAACTATAGCTATTTATTTATCAACTTTAGTATTTAAAATGGTTTTATAGTCCAGTGATATCAATATTTCTGTTCTGTCGGTTGTGATTTTACACATTCCATTAGAAATATTTTTTAATTTCCTCGTAAATTACATGAGTCATCATATCGACGCCTGTATGTTGAACTTGTATGAAACCATTGCTTCCATTTTATGCAAATCGAAATCTAAATCGGTATTATTGGGTGTTTAATTCATATCGCCAATTAAATATCAGAAATAATTATATCAAATCAACAAATTGTAATTAACTGAAACTTAAAAATAGTAAAATAATTATTGACAATAATAGCGTTTTCAACGAATAATGTACAGAAACAGGAAATTGTTGTAACACACAAGAACTCAAACATAATTTAGGAGTGTATAAGCTAGAACGACGCTAATGCAAAATGCGATTTAGAATGCAGACGTGTAAGATCATTTTAGCCACCTCGCTTATATGGTTTTTGGTAGATGTAGTTGTATTGCTCTATTATACGGATGGGGGTAGTGGGGGTGGAAATGACGTCAAGGGTCCGTCGGCCGACCCGCTAGTTCATAGTGATGATAATCAAGTAGGAAATTTTGGGAATAATCGGGTAGAAGATGGTGGGGAAGAGGAAGACGAATTTAATGTGAGTAGTTAATAAATTAGTAATTAATTAGGGAAGTGATTACTAATGACTAATTTAATTTAATATAGGATAAGCTACAATATCCAAAACGAGAGTTGCACTTGTGGGACAAAGCTGCAGTCGTTACAGAGTCGAAAGGATCACCGGGAGAAATGGGAAAACCTGTTAAACTGCCCCCTGCAGTAGAACGATTAGTAGCCGATAAGGTAATAATTTAATGATTTTTGTTTGCCTCTTTCTGCTCATTTTGAATAAAGTTATTGGAATCCTTATAAATTTTACTTTTCACTTTATAGTTTAAGCTAAATCAGTTCAACGTATTAGCGTCAGATGCAATTTCTCTTAATCGTTCCTTACCTGATGTTCGTCTAAGCGGGTGAGCAATTTAGTCTGAGTTACTATTGAGCTAGCCCTTACATAATTATTCAATCTGTCCAACTAATTGTATTTTTAGGTGCCGAAACAAGGAATATGCAAAATATCTTCCAGGTAATTTTAGAAATAACGGTTAGAAATGAATGATGATATACATGCATGCATTTTACCCGTTTTTTCAGATACTTCAGTAATTATAGTTTTTCACAACGAGGCGTGGTCAACATTACTGAGAACTGTTCATTCAGTAATCAATAGGCAAGTAACCGTTTACACATGTACCCACATACGAGAATATGTGTCAAAGATGGAACTTACTTCCCAAATTCCCAAATCTAAACTTAACTTTAACTATTAACAGATCCCCACAACCCTTAATCAAAGAGATTATATTAGTTGATGATGCTTCCGAACGAGACTTTTTGGGCAAGAAACTAGAAGAATATGTCGCCCGTCTTCCAACTTCGGTTAGAGTATTTAGAACGGGGAAACGTTCGGGTTTGATCCGTGCAAGACTTCTCGGTGCCAAAAATGCAAAGGTAGTAAATAAATAAACTGTAAAATGGCGAGTTCGTCATTGTTAACTTTGTGTACATAAAGGCTTATTATGTTGTATTTTAGGGTAAAGTATTGACTTTCCTGGATGCACATTGCGAGGTTTGCAAACAAGTTTATTTTCAAATTATTTTAATTATTCCAAATCATATCTCGCAATAAATTGGTCCATCACAAATGGTCCATCGATGGACTGTTTTTTTTGTGGTCCATTGCGAGCTATGTTCCAAATGATCTGGCCATAAATTAATAAGTTTGCCTAACTGATTTCAGTGCACCGAAGGATGGCTGGAGCCCTTGTTACACGAGATAGCCATCGACAAAAAATCAGTCGTTTGTCCAATAATTGATGTCATTTCTGATAATAACTTTGAATACGTGACCGCTTCAGATATGACGTGGGGGGGATTTAATTGGTCGGGTTTACAAACAAACAAGCTTATTTCCAAATTATTCCTGGTCATAATTTAATGAATTGTTTAAAATGATTTCAGGAAGTTGAATTTCCGATGGTACAACCTTCTTATATTATATAATGATATGTCAATCCATACTTAACTTGTGTATGAAATTATCCTAGGTATCGTGTTCCCCAGAGAGAAATGGAAAGACGCAACGGGGACAGGACATTGCCATTACTAACTCCTACCATGGCTGGAGGATTGTTTTCCATTGATAAAGACTATTTCTACCAAATTGGATCCTACGATGAAGGGATGGATGTTTGGGGCGGCGAAAATTTAGAAATGTCGTTTCGGGTTAGTCAGGATTACATTTGAGGAATTATTTAATCTTTGAATCGAGTTCCCTATACTTCGAAATTAATTATTACGTTCCGTTGCATTAGTTTTTTATTACAACTTTATTTTTTGCTACCGAGAACAGGTGTGGCAATGCGGTGGTTCATTAAAGATAGCAACATGCTCGCATGTCTGGTTAGTTTTTGATAGTTTTGCATGTGCAAAAGTATAGAAAGTATTTATATGTTATTTTATATAACTTTTATATCAGAAACTAACATTTTGGCGTTGAAGCTTTACAATCGTTTTAATTATTTTGTGGTGACGAAATATCATGACCTCTGCTGCAATAATGGTTTTGGAATTTTAAGTTTATTTATTTATAATGATAAAGTTATTGTTTTCGTAAATTATGTGTCACAGGACAAAAAATCATTTCGATTGACAAACAGAGCATGCATTCAGTCTCTGCCGCAGATATTAATTTAGATACATACATAGATATATACATGAGGAATGCAAAAAATACAACGTTTTAGTTTAAATGTGATGATCTTAGGAGACGTCCTGAAACCTCAATTTTGGACATCGTGTGCTGTGACATCCTCTCTATTCAAATTATTTTTTCGTTGTCTATTTGTATTCCAGATCCACATGGGGGAAATAAGTAGCAATATGTAGTCGTGCGTACAAGAATACAAAATTTATGTAGAAATTTGGGGAAACAGTAGTTGTTAATATTTGCAGAGCCCCTACGGTACATATTACCAGAAATGAGGAAATATTATCAGAAATGTGGAAATATCAGGAAATATTACCAGAAATGAGGAAATATCTGTAAAATATTATCAGAAATGTGGAAATATCGGGAAAATATTATCAGAAATGAGGAAATACCTGCATGATATTACCAGAAATGAGGAAATACCTGCATGATATTACCAGAAATGAGCAAATATCTCTATAATATTACCAGAAATGAGCAAATATCTGCATAATATTACCAGAAATGAGGAAATATCTGTAAAATATTATCAGAAATGTGGAAATATCGAGAAAATATTACCAGAAATGAGCAAATATCTCCATAATATTACCAGAAATGAGCAAATATCTCCATAATATTACCAGAAATGAGCAAATATCTCCATAATATTACCAGAAATGAGCAAATATCTATAAAATATTATCAGAAATATGGAAATATCGGGAAAATATTATCAGAAATGATCAAATATCGGGAAAATATTATCAGAAATGTGGAAATATCAGGAAATATTACCAGAAATGATCAAATATCTGCATAATATTACCAGAAATGAGCAAATATCGGGAAAATATTACCAAAAATGAGGAAATATCGGGAAAATGTTACCAGAGATGAGGTAATATCAGGAAAATGTTACCAGAAATGAGGAAATATCTGCATAGTATTACCAGATATGGGGAAATATTAGCGAAATAAGAGCGGAATTAATTATCCTTGAGCAGGAGTTGATGAAGTGGCTTCGAACGACAAAGTTAGGCAGTCGCAGAATTTGATCTGTCAAACTTGCGGGGGCGGGGGGATTATTACGCACATGCAATGGTATTTCATGGGCAAAAAGATGTTCATTGGCATTTCCAGTGACTACCAGCGTCAGTTTTTATTTTTGTTTTGTTTGTAAGTCAAAGTTATGTTTATTAGGTATGGATGTGTGGGGGACGGTTGCTTATCGCGACTTGCAGCCACGTCGGACATACTTTTAGGGATAAATCTCCCTACAGTTTCCCAGGGGGTGTGAGCAAAATCATCCTCCATAACACCGCCAGAGTTGCCCATGTCTGGTTAGACGCTTGGAAACAGTTTTACTTCGAAATGAGCCCAGGTCCGACATATTTCGTAGCCATTTTGCTATGTTACCAGCTCTTATTAATCCTAAGTACTAACATCAGCGCTCTGATCTCTGTTTCCGACGTATTTAATGTATTGTCGAGCTTTTTATGTTTGAAAGATGTGCGTTGCTTCATATTCATATTAATCGTTATAATTAGTTAAACTAACAGTTGCTTCTGTCCAGATTATTTAGTAATAGAGTACTCAGTTTTGTAATTAAAATCATAAGTGGGTTCGCTTGTTTTTGTTCTTTTCCCATGTTAAACCCTCCTAATTCCTTTTCTATAAAATCTACTAAATGTTTGTACTGGTCTTATGGGATTATATATTTGTGTATTGTTGGCAATAACTTTGTGTAGGTATGGATGTGTGGTGGAAGATTGGTTATTACGCCATGCTCTAGAGTCGGACACGTATTTAGAAAAACCACCCCTTACAGCTTCCCCGGGGGGACATCTCACATTGTCGACCGAAATAATGGACGACTTGCAGAAGGTGTGGATCGAAAAATTATTTAAGAAATCTCTTCGTCCGATTATGAGTTATTAATTGTCTCTACTGTTCATTCTCTTAGTCTGGCTCGATGAATGGAGACTGTTTTATTACGCAATGTTTACAGGTCCTAAAACTCGTTACAATTTTCAACAAAATTCAACACCCATGTCACAAAAACACAGTCATTCATTACACATCACCATCACCATACATAATTTTAAGCCATTTTCCTCAGTTTTTTGTTTTCAAGATTATTCTGACCCAGCACCTTCGAAAAGTTGTAAAGATGAGTTTAAAGTTGCTTTTGGTGTGAGTGGGTAATGGGTAAAATTTTAAGAATTCTGGTATTATTGGGTCTTAGCGGTTGCATGCTTTTTGTTGCTTTCAATTTCACAACTAACACGCCCACGATGCTTTAAAAAATACTTATTTTGCATGCTGCAATATGTAATACAGAATTTGGCATATTATCTTAACTGAAATATATTTGATAACATCAGGAGCCCGAACCGTAGATGTTGGAGACGTATCTGCTCGCGTCAAATTGAGAAAAGATTTAAAGTGTAAGAGCTTTAGATGGTATTTGGAGCATATTTATCCAGAGGTACTGAATTTTTTAAATAAGAAAACTGAATCATTATGCAGAAAATTGAAATGAAATAATTTCTTTGCAGTCACCTATGCCTCTGGATTATTATCATCTTGGTGAAATTCGTAACGAGGAGACACAATACTGTTTGGATACGATGGGAAGAAAGAGTGGAGAAGTTGTAGGAATGGGATATTGTCATGGGCTGGGTGGTAATCAAGTATGTTTTGTGCATTACATTTAATAAATTGACACTAAAATGTTACTAGAAACGTAATTGTATTACATCGCTCCATAGGTTTTTGCGTACACGAAGCGACAGCAGGTAATGTCGGACGACAACTGCTTGGATGCCACCTCTTCTAATAATGCTCAAGTTAAGCTTGTGAGATGTCACGGCCTTGGAGGTATGAATGATTTTATATAAGCACTAATCCGTTTATGTAAATACGGTGCAGTCAGGTTACGTTTTAATATTCTTTATTCTCATAGGGAACCAAGCTTGGCATTACAGTCAGACGGAGAGAAGTATAAAGCACGTGTCAAGTGGAAAGTGCCTCGCTCGACCCACGGACGGTGACGTTACTGCCCCACTTTTATCAAAATGTGATGGAACTGATGGTCAAAAGTGGATAATGGATTCCAAATTTAAATGGCAAGCAGCAAATGATGCAGAGGAATAGCTTCAAAAATCCGACACCATAGTAGACTGAATACGCACTGATTCTGAATCAATAGTCAATTTATATATTGTTTTTCACTTGCATTATTATCATCAAGACTATAATAGGAAACTAAACTACACGTATAAATTCCCATCAATCAACAATAATTTTATACACAGAAAAAATTTGCTAATTGCGTAGGAAAATATAAAGAAAGTACTTATTACGTGTACCTAATTTTAACATACATTCGTAAACCAGGGACATTCCAATCAAGACATTTCAAAATGTAAAGTACTTATGTAAATCTAATATGGGTGAGAAACGTACTGCTGTTTGTTCTGTTGTATTGGTGGTGCAGAATGTGATGATTTTTGTCGAATTAAATTATTGCATTTCAAAGATAATTATATAGTTACATTCCATTTCGTGATCAGACATATCTAGAGAGAACATTATCATTCATTAAATTGTATTTATTTATAGAGAGGAGCATATCTATGTTTATCAGTTAATTGTGCATAATATCTTTTGTAAGTTCAAAAATAATCTGAAAAATTTTATGGTGCGAAAGAAAGGTTTAAGTAATAATTTATTTGAATTTATTTTTTTTGATCTTTCGGTATTTAAAGTTGTGTTGCATGGAACTAGTAGAATTTTCGTCATGTTCCATATAACATGAAATATATTTATGCTATGCGTTGTGTGTACCGCATGAAGAAAGTGGTTTTATAGTTATGAGAAATTGATCGACTGATTGAGATTGAATATTGGGTTGTACACACGTTTTTTATTTATTTGGATACGGTTCTCTTACGGCTAGATTAAAGGAACTATTACAATTAATTATTTGATACTTAACACTAAACCAAGTCAGTAAAACAACGATGCAATCATAAAATACATTCTTCTACATAGACTAGTACATAAATACTCTAGAATAGTTTAGTATTTGTAACAGGCAATTCGATTTGGTATTACATTACATGATACTAACTTTTTGCTATATGTAGGCAATCTCTAGCGTAATTTTAGAAGTTAGTAGGAATGAAAATGCTGAAGAAATAATAAAGACGTACATACATTTTATATTATGCAACGATACAAAAATAATACCGTCTCGTTTCCTTTAATTCAAATTTCTCTGATCAACAAAACTTTTACTCTCCACTAAATACGGATGATTTTCTTCCCCACTTCCCCTCCTACTCCTCCCAAACTGTGACCTATTATTTGTGATCTTTCCCGTCTTCCAATTAAATATCTTTGGCGTCCTGTGATCACCATCGTCGTCGCCGTACAAAATCTCCCGATGAGCTTCATCCTCCTGTCTGGAGCACTCATCACAGTTGTCGGTCTCCATAATCCCTTCCGGCTTCTTCGCCCCCACGATGCCTTGATAGAGGACGTAGACGATCCAGAGGACAGCGGATGGGATAAAGTAGAGGTTGACCACTCCCTTGAGCCAGTAATCCTTTTGAGAATTTGGCGTCGGTAAGATAAGAAATGTGACAGAGCAGCGAAACAGCTCAAAATATGAGCCCCACGGGTTCCCCTCGGAAAGTAAACCGATCGATGTGAGGCTCAAGACGAGATGAGACACTGTCATCACGATCGTGATCTCGTCCAATGTCTAAAGAAAGGAGAGATTGTTGATGGTAAAAAAAATCAAAACAAACTTTCTCTTACATCCACAACTTGTGGACTACGCGTGTGTGTGTAGAAAAAGACCGATTTATCCTCAGAAATTCAGCCCACCACAAAAAAAACAACTTGTGGACCACACGTACGTATGTTCCTTTCATCAGGATCTTACCCCCAGAAATTTACCCCACCACAAAAAACAAATCACGTCGCCTTTTAAATTTTCAATGGTCATCAATAATCCTAACTTGTAAACAATTCATCATGTTTTTCCGCGTATATTTTCCCGACATTTGTTCCTTGATTTAGAAGACTTTCTCCGAACCTACCCACCACCAACGAAGTTGAAGTGACGATGACGGTGGTGAACTTTCTTTACCACTTTTTTATTGATAATAATGACAGCTTTCACCACGACAAGCAGGACGACTGCCCACGCCATAATATTTTTAATGGTCTGGTGGCTGTGACTGACTGTGTGTGGCATGGTTGTGGTGTTGACAGACCAAACAAGTTGGGTTTGATTATGATTATGTGTCTGATGATGGCTCAAACCTCAAACGAGCATTGGATTTACTTTCTTTTACTGCCAAACTTACAAACGACGAGTCACCTACTTTCTTTCTCCGCCGCCTTTTCATGTCATGTATCCCACTCACTCACTTGTCGTCACTTTTCGAACATAAATTTTTGCCACTTTCGTGTTTTACGATGGTGATGAAATTGTAGGTAGGAAAACCTGTCCAAATTAATCTGCCTGCCTGCCTGCCTACCACGGAAAGAAAGTTACCTTATTACAGAGTTAGTTCGTATAAAGTGACTTTCTCTCCCAATGTAAATATTGATTCTTCAGATTTCCTACTACTTAAGTACAAGGGAACCTTAAGTACGGTCACATCTCGATTTTCTTTCGGGTGGTCTTAATCGATGGATAATTTAGTGTAACTAATCGTAAGACTTTGTCGTAGGAAATACGGTGCAAAATCACATTTTTGTGAAATATTTGGAGAAAGCTGCACCAAAACGTGCAATTTTTCCAATGCTTTTAACATAGATAACAGTCTTCGGAATAATGAAATGAAGTTTACAAATTATACATCTGTCCGTAATTTCATGTTGATCACCAATATGCAAAAAACAATCCAAACACTCGTCATTTTTTAAATTGCGAAAATCTGGAAAATTTTCTAAATTTGGATTTCGCCGTTCTTTGAAATTTCAACGAAATTTCCAGCTTTTTTAAGCATTACACAAAAGTTTTCAAAAAAATAATTTTTCCTCACTGCAACACAATGGCCGAAAATTTTGAATGATTGAAATTCACAATTTTTCATGAAAAAAGATAATATGACCAATGCTAATCTATTTTACGTATTCTTGTTGGCTATATTTATTTTTGTAAGGTGTAAAAAATTCTGGAAAATTGTATCGTCGTTTTTAACACATTCAACAAAATATCTTTTCCACACCTCATTCGAGATTTTAAGCTTTTTGGAAAACTGAACAAAGTTTCATTTGGGAGGGACCCTAGTGGGTCCCTCCACTATGACACATATAAAGGACGGCAAAAGTATAGGGCCCTATACTTTTGCCGTCCTTTATATGTGTCATAGTGGAGGGACCCACTAGGGTCCCTCCCAAATGAAACTTTGTTCAGTTTTCCAAAAAGCTTAAAATCTCGAATGAGGTGTGGAAAAGATATTTTGTTGAATGTGTTAAAAACGACGATACAATTTTCCAGAATTTTTTACACCTTACAAAAATAAATATAGCCAACAAGAATACGTAAAATAGATTAGCATTGGTCATATTATCTTTTTTCATGAAAAATTGTGAATTTCAATCATTCAAAATTTTCGGCCATTGTGTTGCAGTGAGGAAAAATTATTTTTTTGAAAACTTTTGTGTAATGCTTAAAAAAGCTGGAAATTTCGTTGAAATTTCAAAGAACGGCGAAATCCAAATTTAGAAAATTTTCCAGATTTTCGCAATTTAAAAAATGACGAGTGTTTGGATTGTTTTTTGCATATTGGTGATCAACATGAAATTACGGACAGATGTATAATTTGTAAACTTCATTTCATTATTCCGAAGACTGTTATCTATGTTAAAAGCATTGGAAAAATTGCACGTTTTGGTGCAGCTTTCTCCAAATATTTCACAAAAACGTGATTTTGCACCGTATGTACAGTCCATTTATTTACCATACGACCCTCGACGTCACCACTGCAATGCTATTAGTAATGAGAGTGATGACGTCGAGGATCGTATGGTAAATAAAACAAGAGTATGTCCTACGACAAAGTCTTACAATTAGTTACACTAAATTATCCATCAATTAAGACCATCCGAAAGGAAATCGAGATGTGACAGTACTTAAGGTTCCCTTGCTAGTCTACCGTCTTTGACGAGGCTCTTTGAATGTGTGGTCACTACGTCGCATCACAATGTAATGTTCCCTTAAGTACTTGATGGAGATTATGTATTAGAAAGTGGATCGTATCATATTACTACTTACCCCTTTTTTCAAAGCAAACTCCTGAAAGACGAGACAAACCATGAAGAAATGTAACAGAATATAAGCCTGCAACCATTTGGGCAGCATGATTACAAATTTTGGTCGTGGCTTTATCTGAAATTAAAAAAAACTTTTGTCAAAGATTTTATCCAGGACATGATTTTGCTCTTGATGCCAATTCCCCAGTTTTACTTTCTCCTCAAGTTGTTGGATTTTCACCGTTAAACCCACACCAGACTATTACATGAACCAAGAAGTGTCACTCTTGGTTAGATCATTTTCACGACGACCACGGAACGGATGACTAATAAAATGTTGCTCCATCCACCGAAAAAGTGTGCCGTGTTACGTGTTGCAAATGTTACAACCACCTCGAGACTTACATCTACTTTATCAACGTCAGCCCCCGTCCTGGGTGAACCTGGTCGCCAGCTAGGACCGTAGAACACCGCTCGGAAAGCATCTGCCCAAGTGGATTGCATTCTGCTCCAACGAAACAACGCAGGCCACCGGTAGTACTACGACGGACGAATAAAACTTGATATTTTTTGCCCAAGGTAAATAAAATTGAATACAATTTTGTGCCGCACCATTTGCCAGACGGGATTATGGGACTCGTGTTGAAACACGATTCCATAGACTAGTTCTTCATCTTCCCTCGCGGCTTGAAATGTCCCAAATATTCGGTCCCAGATTATCAGTAGGCCGCCGAAGTTTTTGTCGAGCACGTAGAGATTACAACCTACGCAGGGATGATGGGACGTGTCAAATGGTGGGGAAAATTGGTATCTATGGATGTTTCCCATCATGCACTTACCGTGGTGCACTTTGTGGTGGGAGGGTGTGTTAAAGATGAACTCCAAAGGGCCCAACGTGCCGACGAGGGAGGTGTGCAGCCAGCCTTGGTAGAGATTTGAGAATTGCTGGTGGGCAAGGCAATGAGGTGGTGGGATGAGGAGGGCGAGAGGCAGGTAGAAAAACTGGGGGAGGAGGAAAGTATTTATTAAGCGAAGGCGTTATATGTTTGTCTGTTTGTCCGTCGGTCAGAATGCATTGGGATAATTGAGATCTGTTTGTGGCATCGTATAAATGACCCCTGGGGGAGGATCCTATCAACCTTTGGGGTAAATTGGACCATCCCCCTCTCGAGGTCAGCGGTCAATAACTTTTTTGGGAATTGCATGTTTCACCCTATTGCTACATTTTGTTTGCGATGGTTTATTTAGATGTGCAGACATGAACCACGGGATGAATTATGTCTTTAAAAGAACGAATAAAACTGTGGTGCACTCGTAATAAATGGGCATCTGAAATGATCCTAAACTATGTGACCCTTTTCATGCAAAGGTAAACGTACCATGTATGCATGCTCTTCCGGGGTGCAAGCAACCATACAAAACCACGAGAAAACCACATTTATTTTCATAAGGTTATCCCAAAGTGTCAGAATGTTTTTGTTTTCACTTTTTCGTTTGTTTTACGTGATATTCATCACGCAACAGTGATGAATGATGCAGATTATGTCGTTCCACCGAAAATATTTATTTGTGTCCAAAACCACCACGGCAGAAAGTTTGAGCATACTACGCATCAAAACCTGCTTTCTCTCGTCATAGGTGGACAAGAAACTCGAACAAATTGGAAGTTTCATGCATAAATAGTTTTGATGACGAAGGAATTAAATTACACGTGCCAAAAACCGACCGGAACTGGATGGGCGAAAGTAAAAAAAAAATGTCCTTCTGCTTATACAAGAATCGTAGATTCGATTCACTTCATGCAACCACCAAATAAATGGGATTTGTGGAATTTACGCAACAAGTCCTTCAACCATTTTGACATGCATTGACAAGTTGAGTGCTTCTAAAGTGGGTGTGGGCGTGCAGTTGAGCGGAACAGGTTTCAAATAGTCAACTCCAAATCCAGGAAATCCAATGAAAACGTTATCTATTTCGTGAGAGACAACGGGTGAAAGGGAAACCTCGAATACTTTCATTTCATTCACCTTGCATACAAATTTAGACTGCGGAGAATTTATTTTATGGATGACGATGAACTTGACCAAGATACAAAGTGGAGGTGGATGGATTGACTTAATTTTCCTCTCCACGAGCCGACTCGTTTTTTAGGTCAGTCTGTTTAGCTACTATCTACATTTATATCTAGTTGTCAACAATTGTGGTGCAGACATAATGGAAATACGTAAGTACTCAGACATTCTGAATATTTCAGTTCTCGTGACGCTATTACCGTAATTTTTAAAAATATGGGCAAATTCAATGTCAAACTTTCCCTTTCTCATTGACAAACAAGCACCGATTCGATAAGGATCTTGCAATTGAGAGAAAGTTTTTGTTGCATAAAAATCAACCAGCAGTAACTCATGGGAAATGAAATTTCGAATATTTTCAAACGACTTTGTATGTAGGTGTTTAAACTAAATATTTCATACATACGTAGATATCTACTCCCCAATTCTTTTTGATGTATAAATACATGCACAAAATACTATTATACCAAATGGGCTGCAAACGTGTTTCATTTCGTTCCCTACACGTGGAAATGTTTGCGTCAATCGTGCGCGCATTAAATTTTCACCAAATGTTATAAAGGTTAGAGAAATTCAAGGACAATGCAATATGTATGTACACATGTAAAAAAAATTGAGTAATGGACAAACTCACCGAATTGATCCAACCGTGGGTTATCGGGTGTCTGACGGCAACTGCGATGTTAAAATCCTCACTGCTGTGATGAATTTGATGTTGAGCCCATAAAAAATTTACCTCTTGTTTCCACATTTTTAAGAAGTTTCATATTATTCGTCAGGTACATTAATATCTAGATTTTAAATGTATTTAGCTACCATGTGACGCTCTGTGGGCCCAGTAATACGCGAAATCAACCCCTAACAAGGCAAGATACCAGGTTAGCGGGTTATCCCAAGGGAGATCAATTATTTTGTAGTTGCGATGAATAAAAATGTACAAGGAAATTTCTATACCCATCGTCAAAATCCTAAAATATACGTATTTTGCATGTACATACACATTGCGTGATGTAATTTATACAGGAAAAAAACCTTACTTGAATGTCTCTGATAAAATTCCGTGCGCTAAAGAGTTGAGACTTTCGGCAAGTCGAGGACTTTCTCTTTTCATGGCGAGAGCAACATATTCCGCGCACACGAGACCAATAAAAAGTGGGAAAACCTGTAATCATATGGAAATAAGGCTTTCATTCGCCTCCAAGTTATGACTATTTTCAAAAGGAGGAAACAATTCATTTGTGGCATGAATACTTAAAGTCTACGATTTATGAGAGTGCAAAATATGTAAAAGGCCACGCCACATACAATGCTTTTTTCCCACAAAGGCCACCACATGCAAATGCATTTTAAAAATGAAACTCATCGTCACAAGTACACTCTTAGAAATCTGGTATTAAATCATTACTGACCGGGGTAAATATGTATGTATTTTACTCTACCGGCAAACTAATAACGTGCATTACCGCTTACGTAGTAACGTTCCGGTAATGACAAATTTACCCCTCAGAAACAAACTACTACCAATCCGGTAGGAATTTATTACTAAATCATTACACATGTGGCTCTACCCCATTTTTAAGAGTGCCCTTAGAAGAAAGAACTGCTACCCACCTCTGAAAAGTAGTTTGGGACATCTTGAATTTTTTCAAAGGTACACTCCTCCGGTTGAACGAGATATAAAAACTTTCGCACATCGCCAAACGATTTGTCAAACTTTTCCAGCATTTCCATCTTTATTATTAATCTTTCTGGGAAGCACTAACTATGAGAAAATGGCACTTGCAGTATTAAAGGTGACACAAAAAAGATAAAATCTTCCTTTTTTAGCAGAAATCGTCAATATTTATATCTTTTTTCCCACCCACCCACGCACCGGCTACGGATTACTTCACCCTTAACATTTTGTCAAGTTGGGGAGGATTTTTGTATAGAAAATCATTCATGTAAACACTTTGACCATGTCGGCTCAAAAGGCATCGACCGATAATGTCAAGTTACTCACTCGTGATTCATGGCTGAAAGAAAGTAATTGCACAATTTTGTGAGGAATCGCTCTTCAACCCACACCGCAAATTTTTCGCCCAGCTTCAACAACTTTCCCTTCACGGTGACCTTTACTTTACCACCTTTTTCCTTCTCCGGCTAAAACTGAAAACGCGAACAACAAGTCTTGCCAGAGATTTTGGAGCCGTTTCTTTTCTGGAATAAGGCCAAAAATCTAAACAGTTACAATCACGAGATTTGGCAAACTTTTTAACGTGACTTATCAACCAGGCAGTCTCACCGGGTTGGTTGTGCATGCAAGCAATGTTCACAATTTAGTTTACTTAATCAAGTTTCACAAGCTTTTCTACGGAATTAGCACTCGGCAACTTTGCATTGAAATGAATGTTGCTGTTCTTAATATATTTCTTAAATAGTAAAATGAAACGGTACAAAATATCCTGTCCTTTTAACCAAGATGTTTTCAAAGACGACTTTATTAAAGTGTAGACTGTCTCATTGTGTGAATGTCAAGACTGCAACTCACCGAATTATATATACGTATACGAGACTGTTGATTTTTAATTTCACTACTTGATTCCAGTATGTGCGATTAGTTTACTATTTGGTTTTGTAAACATTACACTTTACTATTTACCAGTTTTGCCACTTTGCAGAAAAGTTGTTTATATACATGTCTACACGAGTGCGACATTCTTATCTTAACCAATATGCATTATATACATATTTACATACAGCACGTATACTCTGCTGCACGTCTACACGCATTAGTTACTTGCCATCATTACCATTTGATATTGACATTGACACCGTGATATCATTTGGGTCATTCAGGATATTTGTGAGTTCAAAGAAGTAAATTTAATAAATTGTTGAATGTGGATAAAAAATACGGGAGTACAAAATATGGCATGATATTTATCTTTGTGCTCATTATTTAAGGGAAATACCTAGTTTACAAAACCCATAAAAGTAAAGGTCACGAGACCATTAGCCATTCATCCCTTCCTATTTCTTCAGGAAGGAAGGAAGTAAGAGTAAGATGAGACATGTAGAAAAAATGGTTAATGGATGTCACAAAGCTTCTACGACATCCATTTTGTTTCGTATCGTGTGTAACATGAGGAAGTCCGGATGAGATACGTGGAGCACTTTTATCTTCTACTTTACACAAGAGATTTACTCACTTATTTATAGCCGTGTGCGAAAATTTTTCAAATTATGGGGACAGTAAAGCATTATTTTGTGCACATTTTCCATTAAATTGCGTATGTACTTTATGGTTTGGTTACGTAATTTTAGGTTCGTATATACATATTTCATTCATGTACCGGGGCAGATTTAAGGCAGTTTTGCCAGGATGTTTACGAAAAAAATTGTTTTTACACTACACCATTTTATCATTTTTGCCCGCAGTATTACTCGTGTTCTTCTAGTCTGGTACTTAAATGTATCTGGTCGTAGGTGTGATTTTATTTTATTGCCAGGACTGGTTATGAGGTTTGAGCTTCAATCAAACCTCGCGAAAAGACCTACGAACATCGTAACTTTATTGAATTGAATTCTGCTCTATCTGAAACGCTCAATTTGTTTGTTGTTGGATGTGCTTCATTTTTACGATTTTACCAAAACAAGATTTTGTTTACTTGATTTTTCTCGTGGTAAATCTTGCAAGATAAGTTCAACTACAGTCAGAGTTTGCGTATCTACTCGTCACTCGTACTTTAATACATAGCTCTCACCGAGACAAAGATACGATCTTAAACTTGTGGTAGGGGAATGACTTTTTTTGACCTGGTTCTGACTATAAAATCGTTTCAACAAATTGTAGTAAACAGTAATATATGAATTCACATTACGACATGATCAGCCCCCAAGTTTTGCTGGGTTTCAATCAAAATTAAATAATTGTTCCAATATAAATAAATATGTGAAAATTTCTCTCATTCTGAGCTTCGGACTCTTGAATTGATTTGCATAACTGGTTGTAATTCGTCTCATGGGTAGAGAATCATACTCATGAGATTTGCAAGGGAAATCTCGCTCTTTGAAGTACCTCTTACAAGCTATAAATTTATAACTTTTGCAAATTTGTGTTACATAATTCATTTAAAAAATTTGTAATTTGAGACAAGCTTTTTGCTGCAAGTCGTCTAGTCATCGTCGTCACGACTGGGCAACTACTGAAAAAAATTGCGAAAAAGTCCAGATTTACAGGGACCTACATACCTGTAAGTAAATGTTTATTGCATGATTGCACTCCATCAAAAATGTATGCTCACTTTAGTCAGCCAAATATTTTTGCGACGATTGACGTGCGACCAAATCCGAGTGCAAGTGAGAAGGTTAACAGGTTGGCATATCACGCAAGATGTAATAACCCAACAAACGAAACAGAATGTCTCTCACAGTCAAAGAACTATAAAATTCACGATAAAAATACAGGCCATATAGCATCAAACGAGGCACGTGGACATTTGTTCCGGCTGAAGAAAGACTGAAAACCCTGTAAAATGATGATTCAAATAGAAAATTATTCCCATTGTTTTTGATCTTTCACACAACCTGTTATTCCAAAATATGAATATGCGTTACATAACTAAATTTAGCTTTTCTACCGAAATCGTAACAATTATTTTTGTTGTTGATTCAAGTATGACGAGCCTAATTACGTCTTCTCCTGAATCCAGTAAATTAAAGCAGGCACTCATAATCACCAACGTCAGAGAGCGACTTTTGCTTTGCGTAGTTATTTTAGGTTCTCGATATTTACAACACATCAGATAAAAAATGATTGATTATGTATTCCAGGCTTGGGACAAAGCTGTGTGTTGTTCTTGGAGAAGGTTATCTTGCGGACAAGCAGCAGCAGCAGCAGCAAGAAATATATTTGTAATAATGTAATGTCGTTTTGTTAAGGAACATGTTAGATTTTGATGATAAGATAAGGTGAGACTTTTGCGTCAAGAAACTCATTTATTTATTTCTAGAGCCGGAATTAGGCATATCCAACCTTGTTTTTGCAATTAATTTTTGCAAAGATTTTATTATCAGGTTGTTCCTACCATTGCGGAATTGTAAGCGTAATTATTAAAATAGAATTGAGCATAGTCAATATTAGGAATCAGTGTTTCGTTTTTTGCGAGTTTGCTACATTTTTTGCACTGCAAAGCAAGAAACACAAGAAATTCGAGGTGAAAAAAACTGCAAGAAATATGCGACATCTGAAGTATATTTGCGGGATGTAGTTTCTTGCGCCTTGTATTTCTTGCAGGTCAAATAGCTGCAAGAATCCACTGTTTTGCAGTTATTTCGTGCAAGTGGTTATTTGCACATAAAACACATACCAATGTTAACATCACCACTACAGGTGAAAAAATATCTACCGTGTATTCCGCAATCTGAGACTTTCACTCATGCATTCAACCTTGAATACTCGAAGTAAAAGTTAATAAGATTTGCACCGTAATGCAATCTCCACACGAACCAAATCCTGTATTTACACATACCTAACCCACAACGTAGAATGGAACTCTCGCAATCAAGGTTCTGTTGGAATTGAACGTGGTGGTAAATTGCCAAACTTATACATTTGTCTCCAGATTTCATTTCCAGTTATGTAGCAACGAACGAGCAACAAGCTCGCGAATCTGGATTGCGGAATATGTGGTTTTCGTGTCGAATGAGTGAACAGGTGGAGGTGGAGGAAAGTTGCGTAATGAGAACGGAGATTAACAGGAAATTATTACTGCTGAGGATTGCATTAACCGCAGTTGAAAGTTATGAGTTTGCAAAATGCTGATATTATTACTTTCCCTGTAGTCACGTTCTTTCCACTTTTCTCCGAGAGAGAAACTTGTTCACAAAGGATGTCCTGTTGCGTAAAAAACATTTAGTAGAACAAGCATAACAATTAATTCAAATTACCCCAGAATCTATTTTTACCCTATTTTATTTATTACGTAATACTTTCAAATTTTAGCAAGTATTCCTTTGTGGCCCTAAAAAAATCGCACTTTTACAAGTTTATCCCACCGCAGAAATGTTGCTGAACTGAAAAATGAACAAATATCCAAATCAGGACACGTAGTCTTTCCAATGGCATGAAACAGCATAAAACCGACCCATTACAACGGACATGAAAGAACTATGAAAATATCCGCGAACACACATCACATCCAATAAAATCAAATTGGGTGTTACACAAGCAGCCAGCAAAAGTGGATGAATGCGTATCTAGTCAATCCACTCAAGCAGGACAGAACAGAAATTCCTTCCGATAGATATACGTACGTCCGTAAGCCAAATATGTGCATATTGTATGCAGTAGTAATATAGCCATTGAATTCAGCAGTGAGAAAGAGAAAGCAAGAAGAGATCAACGCGTCTCATCCCTGACTCATCCAACTAGTAGGAATCCGCAAAAAGAGAGAAAATGACCCTTAAAAGTTTCCTTGTCACTGGTTGCTTCGCTCTACTCCAGTCTTACAAAACATTGTCGATCTAGTGTAGAAAGATAAAAGAAGTCCGCTTTCTCTCTCCTTCTATCCATTAGTTCATTACACAATTCACGTGGGAGTGGGGGAAGTACAACAATGGGGATTCTCTTTTTTCTCAAACTTCCCCTTTTATAAAAGACAGCCAGCTCTCTGTTGAAAAACAAAGAAAGTGTCTCAACTTTTGAATAAGAAATGACTAACGGACTGATCTCAGCTTACTTTATAATGTGGAGTTGGCCCTTTAATGATGAAATCTCGTAAGTAGAAACCATTTTCAACTGCTTTTTTGGAGTCACGCTGAAGCTTGTTTTTTACTGCGAGGATGTGGAATACGGAATAAAGTAAAGGTGAAAGTTGGAGGAGGAGGAGGATGGCGTAGCGTGGCTTTTGCAGGGTAAAAGCGTGGGCGGCGGTACGTATGAAGGTGGCTTCACTTTATGGCGATGGTGCTACTCGTAGAAGCGTTCCATACATACTTTTACCAAGTTTGCGAATTATATAGGAAGAGAAATGCCACCTCGGAATCCCTTCCTCTGTAAATCTTAATTTCCATCGGAGGGTTGTTCTACTTGCGGGCGTTCTCCCTGCCCCAGTGGAATGGAAATGTACAGATATAGTTCATTCATAATACGGATGGGTGGTTCGGCTTGAACTTTTGGCTTAACATTCTATTCTATTCTCTTGTTCTGCTGCTGCTGCATTATTGGAATCGGGGTAAAAGTTTGGGAGGAAACTGTTATACTGTAATCTAGACGGGATAGATATCGGAAAAAGCTTTGTTTTCGAATTTCTTAAGATGGCGTCATTCATTCGAAGCTGCAGGATTTGAAGTCGAGAGTTAGATTGTGAGTTTAGCATAATAAAGGAAGATCACCATTGAATCGTACCTACGTATGGATATTGTTAGTGGTTTGGAGAGGGGAATGGAAATTTATATAAAGGTGAGTCATAAGGGGTGCATGCTCGTTACACAATTTCTGAAAAGTATTAAGTAATGAACTCATTAGCTCGTGGCATCAGTTCAACTCGTTTCCTTATGTAATTCGAGTTCGTTTCCTTTTAAGAAATTCAATCCTTTACCATCGCAAGAGATACTAATTAATAAACGCAAGGATAATATTACACGGTTTTCGATAAAACAATAGAGAATCTGGTAATGAAATATGAAACAATGTCCTTCAAATTCATAAAAATTTGCCTGCATGTCTAAAATATTCGCAATAAAAACTGAAACGAACGTGAACAGAAATATTGCACTGGATTGATACGAATTAAGATATCGTGCTCGCTATTGTGACGACTTGGAATTATTGCCCCTGTAAATATTTGCCTAGCTCAAAGGACAAGGTAACACCGACTTTCACCTTCTCATAGAGACCACTGCAGTTAAAATTTAACTGCACCCGAGTAAAAGGATTTCACCGTAATCATGACCCGGAGTAAGGCTGAAGCAATTATCAATGCAGTTTGGAAATTCAAACATTACCTCCGCTGCAGCTGCATTGGCGTGTGCAAGTTTTACTCATCGGATTTATCAGCATCCTGAATTTTCCCGTATCTTTACACCACCAATTTCCCCATGCCGCATACATTACACGGTAGAAACCATAATAAATGTTACGACGCCTAATTTACCGTGCACAAAATTCCCTCGGCCTCTCATAATCATCCGTGATGAGGAGAAAGATAATCTCATTTTCATCCCAGACCAGTTCACTCCCAATTTCCATCACGCTTTCTCCAACACAAAACCCCCCGTAGAATATGAGCACGTATGCAGGACTTGTTTGTCTACAACTTCCTCATCCTGTGCAGAATACGGAAATTAAATGATCCAGACGTGACCAAGGATAAATGCTGCAACGGTTTATACATAAGACTTCTGCGCTAATTTGCGACCATTTTTTCTTTACCAGTGTCCCTGAAATATTAACCAAACGTGCACACGTGGCAGAATAGTATCTCTTCCTTCTTATACTTTAATTTTGTCTTATCAGACAAGGAAACTAGCATTGTCGTCACATCGTATTCGACGCAATCACGCAATACCGATTCAATTTGAAACATCAACATTCACAAAATCGTGCCTCGTGACTTTGCTTTATCAGCAAAAATGGAAATGCTTTTCCCTTTGCGTAGCATACATACAAACTTTTTCTCTGCCGACTCAAATTAGAATGCATACGTACATAATAAATTTCCTCCTTATTCCATCCTACTTATTGAGTAGCTACTGCATTCGCAATTTGTTACCCGATGCGGAAACGTGTACGATTGATTTTTCAAGAATCGTGCACCCTCCATGCAAAAAAATAACTGCTACTTTTACTGCTCTACTTTCTCCCCAAATATGAAACCAAGAAGTGAAAACAAGTAAAACATAACGCAACATTAGGTTTGAACGAATAACCTGCAATTTTTCTTACTCGGAGGACGGAATGCATATAGACTTTCACCAGGCTTTCTCTCTCTCCTACTCACTAATACCCGTCGTACCGATTTCCCGGGTTTTTACCGCGTCGGATGTTTCCGTTCTCCGTCATCAAATCAGCCAGTCTGGGTTAGCCTGAGTTTTAGAGCCTGTCCTTTCCCCCATACTTTCACGTTTGAGGAGAAACCACCATACCATAAATCCAGTCTCACTCAAGTATTCCTCCAACCAAGCCTGGGTTCGTCTCATTCCGCAAATTTCGCTCGTATCGCGAGGTTGAGTTTACTTACCTGAGAGAGTCAACCTAAAAAACAAGAACACACATTTACTCACTCACAACTTTCCCTGCCCTCGTTAACAAACTACTTGGAAAGCATATAAATACATAAAATAAAGGCGAAACGAAAACTAATGTTCATTCATACTTTGACGTTTGCACAATCAAGACAGCAGCTCCGGAAAATAGTAAACTAACGAGAAGAAATATATAACATATCAGATTCGAAAGTGCTTGTGATACTTGAGACACGCAATGCAACACTGAAAGACGGAATTGCAGCAACGTGTATACACAAAAAGGAGTGAAAGCATACCAGAAATTCTATAGTTTGGACTCGTTTCTTCAGACAAAGTGGGTTTGAATTACATACTTTTGTGAGAAATCTATAGTGTTGCGAACTTATTGTGGAGATATTATTCTTCTATTTTGTGGCTGTATTTACACACTTCCTTGAATTAATTCAAGTGGGGTAAGAAAATATTTTATTATTATTGTTAGAATAGAATTATTGTATTTTACGTAAAGTTTTTCAAGTTTGGAGAAAGTTTGGGACATGATCTAGCTAGCAGAAAGTTGAGGAGTGAGAGATGATGTCCCATTATGTAAAAGATTTTAATTGGACTCGCTTTCATCGTGGGTAACGAGGCGTTGAATCTTCAACTGGCATTCTTCAACTTTTCTTTCATTTCTTGACATTTGGAGAGCATTCTTCCCTCGTGCTCGTTATTATTTATGTGCAATATTATACATTTCTTGTGTGTACATTGATAATCCTAGTCTTTACAAGGTTAGCGTATTCTTCACCTAAAATTTAACCCTTTTTGCAGACATCCATCCAATCCAGTACCTCGCTATTCACTCATAATGAAATCTCTGCTGACGTTGGCCGTGGTTGGGACCCTGATGGGTCTGTGTCACGGGTGGGGTGGTCTATTCAACAGATTCAGTCCTGAACTCCTCTCAAATCTTGGAGGCTACAGTGGATTCGGAAACTACAAACTTCAACCTCTCATTACCGTGAGTGCAATTTATATATTTTTATTTTCTATGAATCATTCATAACGGCGACAAATATCGTAGGAAAAGTTGAACAGATAAAAAAAAGTTGGTACAATTGGTACATGACAAAACTTTAGAAAAATAACAAAAGTCACATTTTCAACAAAAAAAGCTGAACCAGGAACTTTCTCCGTACGACAACACGACACAATTAAAAAGTGTTTTGGGCTTGTAGTACTTTTTTTTTACTAAACAAACTTTGGAAGATGTTGCAGAGGAGAATAGAAAAGCAGGTTAATCTGCTAATGGATTTACTTTGTATTCCGCAGTTTCCTATTTTCGCATCGAATATGCACAATAAAGTTTTGTTTATGCCATTTCCAATTCCAACCTCAAACAGAGAGAACTTTTTTCTCCCCGTCTCAATTTGTCATGCTCACTCAGGCTCAGGTGTGGAGTGGAATCTCAAGCCTGGAAATATCTATTCAGTTTTTTAATGTAGGCTACTACGCAATTTGTAAATTGTGGAAAATATGCAATTTAAATAATGGTTTTTCCCTGGAATGAACTAGAAAAAAATCCTTCAATTTACGGGAGTCTGTATCTTGATAAATTCTTTCATATTTGGACCTGTGAAGTTCACCAACTTTTACATCATCGAGTTACCGATATTTATGTAATCCTACATTTGCAATTCCATCATTTTTCTATAACTTTTTTCCATTTCTTACGCACCACTTGGCCAAAGATATTGGTTGAATTTTCCAAAAATCGAATGGATATGGTAATATTGGTTTTTATGCAATGCAAATTAAGACGGAACTTTCCATCTTATGTAAGAATATTTAATTTAACTCGGGACAGGGAGATGTAAATATATGAATCGGATGATGTTGGCGAATTTTACGGTCGACTTGCATCCACGCATTTAAATATATTTTTCACAAATCTAATTTCAATGTCACGCCCACACTCCTACCTCTGGCTACATATAGCAAAATAAGCAAAATTTCCTTGGGCTTTAAACTTATGGATCCGTCCGACCACTCAAAATTAAGATGATTTCTTCTTCTGGAAAAAGTAACGAGAAATTGCTAGGAAAAAAATAGTATAAAATATTTTTTTTTCAAAATAGCTTAAAATATCAAAATACAAAACGTATTTGTAAAATTCATTGCAATATTTCCAGTCAGCTCGACACTCACCCCTTTTACTAAAACAAATAGAAACTTGCTTGCTTAAATATTTAGTGGAATATATATCTTTGAGGCGTTTAGTATCCTAATCACAAACAGAAAAATCTGAAAGAATCACTTCTTCTGCCGGCATACTTTTCTTTCACCAAAGTTTATTTTCTTTGCCCAACCCACACACTGCATCATCATCATCATGATCAGTCTCAACCGTGAAATTGCAATTCAAAAGCTGACATGGTGAAAAGCTTAGCAGACTTTTTGCAAAGAAAAAAGTAAAGGAAAGTGGGCCTGCTGAGATGTCTCGGCTTGAAATTTATCGAGCTTTTGAACATATTTACCAATAAGGTGAATGAGGATTATTTGTCAATCAGAAAATAACTAGTGTGTCAAGTTGGCTTTTTACTTGGAAGAAATTGAGGAATTGATCAATTTAGAGCTTATTTACTTACCTACTTCTTATTTCAGCATTATCTTAATGTTTCGCAACTCGTTAACCTTTTCAAATCCAATAAAATCGCTATAAAAAAATGAATTCGTGGTAAATATAGGGAAATCAAATTGTTTGCTCATACATCAGGATCTATTAGCTCGGTACTCTCCTCCACTTGACGAACCCATTACTTTGCGACTTGACAGAAAAGGTCATAACGAACGAGAAATAAATAGTACAGCATGAAATGAACGATCAGCAAAAAGCGTTATATAACACGTTTGCATTATGCATATTATATTGTTGTTTGTCTTATATTGCACAACAACAATGGGCGACTTTGTCGAGTCATCCAATAAATCACCATAATTGGCAACATCATAAAAAATGATTGAGTGACAGCAGAGCACTTTTGCACTATGCGGCACCCACTTTTCGCAAAACTTGTAGAATTACTGCACTCTAAATACGCATTTGGAGCTACATATACTTAGGATTAGCTTGGACCTGACCTTTCTCAAAATTGATTAAAACCTTTTCCGTCTCAAGAATTTTAAATTTTTCTAAATTCAAATGCGTCATCATAATATTCGATCTCGAGATATTTGCTTAAGGTTTGACAGAACTTGACGCATTACGAAACTCCACTTACACGCAATGACTCAATTAATCCTAAATATTTCTAGGAAATGTGCTTATTCACTTCATCTAAATTTTATTTCCAAGTAGTAGTGATATCAAACCATAAACGGTCAAAGTATATTCCACGGCATGAAATGAAAATGCAATCATACACATGACTCAATTTATTTAGTACTCATTGCCTCGAAAATTAGCATGAATCATTCGCCAAATGAGTAATAATAATTTAATGGTATTACTCGGTGTAATTGAATACTTAATAATCGACCCAGGCGCATAGAGTTGTTAGCTACTTATATAGCATGACTACAGCAATATGTAAATATGGATGTATTTAAGCAGGTGCTGATACGTCGGTGTGGTTGAGTTCTCATTTTCGAACGACATACGTACATCAACCGAACAATTATTTATGAATGCAAAAACAGTTCACTCTGAAAAAGAGAAAGTACACGTTCAGGTTGGAATTCATTTCAATATCGCAACTTCATTTGAAACTCATCACATTTGAACATGAGAACTCGTGTATCGAATATTTTGGAAAGTAGCGCAGCGAGACTGAAGTACATTTTCCCCCTTTGTTTTATACGTCCTCTTGATAAGTACTTATGGCTCCAGCAAATCCCTTTACAAACCAAACCACAGTGCGCGTAAGTATAAATAGTTAAGTAGTTATACACCCACCGTTCTTCGTGCATGGCAGAGTTGAGAACGAGATAGATAGCTCTTTAACGTTATATATTTACCCTCCGTTTCGGAATGGTTGGTTTTTGGGCTGCAGGTCTTGGGCGTAATTGTCTCGGAGTGATTGTGACTTGTGGTTTCCCTAAATATGTAAATGGTCGGACAAACAAACTGTCTGTCAGGGAGAAAAGGAAAGTCAAATTACAACAGCTACCGACATTCGGATGAAACTGGATTTTCCTGGTGAAAGTTGGATGATAATTTGCTAAATTGTATAGTCCGACTTGGAATGTGACATACCTTTTTATTTTTGTATGACAGTTTGATCAACAATAATTTCATGTCTGGGGAGGACATCGGCATTTTTTAAAAGTCCAGTGATATGCAGTTTTTTTTGAGTAAATCGGTACTTTCACCTCTAGAAAATGGGAAATTTCGATTTGCAACCAGCCCTAGAAACGTGCTTTGTATCGCAATTTAGAGATTCCTTAGAATTTCCCCCTGAGCTGCATTAACTCCCGTACCACAGGATTTATTTATGACACCACTACTTGACTTTTTTGCAGCTCTTAACGAATGACAGAAGTAGCGTTTGCTAATGGAATCACCAACCATCCGTCTCCTTTTTGGTGGGTCAAATTGGGCGGTTTTAGTGGGTGGTGAAATGGACGCAGATAGAATATAAAGCATAATTGGGCACGTTCTGGTCACTTTCGTGTCACTTTGGCTTGCACAAAGAGAAATTTGTGGTCAATGAAACTCCCAATTTTCTGCCCAGGTCAGCAAACAATGTTTGCGCTTACTTAGTTCATTTTGGAACTGGATATTCAGCCAGACCATGCAGAGTTCAAAGTAACGGTTAACAGGACAGTGGAATTTGTGTGGGTGGGGGAAAAACGTTCTTCGATAACCGCTTAGTTTTCATGGCCGTCTTTATGTCATTCACTTTTTTCCCGTGAAAACATGCTACAAGCGACATCAATAGGTTATAGTATTGACAATTCGAAAATAGCGATGCGTATAATTAACCTCATTTATTTATATTCATCGAAGCTATTACCAGAATTTCGTACAAATGCCGGTTCAGTGTCGATGTTCGGCAGAAGTGCCCGTGTAGAACCTGCACTAAAAGCAAGCTCAACGGGTAAAATAAGCATATAAATTGTACCACCGTGTCATTGGGACGTTAGTCGTGAACGAGCTGAATATTTCAAGACCAACGATGCCGCAATCATCGGTACTGAACCGGCATTTGTACAAAATTCCGGTTATAAATATGACATCTTACTTAAATGAGACCATGACTTTTTACATATGTACGTAAGTCATACCAATTGACAACATTTATTCAAAGTTTTTAGACCACGTTCATTATTTTTTTAAAATAAAAGTCGACAAAAATTGAACAACCTGCGTCAATATGACGTATTATTTAAATGCTATTGAATAAAAAATCAATTCTAATTAGAAAGCGCAAGTGGACTTTATAGATTTTAAATGTAAATAGCTCAACCTGGACATTTTACACACAACAGAGCATCACAGAAACAATACCACAACACATAATATTTATTTATCATTAGTGAAACTAATGCTGAATACCTATACGTTCCTCATTAGAATTAGTTTCGTAACCGATCCCACCTAAAATTATACGTCAACTTTACTTGTTATCTTTACCATTCTAATTCTCACATTACATAAGTCCAAGGAGTAAATTACATTACTGTCCCTAATGCAATAATGCTTTATCTTATTACTTTCTCTCTCTCTCCGCACCCCCGCCATGCACGTGACCACCACAAGTTTCATAATTCAATAATGACTTTCCAATAATAACACCCCTTTCCTCATCCAATTACTCGACCAGAAAGAAACGTCAACCTCGAAGACAGCTTACCGCCCACTTTCCCCAAAAACCATGTTATATATTTCCTCCCTCGCCAAAACAGATTTTTGGCTGCTGACTCATGGTCAAAACTCGTCTCAAAACTGCTTCAAATAGGATGACGCATCTTAATCTTTTACGAAATCCTTGTATCGTTTATCACCCTTCCGTCCAGTCCACCCTCTGACTGACATCGAGCTTTGGCCAAAAAACGTTGCAGTCAAGGCTAAAACCACGCCGTCCTGTTTGAGACGCTCCACTTTGCCCAGAACCAGGAACGACTTCTTCTCCTCCTGCTTACGTCATTCTGCGCTGCGGAGAAAGCAGGAGGGTTTGTTCAATGGCCGGGTGCAGAGTGAGTGACGGTGGTGGTTGGGTCGCAGGAACCGTGTGGTGGTGGTTCCGTTGGGCCTTTTCTTGTTCCTGATTTTGCATTCTGGTCGGCTCTGCCAGGGACTTGTGCTTCTTTCCAGGTGAATGGAAGCAGAATGAAACTTTCACTTCCAGCTAACAAGAATCGGTCGTAGGTTTGTGTCCGACATGCACAAAAGCTATGCATGAATGCTTGATGTATGTATTTGAACGGGAAAACGCCACCTCAATAATAATAAGGGTGCAATAGGACGTATGTGAAGGATCAATGTTGCAGATGCTTATGTTTGAGGATTGCATTGCTCTTTTGGTAGGAAAATGAGTGGTTGTTGGGTGTATTGGTATGGTTGGTAACGTCACCCGTTCGCGAATTACGCCAATCTCAACGGAAAAATTATAGTGTGTTTGTGTTTCGCGAATGGGCGGGGCCACATTTGATTTCGGATAATCAAATGGGTCTCATAAAGTCCTAATTTTACTTGTAGAAGTGGCTATTTTTACTTTTAGTAGGAAGTTAATAGGGAAATTCGGACATTTTCTGCTTTACATTTAAATAAATTATATATTATGCCGTAATTATTACGGTAGAAAATTCGCATATAAAAATATATGGGTATGCAGCATATCATTAAGCTTATCATATGCTTAATGGTCAGGTGTATGAAATTCAGCAACAGTTTTTTTTATTATATAAAACCGCACTTTTGCCACTTTTTAGCCCGAGTCAGGACTTATGCAAGTCGTGTCTGTCTGTCTATCCAAGACACGATATAGCGAAAATGGCTTAACCATACAGTAGTAGAAGCTATGTCGTCAATTCGGACAAAAATTTATAAGCGGAATCTGCCCCTGACTCGGGCTAAATGAAGTCTGTCGTGTAGTTTATTCTTGGGTTAGACTTCGATCGTACAAAATAAGTAGCTTTGGTCACGACAGGTGACAAGGCCAGGTCAGGTCACTGAATTATACTAAATTATAAATTGGTGGGTAATATAATAGACTGATTCCTTACTATATATTTAAGCAAGAATATTGCAAAAAAATATATGGAAATGTGACGCAAGCAAAATAACGACCTACCATGACCTACTGTATTCTCATTTTACCCCATTATAAAACTACTTTTCCTTAGTGTTTTAGTTTCTCCGCAATATTTGCATTAAATTTCAAATCGAAATTGCAACAGAACAATCAAAACTGCAGCAGAATTTACTATTTTCGAGAAACTATATGCTTCTCCAAATCCCACCAGTCACCTCTGATGAAAGTTTATTTCGAACGTGTTGCTTTCTTCCTGAATCCAAATTTCCCCAAAACCCAGGATCAGGGTCCTTTGACTGTTTCCTTGGAGGATTTCTAGACAGGGTCATGTCAGTTCAAAAATTCTCCAAAATTTTTTTTGGAGATTTTAATGTTTGAGAATATGGACTATTTTTGCTGGGAGAACTTGGTTGTCAAGAAAAATAAAATATTCTATAAAACGTCATAAATGCATGCGAAAAATTTTTACGTACCGTTTTTGATACCGATCCTAGTTCAATTATTTTATAATTATTTTAATTTGCAATTAAATTAAATCGTTATCATTTTACGACGGTTTATAGAATATTAAATTTTTCTTGACAACCAAACTCTCCCAGCAAAAATAGCGCATATTCCCAAACTTTAAAATATGTAAAAAAAAAATTGGAGAATTTTTGAACTGACATGACCCTGTCTAGAAATCCTCCAAGGAAACAGTTAAAGGACCCTGCCCAGGATTATAAACTAGAAAAGCAAAAGTGAAGTTTGTCCAAATTTAAACTTTTGTTTCCTCGTCTGGCCCAACAAAATGGGCGAGATTTATTTAGTTTACTAGGGTGTGCACCGTCCCACGAGGAAAAAAACTACCTACCTAGAAATGTCACGATAAAAAAATGAATGTGACTGACACCAGGAATTTTAAGCCTGCTGCTCCATACTCACATCTAACAAATACAGATGTCTTTTCCAACCAGGTCGGAAATGAGAGTACCGAAAACCTGCGAGGTACACGAGAATAAAGAATAGAATTCCTCTAAACTTTTCATTTCCTTTTTTGCCTTCATGCAACTGAAGGAAAGGGAAAGAGGAAGAAAGAATGAGACTCATTTGCATAAGTATTTTAGAGCAAGTAACGCCTACGGCTTTTGTGAAAAGATTTCAGCATTTCCATACCTATCACAAATGTAGAAGGTTTTGAGTGTGAAATTTGCATATCTAAGTTTATGGGGCAAGGGTTTCACAATGTTTTTCGCATATCTATGTATCCACATACGCGTTCTTCTTTATTGGCAAATGTAATAAAACTCAAAATTCAGTTCATTGTGTTATTTTTTCAATTTCATCACAACCAGTTCAATAATACATCGAGATAAATATAGAAACAGGCAGTTTTCTGCAGAAATTTGCCCATTTACAGCTCTGTAAAAGCTACCGTGTGACACTTATTATTTGGCAACACTGTCATTTTACTCATTACTTCGTAGTTACGAGGGATAAATGGATCAGTGTCCGTTACTTTCACCATCATCCATCAAACACATAACGAGTTGGGACGGATGAGGAAATAATAATGGTCTCTCTTCTTTATGCTCTTTATCATGCGAGCATTGTATTTTTACAAAGGTATGTAGCATGCATGTAGGCGGACATACGTAAAACAGTGGAGAAAGTTAACTTGGAAAGTCAGGCCGAAGGTTTTATTTTTTTGCAAAAGAAAAGTAGGACACAAGTCACGTAGGCATATCAGAAGAGAGATGAACGTACGGTCCCAAATGGCAATACACGATTAAAATCGCAATTTATCGCAAGTTGCTCCGACCCAGATCTCACTTTCACTGAATAATTTCGCTGATATCGGGACACGCCTTCTTTCTTTACTCCTGTTGAAGGAAGGGTATAAATAAATATCGTAGAGAAATAATAGAGGGTGTGCATTCGTAATGATTTTGAACCAATTTTGGTAAATACCACGTAGATTATGTATACTTAGATTGACATAACTGGTACAAAGTCGCATATTTTTTGAGACAAATGAAACACAATTATAACCAATTATTGATGACATTCTGGATTAAACCATTGTCAGGACGTATCATAATTTAGTATTTATAAGATAGATTTTGGGGCGATAAGATACACGCTTCGCGAGTGACAAATCTCAAGCAAAGTGATCCCTAATTTCTCCAGAACGGAGAAAGTACCGAAAGTAGAAAGTTCGTCCATCTTTGTAAAGAAAGTGGACCAAAATAAAGACTCTCTCCCATTTTAGACGTCTCTAAAACTGAATGTTGTCTCAATTCTGATCCAACTTTTCCTTAAGCTTTCACTCGGATAGTCAGTTTAAAATGACATTTGGCGGTCGTTTGTACCATGCTAATTAGATTATCGTCATCCCGATTCCGTTGAAAAAGGCGTTGAACTCTTGTTTGTTGAGGAAATGGAAGTCGCTCTATGCATTTGGAATGGATGATTCTTGTTATTGTTAAAGTCAGACGGTAGAGTTTGTGAAAGTGAAAGTTGGTTCAAAGTTTTTTTCCCTATTGTCTCAAGATGTTTGCTATTCACTTCGTCTTGATTGTCTGACAAGGCTTTGTACATACGCAGTTGGGTTGAGAAGTACTCTCTAAACGATTAATTTTCCAGACAGAATAAGAAAGTAGCACTAAGAATAACACGTTCATAAAAAGTAATGCTGTTGCTGCTGTGCAGATAAAACGTGTCCAAACCAAGAATAAAAGCATTTAATACTGTGCGGAATTACTTGATGGGATAATTTCTCCGTTACTTAAGAATTCAGCCTAAAAGATCTGATGTACGTATGAATGGCATCCGTCCTAAGCCAAATTTCTCTGGGAAGATAAATAAGTAGGCGTTGTAAATGCGTAGCTTTTACCCGGGGGTACTATTAGAAAATTAGATTAAGAATTTGATATCCTTTTAACCAAAGTATTCCTCTCAACGCAATAAATTAGCAGTGTCGCAGGTGTTCATCGTGTAGTTCATTATTTAATCTAATTAAAGACTTAATTTAATTTTCAGAAAATAGAAAAGGGTGAGCTGGAGGAGGTGATGAACGAGGGAGAGGCTTCCACCCCCCAAGTGTGCTATGGTACGGGTTTTTACCTACTTATTAAGCTAAATTATAGTTTACGCCAATTTAAAATCTGATAATGGAGGTCTTCCAGCGTATAATTACAGATTTTGGATAAATTAGTGCCAATCATCACAAATTTTAGGAATATGAAATTTGCAAAAGACAGGATTTGCTAATGCTCAGATTTGGCAAAGATATTTGCATCCAAAGAGGAGAAAACGCACCATAAGGTTGAAAATTTTTGGATGTCCAAATTTACTGCCCGTTTTCTCTGAGAATTCAAATCTGAGAATTGGCAGATTGTGTCATTCGCAAATTTGACACGAATTTTTGCGATCGACTGACACTAAGGTCAAAATCTGTAATCATATACTGGGAGATCTCCATTGTCAGTTGAGTTACATGTCTAACATAATATTATTGCCCTTAGGAAAACAATGCACTGCAAACGAACACTGTTGTCCAGGTAAGGATTATACCTATTACCCTGCATTCCACTGCTTAACTATGTCTTCAGTTACTTAATGTCTCCTATAATTCTAGGTCACGCCTGCGTTGATGTTGATGGAGGTAAGTTTTCAAAACTCGTTCTCAGCCTTTAAAGACTCTTGGGAGAGGATGCAATTCTCATTTTTACGGAGAATTGCATTCTTCACTCGGGTTGTAAAGCAATTAGACCAAGTACATACTTAGGTTGATGGCTGCGCTTTAGCACCACGGTGACCTTCACACGAAGAAATTAACGTAAAATGTCCTCCCTCTTTTTCCGCAGTTTTGGGCACCTGCTTACCAACTTTCGGAGCCAAGCAGGGAGAAATGTGCGAACGGGATGGCGACTGTGAATCCGGATTAATTTGTGCTGGCTCTGATATCAAAACCTGTGTCCCTGTCGTGGAATCCAAGAAACAATATGGTAATTGAGTTATTATTAATTATTCCAGTGTCCACTCTGCACAATTAATAATTTCATATACACATATGCACATGCATAAACTTTCTCCTACATAAATACGTTGAAGGGTAAAGCAATTTGTCTCTAGGTTAGCGCAAATTAATTACCCGTCTGTTTTATGCGTTTTATTCTCACTGGAATAAGTTAATTCATTTACTCGACAATTAAGAATTTGAAGGACAAGTGGCGAATTTAGTATGTCATGAAATTGTTGTAATAAATAAATAGGTGAAATTACGCACTTTGGGAAAGTTTATGGATACAAAGTCCAGACTGAATTAGCTCGTTGCCTAAAATGAATAAGACGTAAAAGGTTATTTGCATATGTACCATGTTTTCCAATTTGCTCTTAACAAAACGAAAACAATTTCCATTTTCATGGGATCAAAATTGAAATTTCTAGACACAACATTCCCCGAAATTCGATACGAGTTAAACCCCGAAACAAATTTCTGTCTCCTGTTTTCCAAACTAAGTGCATGTCGTGTTCTTAACTGGAGAAGAGCTTTGTTCAAAGCCCATCATATCTCGGTCTTTCGCGAGGTCTTTATACCAATATTTGCTTTCTCCTCGTACTTGATCTCTCTCTCTCCGTATGTCTGGTTTGGTTTGTTTGAATGTTAAGACGTAGATAATAATCTTTCCAGTGAAACAGATTGCTAACAATGTTTACCAACTTGTCAGGGAAGAAGAAAGTCTTCCTGAAAGCGATATATTTAGATACGTGGTGCTCTTCTGCCTCCAATTTTCTCATTCATTTCAAACAGCAACCCCTGGAGTGAATGATGCATTTTTTATAAATACAGAACCGATCCTGTTTGCATTTCCTGTCCAAAACTGCTCATCATGAAGAGTGACGTCAACTACCCACAAATGTTCATTAGTAACCTACCTTTTTTAATAAGCCTGTCTCAACTCGTAGTATGTCTGTCTGGGATTACGTAATAAAGCCACAACATAAATTAATGAACTAATATGTAAAGAAGTTTTCGTGCTAAACTTACTTTCACCATGAGAATTACTTACTTTCACCACACGAATTTTAGTCTGGTGTGGGCAGAGAATACCAAAACTTTGCCTTTGTAAGTCCGAGTCCCAAATGGTGAACGAGATTACTTAACATTTTGGCATCGCTTGGATGGACAGGGATTAGGTGAACGAGGTCACGTCCTGTAACGTGTCACCATTGCGAGTTAAGCCGCAATATGCAAATTTTCAAATACTAATGAACCACTCAGTTTTAGATGATAGCCTTTGCCCACAAAAGTAAAACTGAGGCAAAGCAGCAGTTCAAGTAAGTTTGGGTGGAATACAAATCCAAAGTTTGGAAAAGAAAGCGGTGAAAGGCGCAATTGACACGACCTCAACGTAACCTCTGCGAACTGCCTTTCATTAAAAATGATAAGTTCATTTACATTCTCTTAATTTTGGATGGATCTTATGTGATCCTTTTAATTAATGATGATTTAAGTGCATGTCGCCCTGAAGGTTGATGAGCAAAGTTGATGAGAACAAATTATTATTATTCCGACGTCCTAATTGACTCGGTGGGGTGTTAATTTGCCCTGAATGCTTTATGACATGCCAACCTTTTGCTTAACCTTTTCGAAACGAGATACGAATCTCTTTAAATATTTGCTCGGATTGCGAAATATGAATTTTAAATTAGTGGAAACTAAAATGTCATAAATTAAAATTGAAATGTTACAAATGTGTGGGAAGAATTAAATATTCCGTCGCATATGTCGAAGCCACCAGGACCACAAATATACATATTTGAACAAGATTGAGCCATTTCATACCTTATTTTACATATACGATGTCGATATTACTTTGATAAATATCATATGCGGGTCATTTATCGCTCTAAATCCACTTTCACAATTTATTATTTATGGACAAACTACCGCCTTAAGTCTTGAACCTAAATCCTCTAAAAACTTTAGTTAGTCTGTGTGACGTACGGAATTAGAAAATCATACCAGTTCTAACCAGTACATTTGCAATTTGGTTCGATATCTGCAGTGGAAATATTTCGAGAATATCCCTGAAAATTATATATACAGAAAAACCTTCCCCAAGAATATAGCATGCCTCACTTCATTAATCTTCACCAATTTTTTTATACGTACGAAGACGTGCCTTTCATTTTCCTGATTATGTATGTGTTTGCCATAAAATATCCAATTACACGTATCTATATCTCCAAAACTTGGTTGGGTATGTGTGACGCACGATAATACATAAATGCAATCAGCGTGGTTTCCGCAAATCCATTTAATCATTCTTTTGATCATGTCATACACCACGGACCTCCAGCTTCTCCTTTGCCAATCTAAACCAATCTCAATTAATTAGGAAGGATAGCAAACTGATTGATGTGGTGCAAGCAGATCAATCAAAGAAAGATTAGCATTTGCAAAATCTCTCCTCTCGCTCTGATTGCTCACGAAACGAAACGATGCCACATCCAACCTCGTAAATATGGAATTCAAGCCACTCCAATCTAATTTCTTCGCTAGCGCAAACATTAGGACCAACCAGGTTGCTTTCTCTTTTGATTAGTTTAACGAAAATTGAGACGGCGAGGAGAGGAAAACAAACCTCAACCCACACATAATCACTTGTCAACCGCTGTTATTTTATTTTTTGGACGTCATGCACGTCCCGTTATTGTGATGAGACGATGAGGTTCCTCTGGTGACACTTGTTGGTAAAAAGCTGCTGTCACCTCCACCTCATTATCCTAATGTGGTTCGATCGTTCCTACCTGGAATTGGTGATGGATTACAAAACTTGTGGGTTGAAAGAGTCCTTTGTCTCGTCGTATTAATTAAACTTGATGAGAGTCCAGGGTTCTGGTTGGTACGTTTAGGTTAACATTTAGTTTTTGTGTAGGTTGATATTTGTGTTCCATGTAAGATAAGCAGTAAAATGTCATCGATCGGTTTTGCAAGATGGAAAGTTGGATAGGTTTCATAAACAAAATTTCGGGATAAATTCGAAACCCGATACACTTTACACTTTCATAAAAAAATTAATTGGAACAAAATGCAATTCTTCTCCTGTTACTTTTTTCTTCTCAGATCAAATATCCATTAAAACACCTAAATCTACAGAGGGGGATCAAATTTCTGAAAAGAACAGAACATGCACACACCTCGTGCAAAGTCAATTCCTTTATCCTATTTTTTTATATGTGCCAGTGACGCAAAACAAACAAAAATAATGATGTTGAATTATAAATGAGCTGTGACAATCAATAATTAATTTACATTTCTTTTTCTGTGTGTATGTTACAGGCGAGGATTGCATCATGTCGAGCGACTGCGATATCACAAAGGGACTTTGCTGCCAGGTTCAAAGACGTCATCGCCAAGCTCCAAGAAAAGTGAGTACAAATATTGGCATCAATTATTTAAGTAATTCATATTTTTTGGATACATATTTATTTCAAATTGTCATCATTAATTTTTTGTGCAATTTTCCGCAAAAATCCACGGGAGTTTTTTTCACCTGAATTTATAATTCGAAAACATAAATACATGAACACTTGATTATTGTTATTTGCATATGTAAATATTTTATGATGGCAAATATGTTAAGTTTGCAGTTGCTAATTTTCATTACACGAAGTTTGCAATGCTGCCCCGCTAAAAATTATTTGCACAAATTATACATTTCAATGATTACAAAAGACAACGACATGAATTTTCTCTGCAAATTACTGTCAATCTTTTAAAAAAATGTGGAGATATGTGTCACAAAAAATCGAATATTATGCAATCTGGTTGCATGCCATAACTCTAAATATGAAATGGGTCAACTTTACGTAACGTGACAAGGCCTGGAGGCAAAAGTTGGGGAAAGTAGTACCAACTTGTACTTACTTCTCTATCCCGTGGGCAGATTTCTCACTTGGGAGTAAAGTGGATGAGTAGGTTTCTTATCTAAATGCAAATTTTTTGGCTCAACGCACCAGAGAAAGTATGGCATTAAACGACTCACTACAAGAAGTGCGATATCATAATATAAGTACACACGGACAATGAGTAACAAGTGTTGAGGATTTTGCAAATGCAGATAAATAGGTTAAACCAATGTTATTTTTCCAGCCTCATAAATTCATACATTGAATTAACCACCTACTGTTCGCTTTATACGAATTTCAAAATATTTACTTCCTTGTCATTCATTTATGCAATTTTGGGAAAACAAAATCCACATCAATTTCCGTTTGTGCGGTGCGTGGGTACCTGCTACCAAAGAAAAATAATCCGAAAAGTCCGTCCCACTTGATCGATTCGACTTTCTCTGACTTTCTCTTTTTGTATCTGATCCATTAAAATATCGAGGACAAAGAGATGAATTTGTTAACCCGCTTCAATCCAAATGCATTTACATATCCCATCAATTATTCTATTCTGATCGATTAAACCATACATTTTTTATCGCGTTATTTGTCCAAAAAAAAGGGCGGTGAAGTTGTAGGATGGAACTCTGTAAATAAACTAAAACGAAATTTGCGGTTCACCCTTCGAAAATATTTCCTGGAAACTAATGACTTGTTTTTACAAAACTTTTCAACTATCTGTCAAGACATACACATACATGTCTCTCGTCATTCTGTGTAATTGCATTAATTCCACTCACAATAACAAACTCACTCACCTCAACTTTCCCAACATTGTGAAACAACTACCGTCACACGTGGCGGAGGAGTGGGCTTTTGTTCTTTTCAAGCATAAATAAAGTTCCAGAAGGAAAAAGTTAGTTCATAATTGTTTGCAAATATAAACCGTTTCGTTATTTGTCTTATCCGCAGGCCTGCAGCTACTTCAAAGACCCCTTGATTTGCGTGGGCCCAGTTGCCATCGACCAAATTCGTGAACGGGTGGAACACACTGCTGGCGAAAAGCGGATCACCGCCAAGGCCAACGCCTTTCACCATCTCCGCTAATCCGTGTGGTGGGTGAAAGCTGCCACCGACCAACCAACGACGACATTCTCAACCATCCAAGTAAATCCTGCGGTCGTGATGGTCGTGGTCGTGGCAGTGGTGCGTGATGAATGGAAACTACTCTTAATTGTATTCGAATGGATGGAGGCATGCATGAATTTTACTAGAAACAAGCTAGGAACATTTTAAAAAGTCTATTAATGCCCCTTAAATAAGTAACATATCATATCACGGTGCATACCATATCTTATCATATCAGATAAGTACATATCTATAAATATTCGATAACACATCACATGTATTTATGATCTCAACACTGTTTTCACTCCGAATAATAATATTTAATACGTATTTTTTTGGTTGGCTTAACTAACACGGAATTTGTTGTCACTTTCACTTTGTACACAATTTCCTGATTACCACGTACTTATTGCGTATGTAACTGGTATTCGATGCACGATCCGTATACCCAAGAAAAAATCTAGAGATCTTCCTCACCATGTATTTATCTATTAGATAAAAAAATTATTACGAGTTACAATTTTACATGACTGATTGTTGTCTAAATATAATTTTCAGGTTTTTATTAACCACAATATATTCTGAATCTTTAGCCAAGATACATGCACAATGCAATCTATATGAAACGGCACATATCAATCAAATTCATCCAAAAATTTTGTCCTGTCTTTTAAATACCATATCACAACAATTATATAAATACATAATCTTGGTTCTCATCATCAATGTCAGTGTGTATAAAAAAGAATAGCAAATATTGTTCGTTCTTAAATGTATGTACATCATATTTTTAGTTAAATTTTTAAATAACTGAAATCAAGTAAAGTAAGTGACAAAAAGGATCTGGTGATAATAAGTAAGGAGATGAATGAATCAGTATATTACGTAATTAGTTAAGCTTTTCTTCTTCTCTTTATAACTAACCCATTTCAAGTAAATAACCAACTTTATGACTAATAAATTATGTTTCAAGTGCAGTTTTACTCGGAATATGAAAAGAGCAAGAGAACAAAACGGACAAACGAATGTTGTTACTTGGAGAAGTTTTTGTAGAATAAAAAATCGCAAAGATTTCATATTTCTGTTAGAAAAAGCTTCGTGCATTTAAATAAAAAATCAATTATGGCTGCAACGCTGAAAAGAAATCTTTGCGGAAAATGTGCATGCAAATTTAAGATAAATTGGTACCGGAAAGCGGAAAGGGCTGGACCGATAATGGCCAAATTCGGAGTGAAACTGCCAAATTATGAATCTCGTGCTAAATTAAATACGCTTCTGAGGGTTCGTTTTTTATCGTAACCACGATTAATTTGCAATTGATTCCCTAAGCTCTGCACGCAATCAACATATCAGGAAATATTTAGGAACAACATATCTTAGAGCATGTTAGGGGTGTGTGCATGTTAAAAAAATAGAATATTATACATACTTATTTACATAAATATATGTATGATCCCCTGTTGTGGAACAACAGTAAAATCATTACCTCAAAAAATCCACACAATTAAATCAAACGGGATGGTGCTGTTGTGAATGAAATCTAATTCTGTACCTTATTGAATCGCGCTTCTTTGCATAAGTACTTATGACAGCAAATTCTTTAGTTTCTCAAAATTTAAGAAAAAAAACTTGAATAAAAAACATTAGATGAAACTTTATGTTTTTGTTCGGAATGGGTGTCCATCTTCTTGTACATATGATGCAAAACAGTAATTACAGATTAGATGTATTACATATACCTACATACATACATACATAAATATATTGTTATAGATCAAGTAAAAATTTTAGCGTAAGAAAATTTATGGATAGCGATACAAAATACTACAACTGACATATTTACACTGTGTAATGATAAAAGTACTCGTATTCTACTAAAAAAAATAAAATTTTAATGTTTCTCTGCGTATTCTGTTACGGATTTGGTTGAATAAAATTATAAAATCCAATTTGTGCATTTATTCAAGATTTTAAAAAACTGTTTTGATTCATTCTGGGCATCGTTTCATAAATACAAAGAGGCATTCGCATTGTACTTTCACTACGTCGCAATAAATGTTTGATCGATAAATCAACTATTTGTATGGCAACTTTGAAACCGTATTTGGATAATCGTCAATACAACTGATTACCGATTTATCAGTCAAGGAACGAGTAGATTTTACCATAAATAATGGATCCTCTTCCAAAAATTAACAAGTCCCTGGATCAAACTTTACATTCCTCTTCGTTTACGGATCTGGACAGCCCCACAACTCTGATGTCCGAAGATGCTCGTCCTGTGCTCCCGGAGTCTCCACCGCCCAAAACGGTCACACCCCCAAGTACCACATCACCTGGAGTAAATCAAGGGAAAATGGGGGAAAGTAAGATTTTGTCAGAATCGGGATGCGAAGAGGCTTGTCCTTTTGACATGATTTGTGAGGTGAGACGATACACAATAAGATTGCATATCTTATTTATTTACATGTACATGTAAATAATGAACTTTATATTTTAAAGTTATTGCAGTACGTGATACAAAAAAAGTATGATGAAGCCAATGCGTTATGCAAAAAGAGTAAGTTGTCCAAAATAAATATACGTGTAATAAAAGTAACAATTAACAGATTACAGTCTCCAGTCGAACAGATATTCAATGTAAAATGTATATTTCACTGTAATGAATTCTCCATGGGTCGCTTAACATCACTTTTGCATGAGGCAGGTAGGTATACAAGGTACTAACCTTTCCAATCCTCAGATTTTGATCCGTTGTGGATAAAGTAAGTAGTTGGAGGAAACATCATGTCCCGAAGCAGTAAAATTGTTCACAGCTCAGTCAGCACGGATATGAGAAATATTTATGGATTGAATCGGATCGAGTGTTAGATTTATGTTGTTGGGGATTTATTTGGAACAGATTTCAGGAAGGTTAAATTCCTCCGAGTGAAAAATCAGGCTTGATTGGATCGATATTTGGACAAATAAAATTTATTCGGCAAGATTGATGTTCAAAGCTACAGCGTAGAATATTTATGTACGTCGTACGCACGTAGCTGGAAGAAAGAAGAAACTAAAAAAAATTGTTTCTTTGTTGGTATGATAAAGCTGCTACATAGCACCTTTTACAAATCGTGCCCTGGTGTGAGCCAGGCCAGGCCAGTGGGGCACGTAAATTTTTAAACCCCTTTTCGTCGTCATAGCCTGACCTGGACAATACAGGGCTGTTTATGTTGCAAAATATTATGTATCCTGCGACGCATTAAAAATTTAAAGTCATCTGATGGAGACCAAAAATAAATTGGAAAACTTTCTCCAGTGAGAGCGTCACGTTACGAGAGTCGGAATTTACAGGACATATGACAGGCAAGGCAATCGATAAGCCAATGCTTGCAAAAATCGTCGCCCATGCTCAAGTAACATACTTGTGTACATAAATCTATACAATTCTACTACGTCTCACAAAAATAACGCGATGAATGTTGCAAGGACATTCTTTCTTCTAAATAGCGTGACCCAGACCTTTCACAAGGGTGGTAAAAACTTACGTAAGACTTTTAGAAAGGTATTTTTTGCCTCTAGACTTTTATGTACGTTGAATCACACCCTGTAACTGGAAAGATTGAACATTATTCTTTTCAAGATTCACTAGAATTCTCAAAACCAATCGTGCCATTGATTCTAGATGCTCTGTTTTTCGCACCTGTGTCTCATAGTTTATTTGATCTCTTGAAGATCCCACCTTTGAAAGGTCACATTTGGCTGAGGAATATGCAACTTGGTTATTCCGACCATGAACTAGTGCCGCATTTTAAAATTCGTGCATACTAAAGTGTCCCATAATAATATTATAATCGATACGTCTTCCTCGTAATGATCTCTCCCACGACGGCATACACTAGTACCTATTCACATTACGAAAACATGAGCCATTAACTTGCGACATTCCGCGGCGTGTGGGTGGGTGTCGGATGTTGGCGTTTAGACATGTCGACTGTGATGAAGGTTTTCCCTCTCCAGTGTCAGAAATGTACTTAGACTTTGGGAACTTATCAACCCGACTCTCCCACATTTTTGATTGGGATGCAGGTGGGTTGGCAGACGAGAGAGATGGAGAGAGCATTTGCCATTTTGTGGGAAAGTAAGGCGTGATATTAAATTTAATGGGGCCTACTTTACTCCCTCCCTCAATCTCCTTCCTGATGGAGTACGGAGGCATTTGGCTCGGGAGGGGGTGCCTACAGATAAGAGCCATTACCAAATGAGATGAAATTCCAGGTGCGTTACTTTCTCCTTGATGGACTTGCCCTGGAAGGATGGGCACGATGTGTGTGCATGTACAGACAATGGTGGTAGTAGTGATATTATAAAGTGTAATGTTATGGAGGAGCCATTTACCTCTCTTTCCAAGTGTGGAGGATGATGACTCTTTAGGTCGGTCATATTTCGAATTAATAATGCATGTGGTACGTACATAGGTACATTCGTGTCGTATTGCTTCATGTGTGGTTTTGATGATACTTGCGTGAAATGTGTAGGCGACCAATTTTTTATGGACTGGAATTGGCGAAAAAATACATCTATTCGCATCAGTGATGACTGACCTCCTTCTTCCGTGTTAATTCTAAACATTTCTGTATTTGTAAATATAGTTTTACTGCGGAGAACTTCTTTCTCCGCAAAGACCAATAAGAACGAATTGCGAATATTCAAGAATACTTTAGTCAAGGAGAAATATTGCATTGAGATTTTCACGGTCGGTAAACTTAATTCCTTCCAAGTGTCGAGAATAGTTTAAAGCGGCCACATAAACATAACTGTTAAGAGAGAGATGCTCTAAATAGCGGCTTATATTTTCTTTGTCCAAATGTTACCTCCAGTTACGTAAATGTTGCATAAATTAGTTTAAATTATTTCCAGATGCGTGCGTGTACTCATGTGCATATTCATTCAGTTAGTAGAACGCCCTCGTAGGTATTTAGGTTGACTTCATGCCGACTTTATTACCAGAATGAGAGCGTTGTGTAATGTAATTTACTTGCGAACCTAAACGAAACAAAGGATGATCACATTTTCATCAGTGGTGGAATAAGTACCAACAAAATTTACCTTTTATTTACTTACTTTCCAGTTTTGATCTACGAACCAGAAAATCAGATTGTTCAGGAATTTCAACGGTTGACTTTTAAGGAAGAAGTGTCCGCAACAGATGAAGAATCTTCCTCCTCCGAAGATGAAGATGACAATGGTAAGAGGGCAGGATTTATACGTAACTTGACATTAAAAACCTTACTGCCATGCAACGCTGCATTGTTAAAAATGTCCATCACGACAAGCAGATGGGCACCCGAGGAGAGAAAAGAAAACGAGATTTCCTCAATTTTCTTTTCCCTTCATAAATAACGGGCGAGAATCTGACTGGAAATTAGATTTCTGTAAAAGGTGTCGGTCGAAAGAAAGGAATGCGTACAAGCACGTCCCCACTTCTTTAAACATTTATGTATGTATTTTATGACCTTACATTGAATTTATTATAGAGCATTTTTACATTCTTTCAGTAACATCTTCTTCTTCAGACGACGGTGAGGACGCCAGGGATTCCACTTACTCTACTGGAGAGGAGGAGGAGGACGAGGGGGAGGATGACGTCCCTGGAAGCAGTGGGGGTGACAATAATGTGGCTGCCCTTGAAGAAACAGGAGCCGAGATTGACGCTCTAACCGACGCCTATATGAAATCTCTCATGGAAAAATTTACCCACGGCGGTGGCGATGGTAAGGTGGACGACACGCTAAGTCGGTTCTTCTCAATTTCCAACGAGGATTCCGACGAGGAAAGTTCCACCAGTTCCAGCAGCACGCTCAGCAGCAGCAGCAGTAACAGCTCTTCGGAAGAAAGTGGAGAAAGCACGACAGATTCAGAAGATGAGTCAGAGTCGTCGAGTGAAGAGCGAGAAAGCGAAGATCACGACAGTGGAATCAGCAACAAGGGATTTTCCTCTTCCTAGATTTCGCATGCGATTTTTTAATACGCGGAAAAGATTTATTTGCAGATAATTATGTATCTAAATAAATATGAATAGTAGTAAATTTTGGGTAAATCATTTACAATCGTGCTGCACTATTTACAATGTATATTTCTGAACTGTAAATAAACACAAAAAATTATGAAGTAAATTTTATTTTTTTCTGAACAGGGCTTGAATATAAATTACATGTCGTGAATTTATTTTTAAAATTCAAATTTTTATTTATGTAAGATTTGAACGTCGATTAACATAATTTGTAGAAAGTTGAGAACTATAATAAGTCAAAGGTTTAGTTCTTCCGAATTAAATAAGGTAAGCTAGGAGGATTTCTAAATAAACGAAATTTTGGTGATACCGTAATTTAATTTATTTTATTTTAAGGATAAAATTCCTTCCCAATCTTAAAATAGTTCACACAATTTATTTATAAAACTCATTACTTATTCAATATTTACATGAATTTCTTCCAACCTTAATATTATTCTCAATAAACGAAACCTGCTTTACAACGCCTCCTCGAAGCCGTGGTTTCATAATTAAATTCCTTACCACTCAGAACTTGACCTTAAGAAGATTAAACCTTGGAGAACCTTTCGGATTCATTTCCGGAACATTCGCTCGTTACGTTGATGATTAAATTCACTTCAATTATCCGCACATCACGAGCCATGAACCCTGTCATTGCACGTCTTGGGCATGATCCCCCCTTGCACGTTCACTGAATGGGATAGAGCTGTGTACGTGATTAGTTCAAAAATCCTGATTAAATGCGTCATTCGATGTGATAACGCCCACGCCGGAAGCAGCGTCTATTCCATTGAGTCCCTTTTCATTTGATTTCGCATTATGAGGGTTTATCATTATGATGATAAGATTTCAATTCTGGTAACGCGATGCATTCTTCTGCATTCTTCTGGGAAAGAAGACTTTCATGTGCCTGCTTCTGCAGAATTCTCAATAGAAAGTCTTCATAACTTTATCTGATTAGCATAAGAGCATAAAAGATGGGAATAATACTCATGAATTTAATTGGTTCGTCCCACGTTTTTTTGGTACAAAATCAGATCCAATTTCCGTCCCAATTTTACACATGAGCATCATATTATCTAGATATACGTGCACTCTAAGAAATTTTATCACCGGATTATCACCGACCGGTGAGTATATGTGACTTTACCGGATGGTGATAATATTTCCCTTCTCGGTTACAGCGGAATCACCACGTGAAAACACCCACCACTCGCTCGGTAATAGTATATCACAATTCTACTACCGAAATTGTAACAACCCGATCACCGGTGTAGTCACCTTTATCACCTATTTTTTAGAGTGTACTACTATACCCATTCAACTAACGTGTAATTGAGTCTGCCTAAAATCTGCTCAGCTTTCCGAAAAGAATGTATGTCGCCATCCATGTCACTTTTTAATTAAATCCTGCAAAATGAATGAAATGAATTGAACCATTATTTCCTAAAAGATACGCGGACGGTGTTGTAGGTAACAACATCAACAAATCAGTCGTCCGTCCGACAGATGCTTCCTTCCTTTTCCTACTTCCTTTCGACACTCCCTGTCCTCCGAGCTCCATGTACACACACATTTACGCTGACAGGATGCGGTGTTACAATGCAAATCAGTGCATCGCTACTAATCCAGTGTATCAGTAGCTATCATACTAAAAATAATAATAATGAGCCGACCTGATCAAGATTAATGAGCACGAGGAAGAAGAATGGGGATTGTTTGTAAGTATTTTGCAGCCTTGATCCACTTTCTCGCTCGTTGTTTGCACGTTGCACTTTCTTTTCTGGCAGGTATGTACGTACATCTACACACATGTATGTATCCTGGGTGCGCTAAATAATAAATTGGTGATTGGATGATTGGTGTACTAGGTTCGCCACTTCATTTTACTTGCTTTGCTCTATATATTATTAGATCCATCAAATTCACAGACACATTAACCGAGGGATGAATGAGTGAGCGAGTGACTGCAGGCTTTCGAATAATGGACGAGGAGACCTTGTTTCGCAGAATGTTTTCGCTAATGGCATGTTCTTACAATTGTTCAAGAGAAAGCGAGACGAAGAAGAAAGCAAAGAAAATTTGTCTTTGTGCTGGAAAAGGGAAAAGCTTTTGGAAGAAAATGTATGTAGCCTCGAATTATTTATTGTTTCTGAAAACGATTCGCATTCTTTTAACTGTTACGTAGAAAGAGTTCAGGGAATAAGAAGAGATGGCATGATTCTTAATGAAATGGAAATTTAGAAAAACAATAGAAAAAGTAATCCAGTGATGTAATATTTACGTAATAAGGTAAAAAGTTTGTCCGTTGAGGGACAAACTGCGGGGTCTGGAATCAATTTGAGATTTATTTGAAGAGGAAAAGAGACAGGTCTATTGTTGTGGGTGTTGATGATGTTAACGAGTTTCTGTCCAGGTACTACTGGGTGGGATGGGTATGGGTGGGTGGCGTACATATGAACGTGTGATGTTTTTAGGTGATAGTGATTGTTGAGTAAATTGAAGATTGGTTCTGCTGTGGCCTGATTGAACCCTCTCTCTCTCTCTCCACTTGGCTTTTGTATTCTCAATGCAGCAAGCAAAACGATGACAACGAGACAAATCAACTCTGAGGAGGAGAAGGTGTGACGTTTGCAACACCAGATTTTGATGCCCTAAGTGAGTGTATGAAAAGTGAAGGATATTTTAGGGTCCTCTAAAGCCCGCCACACCCCTTCAGAGGAACGAAAAGTACGGTAATTACCATCTTCAAACGCTCGCCAAAAATTAAATTTTCCTCAGATTTCAAAAATTATTGTGTCCAGATTGTGTTTTATCGTATCCGACATCAAATTAAGTATTTTTTTGATATTTTCTGTATGACTTCGGAACAATCAAAATTTCAAACAAATTGAGTTTGATGCCGGAAGTTAAATAAAAAAAACCATTTAGTCCCACAATGGTACAATAATTTTCAAAACCCGATCAAAATTGAACTTTTGGTGAAGGTTTAAACGAGCGAAAACATGTTTTTTTTCGTGTTTTTCACCTCTTCGAGGGGATGTGGCAGGCGTTAAATGGCCCATGGACCTTAACCCTCCCTCACTGTTCCTACTCTCACCTATCTCCACAACAAAATCAAAAGGCATCAAAATCTGGCTTTGCAAAGTTCGTCCCTCCTCCTCTTGAGCCCACATCAAAAGTAGCCTTATTTCCTGTCCTACTGTCCTACATTTCACTCTCCCTTTCCATAGGAAGGAAGGAAGGTCCAGCTCCAACCAAGTAGACGTTTATTTTATCGGACAGTGTGTCACTCACATCTGACAAAAAAGATGAATTGGACCAAACCCTTCGAAAAAAACAAAAAAATCCCCTTCTGAGTTATTATTTTTCGTTACACTTATGACAACTTTACTCCCTCTTCAAACTCCAAAAATATGGCTGCGACTGAGGTGGTACTCCTTCTCGTAATGCGAAACTTTTCTCTTGAAACAATAAAACTCCTTCGGTGATGGTGCAGACTTAATAATATTTCTCTCCAGAGTGTAATGACAAGGATAATGATACCACAGGACGGATATTGGGGAAACGGGACCAAGAAGACGAGAACAATCTCTCGCCTCCTTTCTTTCCACCAACTTTTTACACTCCTCATTCTTCTTATGAAATAGTACGCGTGGTATGTATGCATTCAGCACGGTTGGACTATTTGCTTATGCAGTTTACTAGGTACATTCATACCCACGAACGCCATACATACCTTTACTTGGTGGTTGATGTATCCAAAATAATAGCATTATTGATCAAATAAATCCACTAAACAGGCAATACTCTAGCAAAAGCAATACACAACTATTGGTTTATGTCGTAGATACCAATTCAAACGGTAGTTATTTAGTTAGCATTCAGTGCAAAATACAAGTCGGACCAAACCAAACCATGTCGAATGTCTTGTCCTCCTCCGCCTCCTCGTCTGGCTGGAATGGCATGATCGAACTAAAGTAAATAGTAGAAAAACTAAGTAGTATCGTCGTGTCGTCGTCATCGACATGGTGTTTTGGAATCGCGTGGTGGTCTGGTTTGTGTGTGTTGCCAGAATGAATCGGATTATACCGTGGGGCAGCAATATGTACTCGTGTTACGCTGTACATACATATTCGACATACTTTCTCAAATTCATGAGGGGAACTTGGTGAACACATTGGTTTTGCTTCGGTAACTTAAAAAGTTGTAATTTACATTACATTTCGTGTCTAGCTTCGCCTCAGTCGAGACCAGTTTTCGGGCTGTGCTGGACATGAAATTAGCTGGTGGTGGTTGCGTTCTATCGTGCTGAAATTGATGTACATACGCAGTGAGTGGATACATATTTCGTAGAAATTAATCCATGTAGGCATGAAAAATATAAAGGAAAATCTACAAGTTTTTTAAAAATATTTACATTGATCAAATGTTTACTGGGAGATCCACTTGAGTGAAAAGTGCATCATGTCCAATAAAACTGGGGGTGGTGGGAGTGTTTCTGGTCGTCGCGGTGGCGGTGCTAGCAGTAAGATGAGTGTTGGTTATGGGGGTGCAACCACTCCGCAAAGTGGTGGTCGAGACAGTCACTTTAAAGTATTGGAGACCGACTCAAAATACGGGATGCTCATGTGGCAAAGCAAATTGCAGGAAAAGTTGCTCAAGGAGGTGAGTGAAAGTAAAAGCTAAAGTGTCTCGCTCTCAGGTTTTGTAATAAAAAAATTGAAATTGGATAATCGATTTTATTATTGCTCAATAAATCAATATTTTATGGAAAAAATTTGACTTTTCAAACTAAGTAGTCCTGTAATAATCATGTTAAGGAAATTGGGTTACTAATTGTGTAGGTTGTGAATGTAGGTAGATAATTGCTTAAAAATACATAATGCTATTTCCTACCAATTAACTGGTAAATTTGCTCACAGAAAATTCTTTGTTGTTCATCCTGCATTTGACATGTTTTACCTTCCAGCAAAAAGAGAAGAAACAGAGCGATCTTGCTTCTGCGATGAGGAGAAAGTCTGACGAAGACTATCAAGCTCAAGCTAAAGCCAGTAGGACGGGACCACTTCGTGGTGGGGGCAGCGGTGGTGGTGGTGCAAGTGGGAGCTATAACACGTTCAGACCATCCAAAGACAATGGAATGGTGCCAGATCCCAGAGTAAACTTTAGCAGTGAAAGCCCCAATGAATTCAGGATTGAAATATCCAGAGAAGAAGACACTCCAACCTCCCGTGGAGCGAAAGGGACCCGACGAACTAATAATCCCTTAACAACAACAACACCCACACATTTCATCTCTGCGAGATCGCCCCAATCCCAAGATCCAAGTGAAAAGTTTGTTAGTGCTGATTCTGTGAATGAATTTACTTCCAATTTTGCTCAGAGCAACTTTTACGAGGATATTCATCACACTCAAACTGGTGGTGGTGCTCAGTCTGATTTTGTGAAAAGTAATGAACACATGAATAATTCCGATGGTGGGAACAAATATAATCCGAGAGGTAATAATACGGATGCACAATACGAGTGGGTGGTGCCCACGGACAGTGCTGACGATAATCAGGTTAGGCAAGGACAAGGTGGTGGTGGGACACGTTATCATGCCGAAACGTATCATCATCAGAATCAATACAGACGTGATCTTGTTCCTGATCTCGACAAAAATAATGGCACAATGCTCCCAAAAATTGAGAAAGTATTTACGCGAGGGAGACCCAGTGGTGGTCAAATGCCAAAACTCAGTAATTCCATTTCCTACGATGTATGTAACTCAGTAATTAAAGCTTACATACTTCCTATTTCCTAATTATCACGATCGTTCTCATGTCATCTCAAATTTTTGCAGAGTCTCACCAAACCCAATCATCATCATCAAGGGCAAACTACTCCGGCCGCCGGGATAACCTCGACACCCTACAACTTTTCCAGCAACCTGGCATTTTTCGGTCTAATGGGGTTCGGTGGTGGGACTGGAGCCGGAGCTCCGCGTCGTTCACCATCAGGAAGATTAATGACCAATCTGCAAGGTCACCCTGAGATCCGTTACCACCAAAAGGACACGCGTGGTTTTGACCAAACCCTGCGTTACATGATGGATAAGGAACGGATCTCTCAATACAAGGAGGACTTGGATAAACAAGTGTTGGAAAATGCGAGACAAAAGGTTCGGGTCGGGTCCATTCCCATGATTAAGATCATGAGCAGTCACGAAAGTAACCAAAATCTCGCCACGAACGAGACTGATGATGATTTGAGAAGGTTCTCTCGTGGCAGCAATAATGGCGTCGAGTTGGCTCCGCTCATCAGAAAGTATAAAAGTCTCCCCAAACTCAACGCTCTCAGCTCGACCGATGTCACAAAACAGTTCTCGTAAGTGGGGAGTTGTTTACTCAAATAGATTCAGATGTATGTACATGTTTTGATTGGTTGAGAAATTCAAATATGAAATATCCATCCCTCACTCAAGTTCTGTGTGATCATCAAAAGGTACAAAATAATTCATATCATGTTTCAAAAACAGAAACGACGGCTGCATGAGATTTGTGCTTACCTTGTTCCCACGCGTTATCGTTATTATATAAGGAGCTGAAGGTATTTGCTGGGAAGACTTTGTCCGTCCGTCCGTCAGTCAGTCCGTCAGCAGAATGACGGGAGAAAGGAGAGAGATAAATAATTGAGATCTGTTTACGGCATCATTCACATGACCAAATGAACTTTTTGAGTCAATCGGACAATTGCCAGTAAAAGTTGGGGGCGTGATTGCATAATTTTAGGGAATTGATTGTTTCTTTTCACATATATTGTGCCCCATACATGGTGGCTTACGATTAGATCATAAAAGATATGACCTTCCCGTGTTCAAGTGATCTCTGAACTCTGAGGCTGTCTTGAACACACTAAAAACAGCATAACTTTTGAACGAAGAGAAATATTTCAATCCTGTTTTCAGCACATAATGCAATAAATAAATTCCGAGGTCAAGACCACACCGTCTCGCACGCATGGGGTGTGGTCGGGGGCATAGTGAGATTTTTACTGAAATTAAATCTTTAGATGAAATATAGTGACCTAAAGTGTTCCCCCATTGTTGTGGGCGTGGTTTTGGGCGAATTGAGACTGAAAATCTACTTTGGTATGTGTGCTTACTACGGTTTATTATTATAATAAAATCCTCCTCTCAAACCGGGGAGGAAGAAGGTTCCATTATAGAGAGCGGAATGTTTTGCTAAAAGATGAAACGAACCGAATCCGAGAGTACAGGGAAGGCATACAATCTGGGAAAAACACGTAGGTTGAGAAAGGAGAAGATTAAAGCAACCAAGTGTGTATGTTTTGGTCTGTCTCTCTCTCTCTCTCCGTGTGTGCTTTCTCTCTCTTTACCACTGTCAAACCAAACTGAGAGCTTTCTCTTCTGTTTTTCATACCTGCCTTGGCAAAAATTAGCTCCCCGCGGAGAGGAGACCAGAACTGCCTTTCACCAGAACCCGAGGAAATTGCCAAAGGCCTGTCAATACAACTCGCAGAGAAACAGAAAATGTACCAAATCACTCAAGAGAACGAGAGGCTGGCCGCTGAGAAACACTTTAATACTTGGGATTCTTTCTGGGGAAGACCAGGTGAGCACTTGCGGAATCTAACACAACATAACCTACACAAGCTTGTTAGCTAGCTTGGCTTGTTAGCTAGGACTGCTAACTAAAGCTAGTTATCAACATACCTTATCCTAATCTGACCTTTTCCTTTGTCCAGGCTGCGGCGCGCCGATGGTCCACTACCGAAATTCTAGGATTGGTCAATCCACACCGAGTTTGGCAAGTTCCAGAACGGATCTGTTTAAGGCGTTGCATATGACGCATCAAAATAAACCAAAGGAAAAATAATCTGTGAAACTATTTAGGACGAGTGCTTAAAATTCGGTGCAATACATAACATGCGACATGTATGTATACGGAATTCTTTCTCATTTTCTATGTAACTTAAAAATCGGTGCACGCACAACGTATATACTGAATCGTATCAGGATGGGTACTCACGTAATGAATTTGAAGCAAATTAAGGAATATATCCGAACGTCTCAATTTAAATTGAATGACAGAAATTAATGAATTTTTCACTCGATTTTATTCATAATGATGATTGTATTACATTGTTGGGTATCAAATAAACATATAATTAGTATTTTTAACTATCTGTCAAATAACAATCCGTTAATTAAACCATGCATTCCTACTTGCAACAAGAAACACAGGAAATGGGAGTTTCCAAACATATAGATAGAATTTTTTCCAATTACGCTCATCCATATACCAGCACACAATGAATCTTCTCACAAGATGAAAGAAACCCAAAATTAGAACAAATCTCGAAACATGTAACATGTAATTAATGAGAAATTGCAGGCAACACGACTCCACTACATTTTCCAAACCCAACCTTGTAGCCGTTTCCTTGAGCCGCTCCTGCCCAACAAAATAATAAATCAAACAGATAGCAAGAAAGAGTCTCATCACGATCATCACGATCATTATTTTAGTTGGAAGTGAAACTTTTTCGTGGTTATCGGAACATCGTGATGATAAAGAAGCAGTATTGTTTGCACAAAAGTTTGAGAAAAGTAGGTGAAAGTAAGGCTCCAATATTTTGGACTTACCTCTGATAACAACTTCGTCACCGTCCTTCAGAAAGGTGCGCGTGGACCCATCACTCATTGGAATTGGTTTGCTACCTCTCCATGACAGCTCCAGCATCGATCCGAAAGAATCCTCACTCTAATCACGGGAAAGGTGAGACATGTATTGCCAGTTAGATAATAAATGGCTCCATATTTTAGCATGTCACCACACATTCCAAAAAATAATGAAAATCTATCCACGTGCAGACTCACTGGTCAATATAAATATTCTAGCGCTTACATATAAAAGGTTAAACTTACCGGACCGGAAATTGTCCCGGAGGCCAATAAATCTCCGGGATTTGTATTGCAACCGGTTATCGTGTGATGAGCCAACTGCTGTTTCATTGTCCAGTACATGAATTTGAAATTGGATTTGCATACGGTCGTTTCCTCCGGCGAAGTTTCGGCTGCGAATGGTAACAAAATATTACGTATGTATTACGCGTCTCCCCAGTTGTAAATAGTTCTAGAGATATTTATTCAACTCGAAGGGTGAGTATTTTTGTTAGAAATAGAGGAAGCTTGCCCACGTGTGCACACACGCATCTTTCACAACTTACGCTTGATGGAGACCGTGAGGGGAATGTCAAAGGTGAAAGGATCATCATGCACCAAATATGGGAATGGTTTCGGATCCTGGTTGTAATTGGGTTGGAGAAATGGTTCCAACGCAGCGAGGGTGACGACCCATGGCGAAATTGTGGTTCCGAAATTTTTCGCCAAAAATGGGCCAAGTGGAACGTATTCCCATTTCTGGAGAAGAAAAACAACATATTCAGTATGAATAATAGTAAGTAAATATTTTTACTTGTACATTTCCCTCCATTTTTTGTGCGAACTTTGCACATTTTTCACGTGCCAACCCACACCCACCTGAATATCTCTCGCACTCCAGTCGTTCATCAAGACGCAGCCGAAGATGTGGTCCTGTGCCTCGGAAATTGGAATCGGACTTCCGAATTGGTTTCCGGTCCCGACCAAGAATGCCATTTCCAACTCAAAATCGAGTAGTTTACATGGTCCAAAAATAGGAGGTTTGTCATCAACAGGACAGGATTGACCCGTGGGGCGCCTAATGGGTGTCCCACTTACCACAATTGAACTCGCCCTCCCATGGTAGCCCACGGGGAGGTACTTCCTACACGATTTAAATCCAATGAAACGTTTCAGGGACAGAATAATACATTCTCTGCGTCATTCTCTTTGACGAAAGGAATAGGATTTTTGATAGGACGCCCCATGCATTGTGCTTCAGAGAACAACAACAAGAACGCAACTACCACGTAATAATAATGTTTATAATATATGCATCGGCCTGCGTGGGATTACCAGACTTGCTACTTAGCAGTAGGCCCACCAGCAATGATAATGATAATAATAACAATTTCAACATTTATCATTTGCTCCAAATGTCCCGGTAGCTCGGGGAGAAAATCCTCATTCCCATTTATATTCAAAGTTTGAAGCAAAGTGTGGAAATGTGCGAGACCAACGAAACTCTTATGCAAATCCAGAGACGCAGTTAGATTATAGAAAGTCATCAAGGTTTAGGACCAGTACGATATTCTTGTAGCCAGTTTCAAAAGTTGGGTCCAGAAAATCTGTCCCGGTATTATTGCCAAGTTGAATTCCGAAGTCAGTTTTATGACGTACTACAAATACGCACTGGCTCTGATTCGAATACCGTAAAAGTTTAGAGATAACCCGGACATGGGGAGAAAGCTGGTTAAAAGGGTTAAATTCTCGAGGGAGCAATTGCACCAGGTTTCATGCTATGACCTCTCTCAACTTGAGATTGTACATATATGTATGCTGCGGCTCTCACTCTCTGGTTCTCATCTCACTCACTGCTGGACAAGGTAATGGTTGGTGGAAAAAGGATAATGGAAACATACCAGTTGGGCATCAAAGCGTTGTCTTTTCTGAAAATATAGAGAAATCCTTGAGTAAAAACAGAGGAACTATGCGCACCATTGAAATTGAAAGCATACAAAACTTGGACAAACAAGCAGTCTCACCCTCGAAACATGGTTCCAACGTTGGTGGCATGATCAATACTTGAATAGAAATCCGTATAGTCTCCAATTTTTGCTGGAAGGTGCATCCTTTACCCAAAGAAAATTCAATTATAGAAAAATTGCATTAAAAAAGTTGAGCACTACGCTTTCAAATAGAATTTAGAACCTCTATATTCTACTTTGTATTGTAGTAAAATATAGCGATTCTAAACTACAAGTTCTGTACAAAACTATAAAAATAGCGTTTTATGCTTACCTACACTTCGAACTCGGAACAAAAGCTCTGCAGGGTACAAAGATACAAATATGAGTATAAATCCTCGTTTAGAGAGTTCAGACATTGTGTCGTTGATACAAAAATATTGAGGAAATAGGTTTTTATTTGAGCAAGATTGTCATGTTTCATAATTTTCCAAGCCTTCTCATATTTATTTCCTAGCCTACTTATGCCGCAGGTGCTAAATGTCTCCTCCACTTGTGGCGGATAAGTTGCAGACAATGAAATTGGAGATGAGAGTCTCCTTTGTTATTTGAATAATGACAAAGGAAATCCTACTCCGTGTTCCTGGTATCGTGCTTGCATATCTTTTTGTGCATTGTGCTGCTGGCCATTCAACAATTCAACCTTTACAATTTATTTTGGGGAAAGTGGGAATATCCATGTCCTTGCCAGACATTATCTCTTTTCATATGATTAAAACTCCCATAATTTTGAGTGGCCTTGCTTAAAAAAAGTTCTTGGCCTTCATCCCGCGATAATAAAGTGCATTTGAGAACAGGAGCAGGTTTTTAGTCGATAGAATGTCTACATTGAAATAAAGTGAAAGTTGCTTTCACTGGCTGATTTAGTTCTTCCTTGGCTGGTTTAGTGACTTGTCTGCTGTCTTCTAATTTTTTTTTGCCTTGCAACTTTTCCTCTTCTGCCACTGTCATCTCATTCTCCCGACTCGTCCATATACTTTCTTTTTGCGGTGTTTGTTTGACTTTCCGCGTCTCCATTGCTGCTTTCTCTCTCTTCGCCTGAAATTGACGGGCGAGAATACAGAGAGAATATCAACTTACGTGTGTCGAAGTGGAGAATCCCGGAGGACGGATTCTGAGGCGGAAAGTACTTTCTGAAGTGTCTCTCTGCACTCTAGCCATGCTGATTTCCCAAGGCTCATTAATCCATTTAGACTCTCCTGGTAGCAGTGGGCATGTAACAAGGAAAAGAAATGGTGGATTAGTGGGTGCTACTTTTGTCATCGGGATTAAGCAAAAGATGTCAAGTTGCGTCACGGAGGTATAAAAATAATACAAAATTCTAATGTTCTCCAGGCCATGTGCATTCTTTGAGTAGTTTTTAAGTAAAAGTTCAAAATTCATGGGGTGAGTGAGTTATACTTGCTTTGCATGCACGTGGCGGCGGAAGTGTGGGGACGGAGGGACAATGTCCCCACGGCTATTCAATGTCCCCATCATCTGCCCATGTTATATATATCCCTCCCTCCCCTATCCTACAATGTTAATGTCCCCACAGCTTCCGCGGCCACTGTACTACATTTACGTACGTGCATGCATGCATTATGTTTAACCTGGTCTGATGGGAATTGAGAAAGAAAACTAATACCGAGGATTTTCAAGAGTTATAAATTATCCACGTTTCATTATTATCATTTTTTGCATTATACTTATGTACTTTCATCCCATGTGCGTTCTAGTTTCACAGGTTTTCTCATCTAATTTAGTTTACATAAATTCTTTCTCCAAGTTTTTCACATTGAAACGCCCACCACATGAATGAACACACTTTTAATATAATCTACCCTCCAGTCATTAAAGTACATGTTGTTCCTTACTATCTTTACATGATATGTAAATATCCATGCCATGCTTGACTTGACTTTGAAAATTTGCGAAATAAGTAAAATCATAGGATACCTGAGCCTAATTTATCCCACCGGAACAAACTTTCTTAACATGGTTCTTAATGAAGGAAGGGATTACATGCAGTGTGGTAAATAAAGGGCAGGAAGGAAATTAGTTTTAATTTGGGTTTTCGACTACATATTCACCGACGTCATCTATCTTTGGGTATTAATAGCTGTGCATTTTGCACCGTTACTGATTATCAGGCAACCCTCTCAGGAATTTGGTTTGATTAATGCCAATATTGAGATGCAGAAAATGCTATCATGAAAATTAAGACGGTTTGGAAGTAATAATTAGACTCGTGATCCCACAGCACGCCTATATTTGACCTAATGCATCTACCACCACCAATTTTAATCCCATAATATTATACACACTTCAAAGCAAATGATCTAAACCTGACTGACTCACCTCATCAAACACGTGTGAACTTTTGGACATCAAAGGTCCACAAAACAGGCTTTTGATGACTCCAAGATCCAACACTTGATCACCTATTGCCACGCCGGGCCTCGGCTTGGGCTGAAAATGTCATGGCGAAAAACAATTTCAACACTTGACCTACAATAAACCGCAACGTACTACGTCCACATATTTGGATTATCTCCCACAACAATTGGAAACAGGATTGTGCACGAAATTCGCAAAATCGCTTGTCCGTTCTCTTATCTTTCATGAAATTCAATTTTATCTACATGAACAACAAGCAAATTTAATTCTGTCTCTCAAACTCGTAAATATTTGGACAAGTTAAAAAGTTGAAACGCGTTCTTTGCCCTCTTGACTGGACAACACTGAGCGATGAGGATACTTAACCTTTGCTCTTTTATTTTCCTCTCAGAGGGGAAAAGTTCCGTAAACTTTGTTACTTTTACTTTTCTTCTTTACAGCCTTTTACAACTGAGGATGAACGAGAATACAAACGAGACAGTCCTTGGGGGTAATTCTTAGAAAAATAGGGACTAACAGGGACGTCAATTGTTCCGAAATTGAATGCGTACATATGTACATCAAGAAATAAGGTTACATAAAAATGTCCAATATTTCGGAGATGATTTGGACCAAGACAATTCCCAAACTTTTCTTGATTCTATTCTACGCGACAAAAAACTTACGTTGTCCGTCGTGGAGAAAATTCCATAAGGCAAGTTTTCGAGTGGAAACTCACATTCTGGCCCGTATTCAATAAAACTTTTCATTTTGACGACGGAAATTTACGACGGGGCAGATGAATCTAAAACAAAGGAAGAGAACGACCGCACTGTCCACGCGACGAGGTAAGAAAGATCGAAAAACTTGGACACGATTTTCCTTCCAGAATTATTCAGGCACCTCCAAAACAAGTTTGATACTGGATTGAAGTTACTACAAGATCACGTTTTGACACCATTAACTAAGCAACAGAGTAGAATTGGATGAAATAAACCGGCTGAAATTTATTGTATATCAGGCAGATGAGCTTCACTGCATAATTACTTAAAGTTAAACTTGTTTCTGGATATACATGTGTAGAGTTGACAGTGGATTCCAGATATAAATACGGCAACAAACTCAAGGTTAACCGGATTTACAAGGCTGTTCTCATCTTTCCATGAGCAAATTCATATTGCTTCACTAAAAGGGTTGCATGTATGTTGAAAACTTGGACGGATTGGATAAAATGGGAGGTGTGTCATGTCACAGAAAATTTAAGTGTTATAAAAATCATGTCTTTCATTTATTAAATCTCCAGCTTTTACATACAGTAAGATAATTTAAGGTTTCACTTCTTCAAGATAAATGAGATATTGCATCTCAGCAATTCAGGGTTCGCCAGATTCATCGAAGGAATCATGAGACAATGTTTTACTTTTGCGGTTTCCTCTTCTCAATAAGGACGAAAATTTTCGCAACACATTTCCACTCCGGTTGGCAAATGTCTTTCCAATCTCGTCGAGAGAGTCCTGTTCGACTTTTCCGTTAAAGTTTTTCATGGTCAAGTCCGACACGGAACATGACCTTGTTGAACCATCTCCTTGATGGTGAGCGTGTTTTTGATGTTGGTGTAATCGTCTGAAAGATTTTGGTATTTTTGTACTAATCCGTTTTCCTGATTGAAATATTCCTGACAAATTATACGTACCTGTACGAGGAGAGATCATTAATGCGAAAAATCTCAATTTTATCCAGTCCCGACTTTAAAATAGTAATCAAGTCTTTTCTAAATTGACTCCACTCTTGATTCAGTTGCTCCAGCTGTCCAAAATCCGACTCGTTTATGAAGCTGGTTTCATTTCATGAGGAGAAAAATAATAATTTGAAAATAATTCGTTGAGCAAGATTAGTTTTATAATGACACTTGCCATGAAAATTCAGGAATATGAATTTGCCTCAGGTCAGCCAGCGTCAACGTCTCGAATTTAGTCATGAGTTCGTTGCTGGATAATTGTTGGAGAAGTGAACTTTTGGCCTGGAAGTAGACAAAATCTAAATAAGTAGGTCAAAAGCACGAAACGGGACATGTCATCGCGTCTGACATGTCTCATATCATAATCCCACGCATATCTGAATTACGGGGTTGTACAAATGATGGAGGTCTCCCAGCGAATGCTCTCCGATTTTGACCAAAACTAGTGTCAATCGATCATTAATTTAATTAGTATGAAATTGCAAATGACACTATCAGCCAATGCTTAGGTTTTGCAGAGATATTTGCACCCAAAGTGGAGAAAACGTGCTATAAAGTTGGCAAATTTTACACTTTCCAAATTTACTCCGCCCGTTTTCTTATTCTCGGATGCAAATATCTCCGCCAAACGTGCCCATTGGGAGATGGTGTCATTTGCAAATTTCATACTAATTAAATTTGTAACCATTTGGCAATAATTTTGGTCAAAATCGAAGAACATACGTTGGGGGACCTCCATTAGCAATACAACGCTTGGCTAAAAACGCCAGAAGAAAATATGCATTAGGATGTTGGACGTGGCTAAAAAAGAACAAACCTGTCGCCTCGCTTCCGCGTGCATTACTCTTTTTTCAAACTCTTGAAAAGCATCGTCCCCATTTCCATTAAAATGTCCATCCAATTCGGACTGGATGGTTGAGCAAAGTAGTCTCAAATTGGTCTCGGTAACGATGTTATCCTCCAAATGAGCTGTTTTAAGGAGATCATCAATCTTCTTTTGCAGCTGGGTAAATTCAGACTTCAAGTCTTTGACCTATGCATCCATACATTAACATAATTATAGAATGATTTCGGATGGTAGGGCTAAAAAATGCCATTTTTTTACCGCACCAAAGAAAGTTGTTGTTTTTACCTCACTTCCAATCTTGTCGATCAGCACCTCTTCCAAATAAAAGGCTCTGGAGAAGGCAACCACGGATTGACTACTCCGCACAATTTCAGACGCTACTTTCAACTTCAAAAGTTGGAATTCGTTGTCTCGCTCCATAATAACTTGTCTTTGCGAATTTATAAAATTATGACTGATTTTGCTGAGTCATTCTTAGAATATTTTTGCAGGAGAAGTTTCGCAACTGATTTCTACAACTGTTCGATTTCGAGTTACTTATTTCACTTTCATGTCCTGCACAGTATTTTGTGCGACTATGTATGTATCTGCTTGCTAAATACTTTCACCTCCTTATTCAACAGTTTCTGTCGTAAATGCGAAAAGTAAAATCAAATTTAACAACCGACTCGCCAAACGGTAAAATTCGTATTCAAGACAACTCTTCTCTGGTCTCTCTTCTAAAAACAAACCAACACAAATTCACCCAGTAAACAAACTCTCTTTGGCGAATTAGGTATACAAATGAATCAACTGATTCGAACGGGGTGTCGACAGTAAAACAGATTTTACAACAGTTTTACATACTTTGAAAAAAATAACTTTCAGTCTTTAACGAGCTATTAACCCAGACATCACTAGTAGCACCAGCAGCACCACGTTCAATGCACCCACACTGGAAACTGCACTGGAAAAGAATGATCATCACAGCTTTGAAAAATAAATATAATATTGTGTTCAGTCTGAATGTCAACCCATGCATTGCGTGAAATATTTGCACGAACGAACAGATATCCAGAAGTGACACGACTACTATAATCAGCACCTTGTGAACGCTCAATTAAACGTATCATGGATCATATGCATTTGCATTATTCATCATTTACAGCAGCATAATAACAGCACGATGGTATGTAAATATGTGCATACGAGGAAATATCAGGCGTAATGTGGTTCAATTTTTTTGTGGTGGGATTATACGTACACAATTGTGTTGATTGGGGTGGGATATGGTCCCCACATGTGCATGTATTCAAATTTAAAGAGGAGTACAATCTAAAAGCGGAAGTGTCACCTCATCAAAGTCAAACTAAAAGTTGTAGTAGTCGTTGTTTTTTGGAGATGAATGTGTTCCCCCCACAGTTCATGATTTATGTGTTCAGTTAGTTGATGTGACTCATCCACGAACAAGCAGATGCTCATCTGCTCCTCTTGTTATTCTGTCCTGTTTAATGATTCATTCACAGAATGGAAATCGTGGGATGGAAAATTCCGTATGATATTTATGTATGGACGACCTAATGGGATTGGGTGGTGGGGGTGGGGCACTTTACAAGCGTCACTCGGAACGCGAGGTGACACATGCCAATCCAGTTTTTGGTAGGAGTCCAGGCTAAAGTCAGACCAGGTATTTTAAGTGGTAGGTTTTAATCAAAAAACATGAAAATACTGGTTCCAGCTAGGAGTTTGACAAGGTTCCAGATTTTTTTAAATTGGAATTTTCTATGTAACTGATTTACAAGGTGTTAAAATATTTAAGTACATACATTGATAACACTGAGCTCTGTCGGTACATAGATAACTTTTTATCCTGCAAGTGTAAATATGTAGATATAACCCAGCAATAATACAAATTTAACATGAAATTACGAATAAATACGAGGTGGATCTATAGAGAAAGCGATGCCGTTCACTTCCCCTGTGAGCACAGAAAAGAACTGCGGAATCGCGTGTGCGGCTTTCACTTTTGGTGAAAGTAGATGGCGTCTAGATTATAACGAAGAAGTTATTGGAGGTCAGTGCAAAACAAGCTGTTGTGGTCCTTTAACTTGCACATAAACCGATTTAGCTCAAATTACTTGTAGATTTTTACTACTTTTCGACAATATAACTTTTATTGACGACACTATTTTACTCAATTCCTTCGTGGTGCCTAATATTTGAAGAGGTAGCATTATATGACATATTCACACGTCTTGGATTGCTTGTGTAATCCAAGCAACACAATCTCTCCCTTTGTTTTACAAGTCTCCAACGCAGAGGAAGCTGAATTTTTCTGTGAGTGGCAGAGGAATGAATGAATGAATGAAGAAGCCATGAGATTCACTCCAATCTCCATCCGACAGCCCTCATCGTGTCTACTTTTAGACCCTCTTTGAGCACACAAGACAAAACAGGCACTAATGAAGAGAGGAATAACAGATCGGAAATTACGGTCTAATAACTCTCCACAGTGGGTGGAGGATTCTGCTCCTCGTGCAGTTTCTCATGGATTCCTCCGACTTTCATGACCGCAAACCTAGGCAGGCTTCAAGATGTACAGATTTTGGGTGCAATATTTAGTTCCGTTTCCAGCAGAGACCAAAATTTAAAAGGTGATGTTTCAAATATGTAACAAGATGACATCAAACAATACGAATGCCATATGCATTTACTAATTAATATTGACGACGTCATACAAATATTTTGTTAATTTAACTTTGTCCGTGCTGCGTATGAAGTGGTTAGCACAATTTTTTACAAATGTTCAATCAAATGAGGTTTCATTCTGCGGTTCTAATAATAAACACAATGAAATATTTATGCTTGCACAGTATGTACTTCCGGAATCCTTCAAACTCTTTGATCTCGAGTATCAATTTTCATTTCGACTTGCAATTAGTTTAGTGCGAATTTGTACGAGTTATATATTTAGGTTTGGAAGAATGTTTGCGAAATAAATGCATGTATTTTGATGGTTAGTTTTTATAAATATGCATTTAGCTTTATTCAAAATGCAGCTATTTAACACTTTAAACATGGACATACATAAATATAATTACTTTCTGAATAAAGTACCAGTTTTTTTTCTGGTGTGAATTTTCCCTTATGTAATGTTGCGAAAAATTATTTTGCAAAATCGTGTACATCAAAACTTTTATTATGCTACCCCTGTCTTCGTAAATCTATGGTTTATGCATACTCTGCTTTTAGTTATGAATTTATGTCACTTTAGTCTTATTTTATTACTTTATTTTATGAGTAACCAGTTTTGCTAGCAATATTTTTTTAATTTGCCAGGTTTCCAAGAAAAGCGTGCATAATTTTTACACGGTAGAAGACGACAATGCATTCTACTAGTAAAATGTAGAAGGTCACATTGAATCTCGATTTTTCCATTAACAAGGTGGTATTTAAGGAGTTTGGTCTTTGCAATAATTTTCATAGTGCTTTTTAACTTTGTGAGAGCAGCCTTACCAAAATGTTGAAGTTATCAATCCTTGCTCTTACACTGAGCCTGATAAGTGCCGTGAACTCATCACCTAACGATAACCCCACATCCAAGGATCGGTCTGAAACCAGAAGATGTGCCCGAGACCGGTGTCCCTTGGACCAAACGACATTTAACATCACGACAAACATTCCTTTCGTCAAGGACCCGGAAGCTCCCGGTTTAGAGGAATCCCTCCAATGTGAGACCTTCAATTACTGCGGGGATGGCAAGAAACGGACTACGTGCCCCATAATCGATGGACACGATAAGGCTGACCCCAGCTACCAACAAGCCTTGACTTTGGCCGTGATAAAAAGCAACTTGGCCCCCGGCTCGATTTTCTTGCAAATTAAATTCAATTCCGACAAGACGGCTGACATTAATTTGCGATATGTCAAGTATGGAAACGTCACGAAAATACCGGCCGACATTCCAACCGGTTGGGACAATTTGGAGAAGGATATTGAAAATGATAGCAGTTTTTATGAAGATATTGTGGTTATCAAAACGACGCTAAATATTCCGAAAGATTTGCCACAACCGAGCACAGATGAAGCTGGGTATCATGCAATCAGGGTGACGGAATTTTTCAAGCTGATCCTGGGGGCTAAGTCGGTGACTGGGAAGGTGTTCACCTTAGAGAAACAAGGGGCACCATGGGTCATCATTTGGGACAAGGTTACCCTCACGTTTGATGAGGACTGGACTCGGGATGTTTTTGAGGAAAATATCGAAAAATTTAATAATGACCATTTCGCCATGTAAGATTTTTTAAAGGGATTTTAAAGATTTAACTGATCATAATTTAATACTACTTCCGACCATAATTAATACTTTTTTCCCAAATACTTTCTTTCATCATAATGGAATCTAATTTGACCATAACTAGAATACTGACTTATTCATAACGAATCCTCCGTCTACCATAACCAAGTTATTGGCGAAGTATTGAGTAAAAAAAAGTATATCTTTGTTAAACATAGTAGGGTCAATGCGGGTTAGTCTGGCCACTTTTTTCCGAATCTGCGTTCTTCAGTGAAACAAAAAATGGATTCAACTAACTATTTCGCTTTAGTTTATGATCAAAAAAAGTTTAAAATATAATTGGAAGTAATATTTATCAATTATTTAAAATAAATAAAACAAGTGTGTACATTAACCCCACCAAATGGGATAAGTGGGGCCAGTAGAGGGGTTAGTGTGGACACGCATATGTTTTAATGCAAATATATTTGCATATTAAAATGCTTTTCGAATTTAAAAATTTTCGAATTCATGCCAGATCGACGATTATACAAATATTGCGTAAACTATATTTTTTAAAGATGGAATTTGAAAATATTCGAATATAAATTTGGACAATTTACGGACAAGATATCTGCGAAGAATAATTACCCCTGAAAATTGTCCAAATTATGCAGGATTAGAATCCAATTACATTCAAGGATTAGAATCCAATTACTAAAATCATTCACACCTATCCATTGTGGGAAGCAAGCGATTAGAAAAAGTTGATACATACAACGTTACTTAAAACGTTTAAGGAATGATTGGCGCTACATATGTTTTTCGAAAAAGCATTTAAAATCTTCCAACGCTGGTCTCAATTACTCAATTATCGATCAAATTAAAGGTTTCGCAGCCTCCACCAGACGCTAAATGTATACTCACTGAAGAGAAATGCAAGCGTGGTAGACCAGAAAAACCTTCCAAGAAATTTGTAATTGACTAAAAATCGAAAAGTTTGTAAAGTTTTTTAAAGTATTTTAAAGTGTATTTTTACTTATGGTAAAATTGAGTAATTATTATACACAAGGAAGCACTTTATTATGGTGATAGATAGTATTCGGGGAAAAAGTATTAATTATGGTCAAAAGTAGTATTAAATTATGATCAGTTAAATATTATCCATTTTTTAAATAGTGTAAAAAATGATGATACGTATAACAATACGTAATAATGCTATTATATTGTTGATTTAGTTGTGTATGTCTTCGAATCTCACAGGATTGTAGAGAAAGGTATGTATGTCCTTCATTAAGTTTATGGTAATTAATTATTTTAAATGTGTATTTGTTCCTTAATTACAGGTATCCAACTTATTTGGATTTCTTTGATACGGAGTCAGACATTTGTACCAAAGTTTGAATCTAAATAAAACCAACTTTTTTGCCTTCATAATAAATAACCACATTGTTTAATCATGACACAATGCATACATTTTATTCTGCACTAAATTTGGTTGTAATTCGTTATTGTGTGAAACCCCTTTATGCATCTGTCCGTCCGTCTTCTGTAACGTCTTTAACTTTCGAACGAATGAACTTAATTTTTGTGTCTTTAATGACGAGAAGAGGTCCGAATTAATCCTAATGTGATGTTCATTAGGCGACCGTTTACATCAATGTTTTAGGTCATTTTGACCTAAAACAAGGTGAAAACTTTAGAAAATTTAATATTCTGTCATAGATTGAACTGACAAATTAGTCAATCCTGCCCCTTGTTTCACCCCTTAGCTACATCCGTTTGACCCTATTTATTTCATATTTTCATATGCTACCCAAATTTAATACCTTGCCCAACTTTTCCCCAAATACTTGACCCATTCCTCATTTTCATTTCGTTTAACCAGAAATATTCAGAAATCCGAGTGACTCTCTACTTCCCTCCAACCGGACTTATTCCTCTCAAAACTTACACAAGTACGTTCTTCCTTTCCTTGGCCGACTCAGTCGGAATCGCCACACACCAAACATACTCATCACACATTGGTCTTTTCTCCAAAAAGAGAAAGGGGGAAACCGGGACCAGGCCAGCAGGCCAAGAACACCACGCTGCTCTCCCAACCTTAGTTCACGAGAGGCTTTGGAGTGGAAGAGAGAAAGAGTAGCAGTCCTGGCATCCGACCTGTCTCCTGCTTTCCCTCGACTCGAACAAAAAACTGACAAAAGCAACAAAGTGAAAGTGCGGTTTGGTTTGGCAGATAATTATTTCTGCTGTTTTTTTCATCAATTCATTCACATTTTGTCAAAGTGAAAGTGGAGAAAGTACACAAATTTTCCACTCCGGGGATGATTAACTTGTACCCAAAACCCTGTGCTGCCCCTCGCAACATGTATTTGGTGACATCTCGAACTAATCGTAAGGTTTGAATAGCCGTGATAATCGTAAACTGCGTGTTTCTCTAGTTATAAAATAATACTGGACATTACTTCCTCCGGGTTGGAGGGGATGGTAAAATTGTGTTACAAGCCAAGTCATTACTCAGCAGAAGACCGGACGGATGAATCATTTTCGGCATCATAAAAACTGTCCCCTGGGCAAGACATGAACCATCCATTAAGTTTTTGAAGCAATTTCCCCTCCCACGAAACAAGGACGACGACGACGGAATGGAATGAGAGTGTGAATGACGACCATCATAAATATAGCTGGATATTTATTACACGGGGAAAGTAGGACGACGCAAATGCAGCAAGATTATAAAAAAATATTGCGAAATTTGACTTGATAACGTTGTATCTCGTTTGTCTTAATAAAGTGACCTTTTCCTCGCTCTTCTCCTACTTTTTGGAGAAAGGAAAGTCAGCAAAGTAAACATCACACCTGACGTTAAATGCCATTATGAAGGCCAAGTATTGACACGGCAAAAGGCAACCTTGCTCTCGTCTCAGGTAAGCTCGAGTCAAATTTCGTTCACAAATAAATAATCAACTCACTCAATAAACCCCACACCGCATATTATAATAATTACTTGCACTACCACCACCACCACCACGGCCACGCAAATACAGAAGAAACATTTGGGTCAGTCTTGACGTAACGGAGCCGCTTTGTTCCTCACATAAATATGGACAAACAAACATACATCGTGCGTAACCTGCTAACTTGCTGAACTGTTAAAAATCTGGTAGAGTTACAATACGAGTATTGGTTTGGTAATAACTTCCTACCGAACTGGTAACAGTTTGTTTCTGAGTGGTAAATTTTTCATTACCACAACATTACTAATACCCGTTATTACCGTGCCGGTAGTGTCAGTTACATATGTACTCCGGCCGGTACTAATTTACTACCAGATTTTTAAGCGTGCACTACATACATAGTTGTTGTTGCCTTATTAATATGTACATACTTCGTCCTATAGTCTTATTCCTTATCCTCGGACAATAACTGACTGACTACCCGAACGAGCGTCAGCTTCTGGTTAAACTTTCTTTCTTGTTGCTTCAGTCTCACATTTCGTATCGACAGGACGAGTCCCTGGTCTGGTCATGGGTTTGCTTACTTACAATGCGATGACGCCAGCGGTCTCGCTCCGATTTTGACGAAATAACGATAATTATGTAACCTTACACAAATAATTGAATACGTGTTTCGGGATTTTTCATAATGCTCAGCTTAAACGAAATTATGACGTGATTCGTGAGCGAGAATTCCCATTTCCACCGTGACATTTTTCTCGTGAGGGAGAAAAATCCAGATTCACGCTTAGCGATTCCATCATACTTTCGTTTAAACTTAAAATGCGTGGGCATGAAGTGGTTTTCTACCAATTTCAAATTGCTCGCACAAATTTTGAAAAAATTTGAAAATGCAACAGACTAGAAATTTCGAAAAATTAAAATTTTTGAAAACGAGATTTTTCTTAAGTTACTCAATTCTGTGCAAAAATCTTTATGCATTTTTGAAACCGGATAAAAATTTGAAAATTTACCGCATTTCGATAAATCCTTAATTCGGGTTAAAATTTATTCCAAAATTTATTCCACTCAATTTCCGCCACAACCGAAATAACTCTACCCGTATTTTTACTTTTTCATGAAGACGCGTGATTTCGGTTGTAGCGGAAATTGAGTGACTTAAGAAAATTCGATTGAGTAACTTAAGAAAAATCTGGTTTTCAAAAATTTTGATTTTTCAAAATTTCTGGTTTGTTGAATTTTTCAAAAATTTTTCAAAATTTGTGCGAGCAATTTGAAATTGGTAGAAAACCACTTCATGCCCACGCATTTTAAGTTTAAACGAAAGTATGATGGAATCGCTAAGCGTGAATCTGGATTTTTCTCCCTCACGAGAAAAATGTCACGGTGGAAATGGGAATTCTCGCTCACGAATCACGTCATAATTTCGTTTAAGCTGAGCATTATGAAAAATCCCGAAACACGTATTCAATTATTTGTGTAAGGTTACATAATTATCGTTATTTCGTCAAAATCGGAGCGAGACCGCTGGCGTCATCGCATTGTTAGTTCAGAAGAGAATCGATTTCATTAGTAAAGAAGAAAGGCCAAGGCGATATATTGTCGTAATGTTTAATAATAGTTTCCAACTCCTACTCGGAGGATAAAATCAATTTAAAATCAACACTTAACAAACTTCCCGTTGTACGCAGACAGAAATCAGTTTAATCAATTTGTAATGTTTTGTTCACGTAGCTTCGTGGATGGACGGGGAAGAAGAAGAAAAGAATTATGGTGTGCATAAGTAAGAGTTGGGCATAAATAATGGGATGAAAGTGGATGGAGAAAATTCCCCACGACTTTCACCACTCCATTCATTCATACCCCGTCGCAATAAAGTCTCATGTACATCCATACGTACGTACACAGACCACCATGCCCACACCATTAGCTCTCTCCGAAAACGAAGGCCATTTCCATCAAGCAACCAACCCTGTCCGTACGTACGACCAACTGCAGGCTGCAGATCATAACTCACTATGGGGTGGATTCTGGGAAAGGAGAAGAGAAAAATTGCTTACGACCACTTTTACCAGTGTTCCCATTATACATTACACACACTAATTCAAAGGAGTGAATGGATGTCACGCTTGGGTTGGTGCTGCTCAGTTTGTGAATTAACAAATGAACTCCTTTCCCTTATAAAAATCAGTATGTGCTTCCTTACATAGGCGAAGTTGGCAGATTATTATTATTTTTTGGGGCCATTATACCGACAGAGTAAATGCACTTCAAATCTCAGTTAGGTTACATTTCTTTGCGGAGATCACGTCAGGTTTGCATATGCATGTGACAGAAAAAGGGAGAGAAGACGAGGATTTTCTACATATTTCACCTGCCTGCCTGCCTGCCCTCCATCTCATTCACACCTTGTTCTTTTCTTTCTCTTTGAGATTTGTCATTAAATTTTCACACCACTTGGAATTCATATCTTTCCCTCAATCTCTTGTCGTCCTTATCTTCTCCTTTTTTTGCTGAAGAGTTTGGTGGATGAGAGAGGAAAATAGGGAGGTGAAGGGTAGACGTACGTACATATTTGTCCGTATCCTCACGTAACCAGACTTTCCCTGCTGTTTCTCTGTAATGCAATTTGCAATGCAATTTATAACTTAATGCGACCTAATGTAGGAGGTAAAGTGAGGCTCTTGTGCATGGAAAATGGATGTATGTACAGCCCTCTTAGCATAGATTATTCAGCCACGATTCTATTTTTACTGGTAGCCTTTTGTCGTCGTTCATCATGCATTATTCGTTCCCCATGGTCAACATCAGCATGGTCAGAAGAACAACCCGTCGCTGTATGATAATGATCAAGTTGTAACTTAATTTGAGGGGAAGAAATTGTGCAAACATTTCAATATTGATTTGGTCGGTCCAGAGAGAAAGTGAGTCAGGAGGGACCTCCCTGCGACTACATGTTCCTGACATTTTGCATTCATGTTTCTGTTTCTGCGACCCAAACTTCCATCCTGCCACTTGTCCCGTGGGGGTGATAGCGGAGAAACGGCAACTTGAATTGCGAATGGAAATGTGCCTCGGCCGAATCGCGGGCAGAATTCGCTCCTATTTCCCTTCAGTATTTTTAGCACATTTCATCCAGACGGGAAAAGTAGCTGGTTCTTTTTTTACGTTTTTGGTTGGATGTAATGAATTGGAAGGGATAAATTTGTGCCAAAATTTAGTATTTTTTTTACATATACACAAAATTAGGACGAGGTTTGATTCTTTTTTTTACCATGCTAAATATATTTATTTTCAATTAACTTAATCTCTCTCCAATCTAATCTGTTGACTCGGTTTCCTTATCGAAACAAGTCATCAAATGACACTGATTGTACAAGTTTGTACTAAATTAGGGTAGAAATAATCAATACTAATTCCATCCCCACTGGGTTCAGATGATAGCAGTTTGAGCGGAAATTAAATTCCGGTTGGGTTGGACTTCTTCGTTTACTCTGAAATAAATACAAGTTTCACTTAAAGTTGTCATGATCAGAGTGCATGCACCACCATCCGATTTCGTTACAGAGATGATTCTTATTGTCATTTGTAAGATTTCTTTAACCAGTTTGGACCGATTTTAGAGCAGATCAAGGATCTCTCAGGACAGAATTAATTTCACCCAAAATACCGATTTGTGCTTCACAAACAAGAAATCAGCTTTCTCTGCCGCCCTTGAACTACTTATTTGCAACATTTGGCATAGTTTTGGCATGCGAGGAGGAGAGTGCATGGGGGATGACGGTGATGATGATGATGAAGGCGACAATGACGACGGAACGGAAGAGTGTAAACTAATCAACTAAAAGCTTATTCATTTAATAGAATCATTTATTATTGTGCTTCTCACTCCAATTAGAAGGTATAGTGACGAAAGGTCTCCTCAGCATCACGGGGCATACATAATCTAGTTCTATTTCTGGGCCAAAAATCCTGCCATGAGCGTATCTACATATTGCGCCAACCTAATTAATTTATCTTCTCGTCTAACTAACAAATCTCATTAATTAATTAATTACGCAGTTATTCAGGTTAGGAGAATAAAATAGGGAGAGAGGAATAATTTATATAGGTTGAGTTGAGCCTAAAGTTTGGGAATGTTTAGTAAATTTGACAATCATTTCATTTATTTAGTGAGCCCAATTAGCGAACCTTTAAGTCTTAAATTCAATACATTTTAATCCGTGGAGTCACAAATTGTAAGGTGCCGTAGAATGAAAAATTGAGTCCTGTTTCTGTACTAGTATGTACTCATAATGGAGGGCTCCCAGCGTATACGCACAGATTTTACCAAAATGCTGTCAAGTGATAACAAATTAAATAGCGTGAAATTTGCAATGGCCACTATCTGTCAATGAACAGGTTTTGCATCCAAAAAGGAAAAGTAGATTTTGAAAATGTAAAATTTGTAAAGTTTACGATGTGTGGATTGTGTCATTTTCTAGTAAAAAATTTGTGATCGATTGACACTAGGCTGGGAGACCTCCATTGCAAGTTGACCTTAATAATCCAGATGAAAAGGAGATGGTCGCTGCGCCGTTCTCGCTGAAGATCAGTTAACCTACGTCTGCTGCTGCGATGCGATGCCGATGGTGTGGAAATTAGTGTCGCTGCCAATTGTAATAATTCATTAATTTTCACATTTCTAAAAATGCAGACAATATCTCACTATTAAATGAAAATATTAATGCACTAAACGTTTCAGGTGAAGTAAATTTACATTATTTAAAAAGTTTACCATAAGGGAGAGGTCACTTGACTTGAGATTTCTAACGAAAACTTGACCATAGTTAGTGGTTGCTAGTTTAATAGAGGAGGTGAGATATGGATGCATGGGCAAACCAACAACTACTCCTCTCGGGGAGGGTTAAGCTGGGTACCGTTAAAAGTATCTGGTGTACATTAACAAGGGTTCTGTCCTCACGGGCGGG